AAGTAGAATTCATTTGATTACGGAATTCCCTAAGTTATGATATTTTACTTCATCATATAAGAGCCACATGTTTTCTAATTCCAACCTAACTTATTGACAAATGCATCTAAAAATATATATATATGAGCTAGTTATAGTCGTTCACGAGTAATATCGATGATCAATTTTAGATACAACGATGAATAACCATCCATGTATAGCTTAATTGGATTGTGAGCTTAAGGACCATCTGTAGTTGATCAACCTTGCATGACATGACACTGCAAGCGTGCATGTTTGTGAGTTGTGAGCATGCACTAATAACATGTCCGAAGTGATCATGATTAAGTTTGGTGATCAACCCACAATGACTTTGTGTGATTGATCAACGATGGGGAATATATTGGCACATTTGCGAAAAGACAGTTATGCAGCCGTGTTCCACTTGGGTCACTAAGTTCATTGATCAAATGCATACCCTATTTCAGATAAATGCGCACATACACCATGCATATATGTTGATTTTTTAGGCATGCATGTCACAATTTTTAGGGCATTGTCTTTAAATTGAAGTGCAAATTTGCTATAGCTAAGTCCACTTCAGGTCGTCGGTGTACGACTATTTAGGTTCCCACTTTGGCTACTTTTCATGAGAGGGTCATGTTTATATAAAGCCAATTTCTCCCTTCCAAATTTCACAACAACAAAGTGAGTGATTTGTATCTGATCAGTCTAGCTAAAACAAGAGAAAACTAAGACAGAGAGAGAATAAGAGTTTTTCTTATTTCTCTAATGGGTTCGATCGTGATATCTATTCCAGCAGATGTTGAGCTTGCTCTTCCCAAAAATATTGGAGAGAAAGAGGAGCCCAAACCTTCTATTTTTTCCACCATTGTTTCCAATCTTAGAAAACTTCAGAAAAGCCAGCAGGATATGAGAAAGCTGCTTCACAGCGTCAAGGTTGCAACTGCACTGGTTTTGGTCTCACTTCTCTATCTTCTTGACCCTCTCTATGGGCAAGTTGGAGATAATGCCATGTGGGCTATAATGACGGTCGTCGTCATCTTTGAGTTCTACGCAGGTTCGACCGCTACTTCATTAGTTTCTCTAATTACAACCTTAATTTCTTTTCTTTTTTGTGTAGATTAATTAATAATTAGTTGGGTAACATTTTCCAGGTGCTACACTTAGTAAGGGTTTAAATCGTGGATTGGGAACAATATTAGGAGGTGTTATGGGGTTCTCAGCTGCAAGTTTTGCTCAAGAAGTTGGTGGAATGGGCAAGGGCAACGCCATAATTGTTGGTTTTTCTGTGTTTATCTTCGGTAAGATTTATATTTATTAGGTCTATTTTTTTAATAAAAAATGTTCAAATGAAATAAACATAAGTTTTTCATTTATTTGTAGCAAAACTCTCTTTACATTTATAATGCATGGCCCCTATTCCACAAGTTGGTCCCAAGGAATTTGGAACTTCAACTTTCTGTACCGTAGAAGATCGTGGCGCATTACATACCACGTGGCATGCATCATACAGATTTTAAATGGTTGATGATGACGAACTTAATCATATTGGAAAAAATAATTAAAGTAAATTAATTGGTAGAAAAAATGGGCTAATTGTAGAGACTAGAGAGTGCAAGTTGTCAATATAATTTACCTAAAATATATTTCAGGCGGAGCTGCAACATATTCTAGATTGGTCCCAAGGATTAAGAAAAGATATGACTATGGAGCCATGATCTTCATCCTCACCTTCAATCTGGTGGTTGTGTCTGGTTTACGTGCCGAAAATGTGTTGGAATTAGCTCGCGAGCGCCTTTCAACCATCGGCATGGGATTTGCCGTTTGCATCTTCATAAGCTTGCTGGTGTTCCCCACATGGGCCAGTGATGAGCTTCACCACTCTACAGCTCAGAAGTTCCAAGACCTTGCAGACTCAATTGAAGGTAAGTAATTAGGAGAAAAACAATCTTGCGTTAAATTACACGACGAACCATAATCTAATTGAGATTAATCATGATCTTGTTCAACAATTTGTAGGATTCTTGGAGAGTTATTTTAGACTGGACAAAGAAAATTTGAAGGATGACCAGCCTAGTGCCATTTCCAGTAGTTGCAAATCGGTGTTGCACTCAAAGTCAAAGGATGAGTCTCTGGTATATATATATATGCACTACTATTTCTTTTTTTCTTTTTGGTCACTCTAAAAAATTTTGAACTTAATTTCATGCTCATTCATCAATTATCTCAAGCAAAAATGGCGTTTAATTATGTTTATCGACAGGCGAATTTTGCGAAATGGGAACCATGGCATGGAAAATTTGGTTTCTTCTACCCATGGAATAAGTACCTACAAGTTGGAGAGCTTCTTAGAGAGCTAGCTACCATGGTCCTTTCCCTCAAAGGCTCTCTTCAATCTCCTAGACAGGTACTTATATACATATGTAATATTAAATTTTGGTTCCTTTTTCTTCTTCAAACAAAAAAGTTCATAGCCGGTTTTGGTTAATTTATTTATTGCTTCAAAATTGTGTGTGATTAGCCCTCGTCGAGCCTGAGGCAGTCAGTGAAAGAGACAAGTGAAGCTGTAGGGTTGTCACTTGCATGGAGCCTGAGAGAGCTTGGAGAGAGCCTTATGAAGATGAGAAGGTGCCCTCAAGAGAATGTGATATTGCCCAAGTTGAAGTCAATGAGACTGGCGCTGAGCTCCATGGTGTCTCAAGTTTCCAACTTTGGACCTCTAGAGAATGTTGAAGGACTTGCAATTGCAAGCCTTGTGTTCTTGTTGACAGAGATGCTTGAGAAAGTGGAAGAATTGGCAAAGGAGGTTGAAGAACTTGGAGAGCTTGCTGGCTTTCATTCTAAATAGCTGTAGCTATATATATATATATAGACTTAATTTTCTTAACTGTGGAATTTGCCAATTTTGGGCATGGAAAAATTCTACACCTGTGATCTAAAAATATGGGAGACTTGGGAGAAGATGTATAATTAGCTATAATATACATTTTAAGTAGTCTTTATTTATTATAGATCATATCCTTGCAAAAAATTAGACAAATCGAAAACTATTTAGACATTTAATGGTGTCCTACAAAATCAATGAACACAGTACTTCAAGAAAATACTAAAATTTCAATAACTTAATTGAGCGGTCATATGATATCGGATTCAAGTGATTTTGTGTGTGTGTGTGTGTGTGTGTGTGGTGTAGATTAACATGTAACTGAAACTATGACAAATTAATTTATTATAAGTGAAAAAGCATATTTTCTCCTACGTGGATGTTCAGACGTTATTACCGTGCGGACACTATGTATTTTCTATTATCCCTTCTTACTTTCCTCATTGCTTACAATGGCGTCCACACGTTCCAGATGAGAGAAGAACTTAGTGAAAGAGTATATCAAGGCCGGTTTCATTTTTATAAATTTTAAACGGGAAAATAGATAGAAAAAAAGAAAGAAAAAGAATTTGGACAGGCTGTGCCAAAATTGGGACCATATTAACCAAACCAAAAGAAAAATATTATACAAAATAGATTGATATATAGGTTTGGCCTAAATCTGTGCCAAGGTCCCTGCACGGAACCGCAGGCCAAACAAGATAGGATGACCAGTCCATCCAGGCTGAGGTCTTAAATTCAATTTTGTAGAAGCAATAGGAATATTCCCCTGTGTTTGAAATCAGTTTTATTTAAATTTCTTATTAAAAGAAGGCAAATGTACAAATGGAATAGGACCGTTAAGATAAGGCCAATCAAGTATGACAAATATCAACATAATTTATTGATGTTGACGGAGTAACATATAATTGTAGTGATGTCTGAAGACTCATAAAAAAAATCTATTTCAAAACTTCAAAACAAGTCTGATAAGATCAAGAGGCATATCACAACAAGAGAAACAGAGAAAATGGCCATTCATCTCATGAAAATTGCTGCAACTATAATCGTCGTCGTCTTCCTTGGGTTCTTCAGTGTGGCCACAAGCACTCCAGATACAAATATAACAAGCGTTCTCTGCAACTCTGGAGTGTATACAGCTGGTGATCCTTTTGCTGTAAGCCTAGCCTATGTTCTTCAGGAGTTGGAGACCGCAACATCAACACACAAGAATTATGACTTCTACGACATATCTCCTTACCCTAATGCATTTGCATATGGGCATGCTTCTTGTAACCAAAACATCACAACCCCAGATTGCACTACTTGTCTTGGTGCTGCAAAAACAGATATGCTAGGCACGTGTCAAAATGCGATAGGGGGTCGAGCGGTTCTTCGTGATTGTGCAATAAGGTATGAGCAATACCCATTTACTGACTGAGCCATTGGCTTGGCCTCTCTGTTCAATGAGTTTGATTTCCACTAGCTACAAGTAGTAGATGCTGCTGCTGCATTATCAGATTTCCATGTACGAAAAATCCTTTCCTTTCATATTTTCTTTCCTTTTGGAGAATGCATTCATGGTTTTGTGCCTGTCGGACATGAAGATATCAGTGCACTGATTGGTTTTTGGTACATTTATTCCATGAAGAAAGGCAAAACACATGTATGACTTGACAGGCAAACACATTTATTGTCTCACAGATATTACAAATACAAAAAATTGATGATTGAATTGTGTCTCCTGATACAAGAACAAGCTCTGATATCCTCAAGGACTATAAACCTTTTTCATTTTTTGTATGATTACACATCCTGTGAAAATAACCAAAACCATTTGTGAATTATCACCACGTAATTCATCTTCACTTTACCTGTTAGTGTATCGATAGCAGTCATCAAGACTCGGAGGGTCAAATTACAATTTCACCTCCTTTCCAATCTTCCCCTTGTTAAGTAAAACCCCTCAAATGCTTGAGCAGAGCATGGTTGAACAAACCAAGGCTATGTACTGACCGATTCACATAAGAATTTTGCTGGTTATTGTGGAAGCAAAATGTTCCATTCATTTTCCCTTTGTACATTGGAGCACTATTATAATTATTATCAGGAAGATGTGCTGAGAGATTCATGTTTAAAGAAGCTCATTCCATGAATCAGGCACACCAGTGGCTGCAGTCTTGATGCAGGTAGGCACACCAGGTAAAGTCCATCTTCTTGTTATAGGAATGAACAAGAACAAATAAGTTTTAGCTAATGTAATAAAGATGAGCTTGGGCTTCTGTTGCTGACATAAAAACATCTCTTTCCATGTCTTCGGATACAACCTCTTTTCTTGGCTGGGACACACATTCAGCAAATCCAACTTCCTAACATGAGACTCATTCGATCACTCCGATAACACATCAAAGATGGTCATAACTATAGGACTGTAGGAACAAGCAATGAACCTAACTCGGGCAAAGCTTCCATGTGACAACCCCCACCAGAATTCCAAATCACCGCCTCTGTTACATCTACAGCCAATTTGCTAGTGTTCACTTATACATGTTGTATTGCTAAAGCACATCAAGTCCACGAAAACATCGCATAAAATGCAATGTTTAAACTCCTATACGAAGTTATGAAAAACACAAAGGGCCTTTAAGTGCAAAACAAACTGTAATATGGCGTGACAGAGAAACAAACAATATGAAGGAGACAAGTGATCCTGCAAACCTGAAATGCACAGGAGCATAAGTTCGAAAAAGGACATAAGTTTTGCTCGTGTTCACTTCACTACCAATCCAATCAACCACAGTTTCAATTGATCTGCGATATGCATTTTCGACGTTTATATTCATCTTCACCTCCTCCCCTTCTTGAAAGTAGCAATCCCTAAGACATAATGAAAACTTTGAGTTATATTCCAAAAATAATAATAACCATCATAATACTTTAAACTGGAGATTCATTCTAAACTTTCCACCTCTTTGACTTTGTGGGAAAAAAGTTTGCATAATGTATCAATAAGATTTCTTTCTTTTAGTTATAAACCTATGTTCGTTTATGCCCAGCGTTGAGAAGAAGCACATCTGCATCTCTCCACTGGCTGGCAGTCCAGTCTATTTGATCCACTTTTATAGTCAACTTCACCCCTTCTGGACTGGAGCGTGGCCCTGAATGACAAGATATGGTGATCTGTAGTATTCCGCTGTGCAGTTCAAATCCTCAAACTTGATCACCAAGAACCCCAAATGCTTTGTGATTGGATTCACATTCACCTCATAGATGGAAGTCTTGTTAGGAAGTGCAGAGGAGAGCATACAGAGAAGAGATTCCCATTGGTTCCTTCCAATTGAATCACCAACAAATACAAGGCACCGGTTCCGAAGCTTTTCCAACATCTTCCCTGCAGCATCAAATCCGTTCTTAAGAGAAGAGAGAAACCCAATAAGATCTTGTCCAATCCACCTAGTTAGAACAGAATTGAAAGTACTGGAAATAACTAAGCATGAAAAGACCTTTTAATTGGAAGAACCATGAGGTTGAGCATAATCTAAAACCATTGTTATAGTTACCATTGGAGCTGAAGCTTAACATAATGTAGCAAGTGCAACAATTAATTAATTACAATGTGCTCAATAAAGACTAATATTTCAAAAGTGCAAAGGAAAAATAGAATTCAAGATTGAGTTACATGGTACTAATCCAAGATTGAGATTGAAACCTGAATTCTAAAGCCCTAAGCCAAGTTACATGAGTATTCAAGCCTAATCGATTTCGAAGTGCCCTGCAATAGGTTTAGGGTTAGAATTCGAGGCTTGTGAACAGTTTTGGAACAAGTTTGGAAGCTATGGTTTTGGTTCGAGACTTGAATTTAGCGTTTGGAGGCTAAAATCCATTTTTGGAATACTAAAATAATTTTCTAGGATTTTAAAAATAATTGAAACTATTTTAATTCAGATTTTTAAATATTTTAATTCTTCAATAAATACTATTGCTTTGTTAAATAAAATATTTTAAAAATAATATCTGAATTTTTTTTTATAAAATTCCATAAAATTAGTTAAAATAATTAATAATTAATTATAAAGTAATTTATAAAATTAATTAAATATTTAAAATACTAATTATTCAATAATTAAATAATAATTACTAATTAAATTAATTAAATAAGGCTAATATCTTACTTAATTACAAATATTAAACTAAACAAACGAATTTTGTATTATTATTATTTTTTAAAGTCCACAAAATAATTTAAAATAATTGATTACAATTTATCAAGTAATTTATGAAATTAATTAAAATATTTAAATACTAATTGTTCATTAAATAATTCATAATTAAAACATAATTACTAATAATTAAGTATGGATCAGATATTAATTAATTACAAATATTAAAATAAACAAAAAAAGGATCCGCCCAGGCCGCCTAGCGCCTAGGCCGAATTTTTTAGTTTTATTGTTTGTTGGAGCAGATAACACACAGGATTACTACCGTTAAAGATGAGCCTTCTCTAGCTTAAAGAACCGAACAGTACTGCGGTTCTCTACTGTTCCCAGTCCCGCCATGGAAGCTACTCTTCTCAGCTCGCAACGCTTTCATCCCCAACTCTTCCCAACTTTGAGTTCAGTCCTTCCTTAACAATGCTGCTGAGTCAATCTTCAAGAGTGAGATTCGGCGGAGGAGTTAATATCATCTTGATAATCTTTTTCCTGTGGATTAATATAATAAGACGATGTTCTCTATCAGAATTATTTATACCTGTTGATGAGGTTTGACTACCATGTGCATCATTCTCTCCATATTAAGTATTCTATGAGTCCTTGTGGAATACTTGCTTCTTTGTCATGGTGATGTTAGTACATATGTGAGGTTTTTAGATCATAGTATCAATTCTGTCCAATACCATTTAACTTCAAGTTTGTTGTAAGTTTACTGGTTTCTTGCTTTTTATTGCAGGAGGTTCTGTTAGTTGGGGTCCGTACTTACTTGCAGTATTGGACGTTTTCACTATAGTCACTATGCGGGCAGTTGTGGTAACTGAAGGTTGCAGGAAGATAAAGCTGCAGTACTATGGTTTTAAGCTTGTTTCTGCTGCAAGGTAATACATTCGTAACCATTTTGATGGCTGATGATCGTTTGTAGTGAAAGAAACTGCACAATGCATGCCATTTCTGTATGCATGTGGTGTTATTTGATTATATGAAGACGGTTGTTCTTTATCCTAATGTTACTGAAGTGTTTTGGACAGAGATGACTGGCCTATTACTGAAGTGGAGCCATATATCCCTTTTACCATTAACCCATCAGGAATGCAGCCTGTTCTCCCCACCACTTATCTCTTGTCATTTCCGAGCATTCTCTTGCAAGGTCACAATTTCTTAACTTGCAGCATTTTTGCATTTTTGAAGATGAAAACTCATTGTCCGCTAATGAAACCAAAAGGTTGCTCATTTCTCTGCTGACCCAAAAAAATTTCCTTAAATATTCCAACTACACCTGTTCTTTTCCTTTATGAAGTTTACACTTTCTGATATCGTGGTTTGTTGGCAGTCTTCTTGGTTCGCCTTTCTGGGAGCATGTTAAGGAGATATTGAACCCTGGCAATTCCGTTGGTGCAGGGCCTTGGAGCATGTTAAGGAGATATTAAATAATTACAAATACTAAACAGAACAAAACAAAAAGATCCGCCCAGGCCGCCTAGCATCTAGGCGGGCGCCTAGACCGATTTTTTTAAAAATTTTTTGGGTTGGAGCAGATGGCACACGGTTCGTTCTCATTAACACATAAATCATCTAAAACCCAGCAAGGCAACCCCACGAGAACGAATCCCGCTAAGAACTGTATTGTAATCCAAGTAGGAGAAGCGGCTGATGAAGAGAGAAGAGTGACCAAAAAGAAGCCAAGATTGCCCAAAGAAGGCTTAAATTTTTTGAAAAAGTGCAATTGGGTCTTTGTGTCTTCTGCGTCCTTTGGAGGTGAAGGTTCGCTATTATCCATTTCTTTGAGAAGTGAGGAGAAGTGGAGTTCAATTCTCCTGAGAAAGAAAGAGACTAACCATTAATGGCTCAAAGCCCATATTTTTCGAATTGGGTTTTCTTCTTAGACTGCATCACAGTTTTTTTTTTGGGTGAATTATACCAAGAAAAATGAGATCGTTCAATCATTCAAAACGTTGTAAGTTTTTAAACAGCTGATGTTTGTGACATGTGAGAGAGAAAGGAGAAAGACGCAGAGAAAGACATTTACGTGGGAACAAAACAATGTACCCCAAATCCTGATTCTGAAAAACCAATAGCTTGTCCAACAGCTGGTGTTTCTTCCTCTTCCCTTTTTTGTTTTGTTTTCTTAGCATTTGAAATTAGTTTCGAAACACTTCTTCCTCGCATCATGCATGGCAGATGTTTTAATATCTGACAGCATTTGTTGATTTGGATTTTAAGATTGGTGTTAATTGTTATGAAGGGGGCATTATGTTCTGTTATTAGCAAGTCAATTTGTGAGCCTCGTACGAAAAATATGAAAAAGAGTCGTTGTGAGTCTCAATCTAACCATTGACATTGACAAAAATCATGTAAATTTTTTTGTTCTTATTGTCAAGCATCGTTCTCTTAATCAATATCAATGCGTAGTTGATGGACCTGTCTTTCTCAATATGCAAATTGACAAATAATGACAAATTTCAAAATATTGGATTATGAGAGTGAAGATTGATGAAGAGATGAGAAACAGAGAAATGGGTTATTCATCTTACAAATTGGTAAATTCTGTCCAAGAACGAAACCCAGAGTCGTGAATCTCAAAATTTTCCAGTAAATTCTGATATACATTCTGTAATTTCAACAAAGATAAAAGCTTTTTTCTGTATAATTACATCCTGTCAAATAACCAAAACAATCTGTGTATAAGTTCTATCAACTTCGACCCTCCGGGTCTGGTGATGACAAATTTGCTGCAAAGAGATAACCATAAAGCCTCCCCGATCATTGAATTCTCACCGGTCAATGCACCCCAGCTTTACCTGTTAACCCCTAGCAAAAAGTTTTCCCTCCGGAGGTAATCTCTCGTTCTAATTTTCCCTTGCTAAGCAAAATCCCTCTAGTGCTCGAGCAAAGAATGGTAGAGCAAACTGAAGATACTAACCATGCTGGCCAACTCTCAGCTTTAGCAGGAGTGTTGAACAAAATGTCCTTTTATGATGATCATGCTGGTGTACTCAGGAAGCTTGTAATGCCATATACAATGTCATCTACAAAGATTTGGTTGAATTTCCCGTGAGAATGGATTCCCGTTTAAGGAAGAGTGCATAAAGAAGCTCATTCCATGCATCAGGGACACCCGGTAGGCACCAGTGGCTGCAGTCTTGATGACTGATGGAGGCTGGTCCAGCCTCAGGCCCTAGATAGTATATAGACGCATGGCCATCTTTTCTCCATAGAGACATGTTTGTCACATTCAGCAAATCCAATTTCCTAACATGTGACTCATTTGATCGCTCCAATACTATATCAAAGATAGTCTTATAAACACTTGTGCATGAATCTGGCAATGAAGTTAATCCAGGTAGAGTCTCCAAGTGACAACCACCACCAGTATTCCAATCACCGCCACTGTTACATCCACAGCCTATTTATTAGTGCTCAGTTATACAAGAACATGAAATAAAAAGAAAACAATAATATATCCACGAGACAAAGAAGAAAACAATAATATAACTTTGAGACAAGCAGAAGAAGTGATAGAGAAAACCTGAAATGCACAGGAGCATAAGTTCGAAAGAGGACATAAGTCTTGCTCATGTTCACTTCACTACCAATCCAATCAATCACAGTTTCAATCGATCTGCGGTATGCAGTTTCAACAGTCATATTCATCTTCACCACCTCCCCTTCTTGGAAGTAGCAACCCCTAACAAATAATGAAATTCCAAAGATCAGATATCCTATCACTTATAATCATACACTTCTCCCCACATGAAAAGTTTGAATTCTTATTCAACCAGCCAATTAGATTCTTTTAACTACAAATTCATTGTAAACTTACCATCTGCTAGAGTTTGAGTGAAAAGTTTGCATAATGTATCAATAAGATTCCTTCCTTTAACTTAAGAACCCATGTTGTTTGTTTGTGGGGTTGAAACTAAAGATTTAACAAAAATAACAAAAAAAAGTTTGTAGAAAGTAATCAGGACGTGTATATACTTACTCTCTTAAGGTCTTCTCATAACTCCACCAGTGCCCAGCATTGAAAATCAACACATCTGCATCTCTCCACTTGGTGTAAGTCCCTTCCAGTTGATCCACTTTTAAAGCGCACTTCACTTTTGCTGGAGCGCCAGCTGGAGGACGGCCCTGAAAGACTAGAAATGGTGCTCTGTAGTATTCCACTGTGCAGTTGAAGTCCTCAAACTTGAACACCAAGAACCCCGAGTGCTTTGTGATTGGATTCCCATTCACCTCATATATTGAAGTCTTGTTAGGAATTGCAGAGGAAAGCATACAGAGAAGAGACTCCCACTGGTTCCTTCCAATTGAATCACCAACAAATACAAGACGCCGGTTCCGAAGCTTTTCCAACATCTTCCCTGCATCAAATCTATTCTTAAGAGAAGACAGAAACTCAATAAGATCTTCTTGTACAATCTACTCCTGGTTAGAACAGAACTCAAACCATGAGGTTGATCATAGTCTAAAACATAAATGAACACCAAACAGAGCAACTACAATGTACTTAATTAGAGAAGATTCAAAGTACCATTATTATCATCATAGCCATTAAAGAGGAACCGCAATGTACTTAATTAGAGTTATGATGCAAAATCACGATATAATCAATCACAATGTCAAATACAGAAAAAAAAGAAAACCTCAAAATAGTTTTCTTTTAACTTTTTAGATTCAGAAAGAAAAGGTAATCAAACAAAACACTTCCAATTTCAAAGGGTATGAGGACAAAAAAAAAGAAAAAGAAAAGATTGTTTTAAGCACACAATCGTGGACAAAGACAACACACGCTGACATGGGCACGCAGAAAGAGAGAAAATTGAAAAAATATGACAAAACAACCGAAACGAAAGAGCAAACAGAGAACCTTCCTCGCTACTTGAACATTTGAATTTGTGATAAAGATAAAGAGTTGCCAAAGCCAAAATCCAAAAGGTTCACGGGTGCAGCTAATCAACAAAAGAGGTCCACCAACAAACTGTACAGAACTCAAATTATTGACACAGAAAATAACAACGAAGCCCAAATTAACACTACAAAAGCACGCAAAAGAAGGATAATTTAATCTGTTCACCAAAACAATAGCTAAATTCTAATAACTTAGGCTGCTGATAAAATTTAGGAAGCTTTCTTCTCTACTAGCATTGAACCTTTCATCTAACAAAACCAAACCAATATAAATATGATGTCAAATATTTTTCTTTCCTTAAAAATCTCAGCAGGGAAACATAAACAAAATTGTAAATACCTGGGCAAGCTGCAATCTTTGGGTTGCCAACGCCACTTGGTAAAGATAGAATCAGGCCTGCCATTCTCAGAACATCTAAAGCCTTCATCCATGAAAGAGCAATTTTGTGACTCATACAACGGATAGCTCTCATCCCAAACCCAATTCCCATCAAACACATCACACGCAACACAGCCTTCATCAAGAAATCCCGGCCGTACATTCCCAGTTGATGATGGTAAAGATGACGAGCCATGCAATCCCAGCAAGGCAAACCCACGAGAACGAATCCCGCTAATAACTGTATGGTAATCCAAATAAGAGAAGCAGCTAATGAAAAGAAGAGTGACCAAGAAGAAGCTAAGAATGGCTAAAGAAGGCTCAAGAGGGTTGAAGCGCTTGAATTTCTTCAAGAACTCAAACTGGGTATTCGTGTCCTCTGTGTCCTGTGGAGGTGTGCTCTTACTGTCAGCCATTTCTTTGAAAAGAATGAAACTTTAATAATTCATGGGCGTCTTGTGTTGGAGTGATGGTCCAAGAGCCGAAAGGGGGCTTAAAAAGATGGGCTCTTTAGACTTCTAGAGAGTGAGAAAATGGGGTCCGATAGAGCAAGAAAGTAAGCACTAGGGGCTAAAGAAACATTTTTCGAATTGGGTTTTCTTCCTAGACTGCACCACAGTAAATAGTTTCTGTTTAGAGTGAAAAAGAGATCATTCAAGCATTTGAAATGGTTTTTATCAGTTTATAACCTGCGAGAGAGAGAGAGAGAGAGAGAGAGAGAGGTTTGACGACTAGTCAGAATCAGAAGCACTCAACGCAAACGTTCAAAACAGCATTTATGCTTTCTTGAATTGGTTTCAGAGTCTTGGCAATGGTGTGGTAAATTATTATTATTATAAATGGTTACTGATTTTGAAATTATATTTTTGCTCGAGTCTTGGCCAATTACTATCTGACAATAAAAAATCACGCATGATTACTTTCCGCCATTTTTGAAAAATCGCATTCACATTCACATGTGTCTATTCTATCTATCTATCATCAATAAATATAGGAGAATTTAGCTCTGGAAGCCACGTTTGGACATGAATGGACGTTATTTTATTGTTGTCAATGGGAAAAAAAAATACAAATTTATAAATAAACCAAATTCTAGACATGTATTTATAAAAAAATCCAAGCACTATTTAAACATAGAAATACACTCAAAATCAACCCCAAAGTCAACTTTTTGGGTATGTTTATAAATGGGTTTTGAATGTGTGTAATGATAGGTTTTGGGTGTGTTTATATGTTTAAATAGTGCTTGGGTTTTTTTTATAATTTCAACTCCCATTTTGGGTGTTTTAGTGAAACTCCCAAAAAAAAACTTGTCGAAAGTTTTCAGCCCTGCCTGAAATTGTGCCCATCCATGTAGCTTTCATTGTTTGTTCTACTCATAAATGATTCAATAAGAAAAATAAAGATGGATTTTTAATAGCAACATAAAATTGTTAGAAAGGCCAAAAAAGAGAGAGGAAAATAACACAAAAAAAGAAAAGGAAACAGAGGTTGGTAGTATTGTATATCATATTGAAGGATCTGAGATGGACAAAATGCCCTCCATCGAATACCACACAAGCAAGCCAAAATCTAAAATCTGTGGTCAACCCAATTAATTTAAGTCGGCCAGTTCATTCTGCAATGTGGGAACACTTGCCTTTTGCTTGACCGCCTAAAAATAAAATAAAAACTCAAAAAATGTAGGCCTGCATATATATATATATATATATATTTATAATTTATGAGCACTTCAACTAACTATTCTTTTCTTTCTATAAAAAATACTAATTTTACATTCCTTTTTATTTAAAAAAACTTAATTTAATATGAGAATAAATTAAATTCGGACATGACAGCCCCCCTATGCATGTGGCGCTGATGGGGGGGCATATAAAGAATGAACATTTTATATGGCGAGTCCAAGCCAATGGCATAATCCAAACATGTGTATAGCACCTAAATAATTATTAATTAGTTAAATAGGAAAAATAAATAGCCAACGAAAATACGTGTGGAAAACGAAATGGTGTTGATCAACAAGGAGGTGGGGATTTTGGTTCATAATAGGATGGTAGTGTACAAAATTCACATTCACGTCTTCCCAAAGGATCTGGTTTACTTTGAGTCTTTCACCAAAAAATAAAGATCTGGTATAAAAAAAATTTATAATATTATTGTCACACCACCACATGTTATAACATAAATAAAGTGTAACATAACATGACGATATGACGGTTAAACCAATAAATTTCTATCACGGGAATCACAAAATATCAAAATGTTTGAGGGCCAGTGCTGAAATGAGAACAACAACTACGATACTCAAAGTACGAATAGCCCAAATAAGCATTGCCCACAAAAGCAAAGCCCAAAAAATTTTGGTTCATTTTTCTTTGCAGCCTGTGTTCAATTTTCTTGCACAAGCCCATTCTTCTTTTTTCTAATTCTTCTGTCTGCAGTATCCTAAACCCAGACAAGATGTCAAGCCAGATGCAGCGGAGGTTTTGCTCTCAAATGAATTATAAGAACAAAAAAAGGGCAAGAACCCTAGATTAATTGAAGCAAAATTGAATTTTACATTAGAGAAGAGTACAATCGTGAAATGTTCGTTAGGGCTGTTACAGTTAACAGTGTCAAACCAAAAGAGGCACTTGTTCACAAAACATAGTAACAGAAGCTTACGAATGCAGCAATGCCACTTAAGATGCAAAGTCTATCTAACCTGCTTTCGTTTCTCATCTTCTCCTCTTTTAGCTCGTTCTGTACCTTCGAGTATAAGTGACAAGATTCAAGAACTTCGCTGTAGTTTTTGCTCCGACGGCAGCTCAATGCTTCCTTAAGAATAAGCAAACTGTTTCTTCCATTGACGTGAGAACCTTCCATGTCTTCCAGCTGCATGCTTAATTCTGTTAACTTAAGAGTTGTCTGTACACCTTCACCCTCAGTATAAATCACTCTGAACTTCATACTAAGGATGCATTCTACTACTTGACATGGAAGGATGTCTCTGGCGGGAAGGATGGATCCAAAGCGAATCACAAAATCCTTGTCTGTTGGCCAATGCCTTTGACCTCCAAGAGGGCACCAGCTAGCAAGATTTGCAGCTTGCTTTATTTTCTTATTTACAACAATCCAACTAAGCCGGAGTCCATCACGAAGCCCCCGCCACAACTTCCCATCTTTCCTTTCTGTCTCCATAGAAGTAATTGGTGGAAGACCATTAGCAACAGAAAGGAAAACCTCACCATCGTTGTCATCGTCTCTATCAGCATAAGTAAGAAGATCAATCCGAAAGGGGCAGTTGTAAAACCAACCATTGAAGCCATTTGCATTTGGAATGCCCCAAAGAACTTTTGAGCAGATTATTTTATCCTTGTACCTGATGTCCACAAGAGAAACAAAATCCGATGGTGAAATACTTTCAAATTCATCCATGTCGCCGTAGTATTCAGCCTCAGTCCATTCCTCAGGGTATTCAAGGTAGTCATTCCATTGATACTCTGAAACTTCCTTGTTTACTATAAGGGGAAAACAATCAGCATAGAACTTTCTGAATCCACCAATGGATAATATTAAACTTTTGACATCCTCCCTATTAGTTGAAGGCCACATAGAAGAGCACACATCTTCCCATAATCTCTCTTCTTTTGAGATGGAACAGAATGCTGCACAAGCACATGCTGCACTAGCCAATGTTGGTCCATCAAGACGCCTCAATATATCGTAGAAAAGATCTGTGTTCAAAGATGCCATATTCTCAACTGGTGCAACTGGCATTGCAGTAGATCTCTGATAATCAGGGAAACAAAGCACATGATAAATCCGATAAGAGCTCTCAAGATAATTACAAATTTTTTTACAAGAAGATAAACACAATATTAAGACAAGTTACACCAACAAAAGTCGTCAAACCAAGGGCCAGAACATTTTACTCTGGAATAATATACACAGAACTAAATGATAAAGTGCTTTACAGAGAGTTTTCACCAACCTTGATTAGGTCAAGTAACTAGGGCTAATCAACACCGGCATGCAAACCAACTCATTACAAGGTTTACGGGTAACCCAGTCTGGTTGTAATTGAACTGCTTCAAAACAAAACAAAAAAAGAATCAGTGGAAAGGAAATAAGGGCAGGATAAAACAGAAAATGTACCTACAAATTTAAAAACCAATAAAAGCTTCAAGCAGAAACTTTATAACCAAGAAATTCCTTTCAAAGATAAGAAGTGTCCTATGAAACCTAATCCAAACCATTAGTCTCTTCACTAGACTGAACAAAGATTTAGAAAACAAAACAAAGTGAAATGACAACCATTATCAAATTGTCCTTTTACCCAAAAGACCACTATAGATACAAGAGAGGAGGAAGAAAGACAACTTAAATCACTGTTGAAACCAATAATGGAAACAGTATGGGAAAGAGTTTGTTAGTAGTTAGTGCCTAAATTGGCAAAGTGCAAGTGGTTCCAATAAAACTTTAACACAGAGAGTACTTGCAGATTGGATTATCACAATTTAGGTGCCTTTCATAATGTTTGAAAAGGACAGGATGTGTGTATTATTAACAAAATTAAACCAGAGGAAGAACTTCAAATTCGCGAAATCTCTTTATGGTACTACATCTCACCAATGCCTCTAAAGATGTAAGTATTCATTCACTAACTTGGCAAGAACATTTCTGTTTTTAGTTTTTAACAAATCCACAACGCATAATACAAGCAAGTATCAAGATCATATAATGTGATTTGTCCTGTTAGACACAATGACAGGCTTCAGAATTTGGTAACACTAAATACAAATTCAAAAGCATCGAGGCCTCTGTAAAAAAAAATAAAATAAAAAGAGAGAGAAAACAGAGCAATGAAAATTTAAAAAGCCGACAGCATAGATAACCATACACCATATTTGATCACAGCCTCCGAAACATGAGACATGTACTTCATTCTATAATTGAATTCTAAAAGTAATAATGGATCAAATAGTACAAATAAGAAAGACCAAATTCAATTCTAAAAGTAATAATGGATCAAATAGTACAAATAGTAAAGACCAAATTCAATTAAAAGGTGGACAAGGTGGAAATAATTAAGGGGGAAAAAACAGCTTTGTCCTTCCGAGTACCAACTTATGACAAGTAAAACATGTTATGGGCAAATTCCCTTTCCTGTTCGTTCAAAGATGACAATTGTCTCTTCAAACAAAGAAAATAAGATTCCAATATAATACATGGCAAAAGAGAAAACTGCAAACGCTACTTAAGAAAACACACAGCAAGCTAGAGAGAAATGAGAAAATAAGATTGAGATGGGCACCAAACTCGAGTGATAAAAGGGCTAAATGCTTAATAAATACATAAAGACACCAAATTACAAACTCACCCAAATCAAAATGACAAACACGAACCAAATTCCCACATAAACACAAACCAGAAACGAAGGCTTTGCATAATCAGCATGAAGAAACTGAGAAAATAAGAATTGGGTTTGGTGTTGCTAACCTCATTGATGATAACCCATGAGCTCACATGAACAACAAAACAAAGAAGCTTCAACACAACACAAGGGCAGGCTTTGACCTGTTTGAGATTTCCAATGAGAGAAGCATGAAGCTAAAAAGAACCCAGATGGCAAAAGACGAAGGCAAATCCGATAATATCTTGTTAATCAAAGCGACAGGTTCGTGGGTCACTTTCCATTTGTATTTTGGGAAAGTTACTGGGTCACTGTGATCCTTTCTTTACTTTATGTTACACGAAACGAAACTACAAGATATGGGATTTTGGCTCTCTCTCTCTCTCTCTCTCTCTCTCTCTCTCTCTCTCTCTCTCCCTCTCCTATTATGCGATCCAGTCCACTTCCATTAACCGGCCAAGTTTTGCCACCTCATCCCATAAATTTATTGGACCAACCATACCTTCATTTATACCAACCCCTAACCTCTGTGTGTTGAATTGCTTTTTATATTTTTTATAATAAGAAATTGTTAAAATATCATATCATGAAAGTTGGAGCCACTGAAGCATGAGTGAGGTAGAAAGAGTGTGTCCGTCTTTGCCCTCAAGTTTGATTCTCTTCTCGTAATCTTTATCAATTGATATTCCCAAAAGTAAAATAAAAAATGCCTTAACTAGTTAAACCTTATAGCATTAGGTGGTAACGCCCCACAGCTAGATAGATGGGAAGGAATATGTTATTAAATAAATGCACATAGGTTAGGTTAATGTGAATAATATTATTTTTTTAGGTCAAACATACAGGATGATATAACTCGCATACCCTATAACTCGAATTTAGGTGACTAATTACTTTCACAAATAGGTTGATTAATTGGTGAGATCTGAGTTGTAATGACGTTGAATTTAGAAGTCACTAGAAATGAAAAGATAAGGACCAATGAGCAGAGTGGACATAATCGAGGTGAAGAAATTTGTGTAAAAAGTGGGAGTTGAAAATTGAAATTGGCATGAAAGGTAGAGGTCGCCTGCAAGCTCACCAACAATTGGTGGGGTCGAAGGCTGTAGGCTCACCACGTGGATAAGCTGGTGGAGATTGGATAAGGACATGGCAAGGGTTTGACTGAGACTCAGGGAGCATGCTCCCATCCCATCCTATCACCACCATCATGGTTGCGCGGCGCTCAACTCAATTTCTCCTTTAGCTCTCTTTCAAGGCATTTGGTGATTGTGTACCGATGTGCTTTGTAGTCGGGGGTACACTACAGCCTGGTGCTCCTTTGTCCTCGTGTCCTAATGTCTACCAGATTGGGAGGGGAACGGGGATCATGGTCTCATGGAGATGTGGCTTCTCAAGATTTCTAGGTTTTAATTCCTTTGGTTATTAGCGGAATGACGAGAGTTGTTATTAGCACTCGAATAAAAGCGACTTCTTAGGTCACATTTAGCGAGTAGGATTGAATTATTTCAATTAAAATGAGCAATGGATTCTGACTATTTATTAGGTGTGCTAAAACTGAACTTATTAAATTAGACAACAGTCTAACATGTTAAGTCTTACAAGTCCCATCTAGAGGGATAAGACTCATAAGGACTAATTTGGACTGAATTCCGGTCCAATCCAAGCCGGTTAGACAAGTAGAATTCTATAGTGAGGGTCTCATCTAATATGAGACAATATCTTTTAACCATTGGATCAAATCGGTTAGTTGAATCGAACGATATCTCATCCAAGGGTCTTTTTGGACAAATCATTGTTGAGCGTTTCCAGTTTGCCCAACCCAACCCACAAAAGAAAGGCCGGCTCCAGTTTTTAATGGGCTTAATGAATAGAAGAGTAGGTGACATGACATCGGCCTGGACCATCTCTTCCAAGAACGCGGCCAATAGTCATAAATAACAGGCTAAGACCCCAACCAACATACACAAATCAAGTGAGCCCAAAAAACCCAAAACCAGGGGGTTTCTAGAACAATCTAGATCTCCTCTTGTTTTCGTATGAGGATTCATGCTCTGCAATTGCATCAACCAAATCTGTAATCTAAAATCCAATAATCCTCTAATTCCAAAAGTTTTCAGGGTTGAACTCAATAGAAAGACAAAATAGTTTTCATAAGAGCAGAGAGAGATCACAAATTTCACTAGCCAGTAATGTCCTCCAGTGCAACAATCACACAATAAGAAAGTTGTTGAAATTTAATTCATTAAAGAACCTACAATTTCAAAACCCCATTGTTGTTAATGCCTATTGGTGTAGTAGATAGTAGATAGTAGATAGTAGATAGTAGATAGGCTAGTGTTTCCGAGTCTGCTACCTTAAAGAGTTGAAGGCTCATTCATCAGCAGCGGTCTCGGCAGCCTTGACGACGTCGTCTTCGTCGGGGTCGCGAGCAGGGTCAGACTTGTCCATGGCGGCACGAGCCTTGTCAAGCCAGGGCTTGAAAGCCATCTCTATGGCCAGCCATCCAACTGCTAGGGCTCCGAACACCACCATCGCTTGCTGCGTAGCCGTCGGCTTCCCCATCTCTTTTTCTACCTTCCTTCCTTTGCCTTCTTCTACTTGACAAAGTTTGACGAATTTCAAAGTTCTCAAAAAATTCTCGATTCTCTACGCGTCTTGCCTTTCCTTGGAGGTGCAGCATTATATATACTATGGTTTGTTTGGCTCTGGGTTTACGTCCCGTCACAGTCTGGGTTTGGACCCTGTTTGGTCACTGGGGAATCAGAAACCGGGATAAGAAAGCTGCCCGTCAGACAGTTTGGACCACCCCGCTTTCTCTACGCGTTAGTTTGTATTGTATTTGTATCCAACTCAAGTTTTTGTATTTGTACAATCATGCCCAACAAGCCTTTTTGCTCAATTTACGCAAATCCCTTCATTAACAGAATTTTTCTATGTATCACAAACCTATCTTAAAACCAAAAACCAAAAACCAAAATGTAAAACATCTTAAAATAAGAACTGCCCCTGCTCTCAAGTTTAATCCACCTCTCGATAAATAGAGATAGGATATTAACATATTACTATGAAGTCTCATGAAAAAGATTCATCAGGTTGACATGGGACAATGTCTGTAGAGGTGGTTTAAGATCTAAAAGCTAAGCAACAACTGATCCTGTCTCATGCAAACTTCAATCAAATTCCGATACAATGAAGAACAATACGGCATAGCGGCAACCCCTTGTCGAGATCCAAGCTATTAGCCACCTATATCACCTAATAAGAGATGCAACTTTCAAAAGCATCAACAAGAATAGGGAGCGCTAATTTTGGTGCCTCAACACCCAAAATGAAAATGGGGAACTGTATATGAGATGTCAAAAGCATATCGATTACCAACTTCTTAATAACATTTTGGGAGTTTCACTAGGGATAGACAACGAATAAAAGTGCAATACCGAAACTCATTTAATGTCTCCAAGATCACCAACAAGTTCTTCCTACAACAAAGGTGTTTACATAACCATGTGCCACAAAAATTATAACCCGTGCGACATCTTTAACGGCCACGCCCACGTCCCCGACCACGACCGCGCCCACGTCCACGGCCCACGGGTCTCCCTGAAATTGAAAAAACAAAGACAGGAAATAATGAGTAGAAGATTTATGACAGTGACCTGCGAGATAGCACTGGGTAAATCAAGAAAAATAGGTATGATTTTAAAAAGATAATTATATCTAAGCCCAATACAAGTTGCAGTACCTGCAGTTGGCTTCTTGGGCTTGACCCTAGGTGTCTCTTCAACTAGCAAAGTCTCAAGATTCAAACTATCTGGGAGGATATAGTATCGAATATTGTTTCCCCTCACGCTGAGATGATCCAGAGTCACTGGGTTTTTCCCCTTCAGCGTAAGTTTCACTGTCTTCAAATGTGTATTCATACTGATATCCACACCTGTACAAGAAGTTACCAGTCAGACAGAACAGCTACTTTTCTCCCCTATCAAGTTAGTTGGACACAAGGCACATCAAAGTGTGCAACAAAATCAAGATTTAATCTATTATCTATGTAATAAGTTAAAAGTAAAACAAATCATAGACTCTTCATTTCTCTCCACAAGGCAATCCAGTCACAAAAAGCTGAAGCTTCTTCAACCATTACTGGATACTATTACATAATACACAAGAATCTCCTTTGGAGAGTATTAATAAAAAATTAGCTGTTCTACAGAAACATTTATGTTAGTGATGCATGTAAAGCAGGGTCAAATCTCTCATTGAGTCATTACAAACAAACAAATTGTAAACCTAAATTTTTGAAGAAAACAGGCGTTAAACATATGAACAAATCATTTTCTCATAAAATGTTGTGTAATATTTGTAACACTAGGTTTACCAGTAAAGAAACCACCATAAGATTTTTTTGTCTTTTACTAGAGGATCAAACTAAAAAGCATCTTCTTCCCATTCCAAAATAAGGACTTGAAAGTTCTGCTGATGCTCTGTAGCCCATGCGTAGTTAAGGAATTGATTATCATACATAGAAGTAATCAGGGGGCTCAAGCAAATTATGTGCTGAAAAATGATATCCATGGTTTAGAGATAAACCACAACTCTATCCCAACTCTTGAAAATCCAATGTTGAACAAATTCATAAGCTCTGACTTTGGGTCAACACTTTGAAAGGAAAACAGAGGCATCTCAAAGTATACAACATTTGTTAGACACATGTTTGTTCACATCATAAAAGGATCAGAATTTCCAAGGAAATTCCTTCTACAAAGAAATCAAAATGATACAGCTGCCAGAAACTGAACATATATGCTGTAATCGAAATCATTAACAAGTCTCTTAAACAAGCCTGACCTCACAAAGATGTCATGTGCCCAATACCATAAGTAAGGAAACTATTCAAATCTTCCAGTATTCTAGATACTTGGACATATCCTGGTTCGCAAGTAATCTACGCACGTGGTTCGCAAATAATCTATGCAAGTAAAAAGAAATTATAACTACTGAGCAATCTATGATGACAGAGCATATGTAATGTACATAACAAACTTATAACAAGCCATTACAAGTCCTAAAACTTTGTCAATTGCATCTTAGTAGACTCTAAACTCGGGTGGTATCCATGCTCTGCTGATGCTTCTACATGGTCAATTTATACAAATTGGCAGAGCCGGATGAGTGAAAACTTAGTTCTATAAACCCCCAGAGGGAAACAACACTCCAATCTGAAACTGTGGGAAGAGCTGAACGTCCTAAGACAACCCATGGAGATGCCCCACAAAGAGAAACCAACAACATAATTTCTCCATTTTTCACTAAATTCGTCTTATGCAGTATAACTGATAAGAATCTAACATTAAATTGAAGGTAAGACCCACTTCTGCTATAAACACAATAATCACATTCTACACTACACAAAAACTAGTATAAGTTGTTTTATAAGTTAAAATAGGGTAGCACAAACCTAGGGTTTAATTAAACCCTATTATGTAAAAACTTCACTGTTCATATCATTTTAGAAAGAAAGGAGTAAGAGGCGAACACAGAAATACCTGTAATGGTGCCGTTGACAACGGTGCCGTTCTTGAGCTCGATCGACACTGTCTCGTTGTTCAACTTCATCAAGAACCTGCATATTTTCAATTTCCATTTTTACTTCTGTACCAGCAGAAAATTTGCATCGCTGTTAACTGAGGAAGAAGAAGAATTAGAGGAAGAGAGAGAGGAAGACTAACCTGACGAGCTTCATTGTTGATAGAGAGACGACAGCTAGGGCTTAGGGTTTTGAAGCGTAACCAAAAACGAAGCGGGAGAATGGGGGATCTTGTCTGTGCCGCACAGAATGAAATTAACTTTAGGGCTCGGGCTGGTGAGGAGGTCTCTTAGTAAACGACGGCAAAATTACTTAAACGCCCTTCCTGAATCCTACCGGCGTAGTATAATACGTTGTCGTTTTATGAGCTGCCGACTCACTATACCGCGAGCTGGGCTTAAATGGAATCGCACACAAAATATTCATGTGTAAGTCTCTAATCTTTAATCAGCCCATTAAGGTTGAGCCCAAGATATTTTGAGGTGAACAAAACTCGTAATAAAATCCTTTGTGGTTATAGTTAATATTGTTACTAATCTCCATCCAAATCAAAATTTCTATCATATTACCCTTCAATTCGAACCAATGTGTGCGTCATTTACACGGGTAAAAGTTCCTTGTAAGCATGATTTATGAGACAAATGAGCTTTAATAGCTAAAGATGATATTTTTTAATCCTTACATAAGACAGTGACATGCATACACACAAAATCTAACGTACTTTTTATTGAATGTTGGATTTGAACTAAGATTTGCAACTATTTAACGACAACTGTATTATTACAGTTGTTTTTCACTACATAAAGTAACATTGACATGCGACCCACACATGATACTATTTTTCACCTTAGTATCTCAAAGAAAGATGGCTTTTTTTTTCTTTTTTTTCCATCTTAATTATACTACAATACGGATTAGAGGATATTAATTTATGGGGGCGTACGAATAAAAGAAGACAACTCTAGCAACTCAAACATGACATAATTCCTTATTGGCTAACTAGTTGCTTTGTGGGCACCAAATCCTCCCCTTCCCCAAATTTAGAAATGCAATTTACCACTTCACCATTTTCCCAAACATCATATATGACAGTTTTAGTATCCATCTCAAACCTTTATGCTTAATCAATTGGTAGAAGCAAAGTTTATGAAATTTTTTGAAAGTAGTTATAGTACAATGACTATTATTGAATTTTTGGTATTGGTCTATTCGAAGATGCCATTGATTTTTGTTTAATTGGTAACAAAGAATAAAAAAAAATAAATCAGAAATTAGAGAGGTTGGGTGGAGCGGGGGACAGGACAGGGCCGGTGTAGAAAGCAAACAACTAAACATAGTCGCTGGCGGTTCCTTAAGATATATAAACGAAGCGTTTTCATTGAACCGTTAGTTTGTTTGTTGGCTCTCTCTCTCTCTCTCTCTCTCAACTTGTCTAATGTTCTCTCTGAAGTCAGTCTGATCCATCCAAACCTAAAACCCTAGACTCTCTGAGTCTCATCGATTCAGCAGATTGAAGAATCCAAGTCAATGGTACATACATAGATCCATATCACTCCTATCCTATGCTTATCTTTAAAATCTCAATCCAAAAAATGAAATATATATATATATATATATTTATCCAAAACATAATTGGGATTTTGTTAACTATGTCATTTTGATTTGTTAACTGTTGCCTTTGTTGGGTGGTGCTTAATTCCTTATTAGGATGGAGAAGAAAGAAGCTTGGGCTTGAAAAGAAAGAACCCATATCAGGATTCTGGGTTTCAAAGTAGGAACCATCAAGCTTTTGATAGACACATGCTTCCTGAAGGTAGGTAATGCTAACACTGATTATTAGTCTAGTTGGTGATTAGAAATCAATCATATTTGATTACAAGCTAATGGGTTTGTTCTTGTGCTATTAGGTTGGGTGGGTTGCCCTGCATATGGTGAAGAAATAAGTTGTATAATTCCTTCAAAAGTACCGCTTGGTGAGTCTTTCAAGGATCATATTCGTGGTGAAACATACACTCCAAAGCAAGTCATTCATCAACAAAGACTTCTAGGAAGAGAAGTAATTCCTTTTTTCATAAAGTACTATACATTATATTGTATGATGTTGTTATGCTGACTGATTTTCATTTTCCAGCTTGGTTTAGTGATTGATTTAACAAACACTACTCGTTACTATCCTGTTTCGGATTGGACAAAAGAGGGCATTCGTCATGTTAAGGCAAGTGTGTTTGTGTTCTGTTCCTAGTTAGTGAGGTTTATATTTTGTACTTATGTCCTCTAATTTGTCTGTGCCAGATACAATGCAGAGGAAGGGATTCCGTACCTGATAATGTAGCTGTAGATAAATTTCTCTATGAGGTAAACGGTCTCTATGCTAATTTTATGAAAAATTCCCTTGACCCATTAGAAAGTTGAATGCTTTTTTCTTCTCTGGAATTCACGTTGCATCATTGTTTGGTGATGAGTTTATAAAAAGAACAAATATGTCGCTGATTTTGTGATTTTTAATAGGTATCACAATTTTTCTCCCATAGAGCTGACCCAACGGAGTGTATACTTGTCCACTGTACACATGGGCATAACCGCACCGGTTTCATGATTGTTCATTTTCTTGTGCGTAACGAATCAATTTCTGTTACCGAGGTAAGTAATTAGTTCTGTTGTAGTAATTTTGGTTCTGATTGAATCTATTCCATTATCCAAGAAACATTCATCACTTTTTTTGGACTGACCATTCTGCAGGCAATAAATAAATTTGCCAAGGCACGGCATCCAGGAATATATAAACAGGACTATATTGATGAACTTTACATGTTTTATCATGAAAGAAAGCCGGAATCAGTTGTTTGCCCTCAAACTCCAGAGTGGAAGAGATGTTCCGATCTTGATGACAAGGCTGGAGCTGTGATGTATCAGGACAATGTATGTATTGTTTGAAATTAGTTAATCCTGTTTAATGTCTGCTCAGCAGTACCTTTTCTCTTGTTTAAGTACCTAACTGGATGCCCAACGTGTTTGGCTGTCAAACCACTTCCCAGTTGAAATGCTTATATGCGAGGTCATGTGTTTGGAAACCGTCCTTGTGATATCCATTTTTTTTAATGACGAAATTCAAATTGCACCTTTGCCTTTGGTTTGATCGTTACTGAAAGTGGATTTTTCCTCTTCATCTAACTTTTCTTCTTTTGAATGCATTAGGAAAATCATGTGAGAAATGAAGCAATGACAATTGATGATGTTTTGGGTGAACCAATACCTTTTGACCAGCAAAAAACAATGCGAGAAGCCTGTTATCATGCACTCAAGTTGGGTGTAGGGGTAGGCATTCAAATCCAGTGCTTTGAGTTATGCTTTGTATATTAAGATGTAATGTCAATATTTTATTACTTCTCCTTCTTCATGATGTTGCTGTCATTATATTCTGATTAATTTATTTCTGGCTATGTCCTCAGGGTAGAGGGAATTTACAATTTCCAGGGTCGCATCCTGTTTCGCTCAACAGGTTTGATTTAACAATAGCCATATCAATGACAATTATGTACTTCTACTGGTTTGGACACAGTTTTTTTAAGCATTATAAACTGATGGTGGCCTTTTCAGATCAGTAATGTATTAAAATGGACTAAATATACAATTGGATACTTTCAGTTTGTAATTAGGAAGTTCCTTAATGAATTTTCATCAAATTCTTTTTCAATGAGTGGACATCCAGTTTTCCTTTGGGTATTATAAATTCAGTTGTTCTAATTTTGGCATATAACTTTGCTAAGCTGTTTCCACATGCTATGGTTTTGTTGTGAATAATACCTTAAATGAAAGTATTTTTTGCTGATACAGCTTATGTTGCTTCATCCTTCAAAGTGAACAAGGCCAACCATTTTTATGAGTAATTCCAAGATTTTACTTCTTAGGTGGTTCAGGCTAGAGTCTGATTGTTTCAGAAGATATTTGCCTGATATTGGTTTCCTTTTGTCCAAATAAATAAATAAAAGGGTTGTTATTCATTAATATTATTTAAGGCATACTATCATCATATTTAAAGGTACTTGGTTTATGGTTCATACAACACTAAAGTTTGCATATCATTATGTTCTCTGTAGGGACAACCAACAATTATTAAGGCAACGCTATTACTACGCCACATGGAAAGCTGATGGAACACGTTATATGATGCTAATTACTTGGGACGGCTGTTACTTGATTGATAGGAAATTTTGTTTCCGAAGGGTCCAGATGCGTTTTCCTTGCAAATTCTCAAATAAGGTGTGTATGTGCTTACAGTTTTGAGTTTTGACACATGGAACTCGCTTAGTTTGATGTGAAGTATTTCAATAGATGACTCTTTTGTAATCATTTTTTGAAGGTTATACCTGAGAAGACTCACCACTTCACATTACTTGATGGAGAGATGATAATTGACACTGACCCAAATACTCATAAGCAAGAGAGAAGATACCTCATTTATGACGTCATGGCAATCAACCAACTCTCTCTCACAGAGGTTAGATATATGATAATGTCATGGGAATATATCTTGATAGTTCACGTTCCCCTCCACCCCCTCCTTTTTCTTTTGGATGGTTTATTTTCCAATCTCCGTGTTGCTGGCAGCCTCTTGCATTGGACTGGCCTTTTTATGGTGTAGTTTCCAATAGCAGTAGGCTTTACATAAATTTGCTGCTTGTGTATTAAAATAGATTTCTTCTTGTTCTGTGTGTGAGCATACTGAGCAGGTTTATAGGTTCTAAACTGAGGTTTTGAATGTTGGTCGTTCATATCCTTTCTATTACACTATAGCTCCAAACATTTGATCCAAGGGTTACCTATTGACGCTTGTTATTCAGCCAATTTTTCTAAGGGTGGAGAAACATTATGGAGCAGATTTGTCTGCTTCAAATGCCAGTCACATATGCATATTCCCTCTCCCTAAGATGGACTATCCTCATGTTTTGTCAAGTATAATGTTTTCTGCTTAGGTTTCCTTCTTTTGACTCCCACTTTTGATATCACAGCATGTCATCTTTTATTAGACTTATAATGAATTCATTATAAAATACTTCAATTTATTAATAAGTTGATATCTAAAAATGGTCCAGTTGCCATTCCATGAACGGTGGAAAATGCTTGAAAAAGAAGTGATTGAGCCTCGAAATATGGAACGTGATACTCTTTCCAAGAGTCCAGAGCCTTATTACAGATATGACTTGGAACCATTCAGTGTATGTATCTCGACAATCGAAGATTACACTAAATGTTTTGATTCCCTTTAACCATTAATGTTTCTAGTTGCATATTCCGTCATGGTTGGTGTTTTACTTTGTTATAGATGTTCATCAGGTGAGGAGGAAGGGTTTTTGGTTACTGTCTACTGTTACGAAACTTTTGAGGAAATTCATTCCTGGGCTTTCACACGCATCTGATGGTCTGATATTCCAGGTGATTAAGATTTTGGAGCCCTTCACAGTGAGCAAGTTCATTATGTGGTTATATTGCCCTATACTTCATTATGTGCTGATGATCCCTCTTTTTCAGGGCTGGGATGATCCATATGTACCCCGCACACATGAAGGTCTTTTGAAGTGGAAATTTCCTGAAATGAATTCAGTTGATTTTCTCTTTGAGGTTGTATGATGGCTTTTCTTTTCAGACTGTAACACGTCTTAATTTTAATTTAGTTTCATTTGCTGCAAATTACAGTGTTCTGTTCAACTCTCTTCTCTGTTTACTTATACCATGATGATAACCTAAAAATAGTTTCTGTGTTGACAGTTAGGAGTTGATGGTCGGGAACTACTTTTTCTGAATGAGCGTGGAAAGAAGAAGCTAATGGGAGGCTATAGGGTGGTTTTTAAAGGTCGCATTTTGATACTTATGTATTTGTTTCATATTTACCATCATATTTATGTTGACAAGTTATGATCAAGAATTTGTAGGCACCTGATTGTGTTGATTTAATTTTAACTTAGCTCGGAATCTAATACTGTGATATTACGAAATCCACCTGCAGATGAGCTCGACCCTGCGCTTTGTTCAGGGAAAATTATTGAGTGCTCCTGGGATGCGGAGGGAAATGTATGGGTGTGCATGCGGACTAGGCCAGACAAATCAACCCCAAATGAGTTCAATACCTATAAGAAGGTATTTTTTATATCCTGTAGCAGTTAACGTTCTTGGTTTTTTTTCTTCCTCTTTTCTCTAAAACGTGTGTTTGTTTTGGAGTAATTAATGAAGCCGTGTTTCTCATCTGAAACAGGTAATGCGAAGCATAAAGGATAATATCACGGAGGAAGTTTTGTTGAAGGAGATAGATCAGATTGTCCGGCTACCCATGTATGCTGACCGGATACGGAACGATATTAAGGCCCATGAGCACAATTCTTCTTCCCGGCGCCGGTGATTGTGGTACTCAAATAAGCATATTTCCAATTAGAGGTCACAAGAAATGGGGATAGCAAATTCAGTGTAACCTTCCCCAATGATGTAGTTTATGTTATGTTTTTGTCATATCAGGTCAGGGATCCCACTATCGATTTGTATCATTATCAGCAAAAGGATCATAGTTTTTTCTTTGCTATGGATCCCATGGTGTATATTAGCAACGTCTTAATCCAATTAATTAATTCATTCATTGGTTATTCTCGATCATTGGGCCGTTTTATCGTTTTAGTTTGTACGGCATTTTTGTAATAACACCATATCATCTTTTGTTTTGTTTTTTATTTTGAGAAAAACAAACAACGGTAAATCCATGCCCCATTAGGAAAGACTCTCCTTATATATATATCCTGCACTGTCTAGACCACTATGCGTGCTTTGCAAAGCTTGTCAAGTATCTTTTAAGAGTAGCTACGGCTTTGTGTTGTTTCATTAGAAATAATAGAAATCTCTCACAAACACAATGGTGAAAAAGTCAGAAAAACCGAGAGAAGGTGAGGAGCAGTCCAAAAATTTGACGAAGCCAATGTCGTTTCCATCCAAGTCTTCGATCAACAAAAAGAGGAAATCAAAGTCGACGGAGGAGAAGAAGGATGAGGGTTATGTCGATGATGATATTTTTGTTGATCTTGAGGATTTAATGCCAGACTTGTTCAAGTCTTTGGAGCATGAGCAGGTTGCTAGTAATTGCACCAGAAGTCCAGAAATCGATCCAATTCCCCAGTCAGGCAATAATTATGATTTTTTTACTCTAGCAGATATTGAAAATATGTTTGAGGATGATTTGAGCAACATTAATGTTAATGGTAATTACTTTCCAATTACCAATAATGATGATAATAATAGCCCCTCCATCAACAATGTTGACGCGGCGGTGACGGCGCATGTGACCGGAGTTGAGGAACATGAGACGACAAGCTTTGAGGCAAATGACAACTTTGTTATTGATTATTTAATGGATATGTTGGATAATTGCGACGACAGTGAGGGTGGCAAAAATTACGATGGTGACGATGGCAGCGAAGATGATGACAACGATGATGATGATAGCGGCCAAGATGACAACGTTGGATACGATAGTGACGATGGTAGCGACGACGATGATGGCGGCAGTCCTCTATTGCCAAGCTGCGATGTTGATCAATTATTTGAACAATATATTGTTTTCGCTTAATTAAAGTATTATGTTCAATTTCTATATATGAAAAAAATTAGAATTCTCTTTTATCTTTTTAGTGATCCAATTTCAAATGAAATTTGTTATCTTATTGTTGATTTCAACATTTAAATCCATTTCGACAGATAGTATGAATCAAAATTTTGGTTAATTTTTTATTCTTAATTAAATTGGCTATTAATTAATTCTTCAGGAAAGAAATTTTTGACTATCAATTAAACATTCACGTGGTTCTTGATAATAGACATATCTTACTAATTTGGTGCTTATGATTCAATCCAATTCATCCAAATCAATATATACAATTTAATTTTGATTAATGAATTGGGTTCTTAAGTTCTTAAACAAATATTATTGGATTGATTTTTAAATTTCAAAACCGACACGATTATATTTATGGCGAATTAACTTGTGAGAATTCAATCTAATTAATTTTTTTTTTCCCATAATTAAAGAAAAAAAGAAAAAGGAACGAACCACAGCCGGCTTAAGCAATTAATGAAGCAATAACCGCAATTAACAAGAGAGATGATTACCGCCACAACAAGAACGGGCAACACTAATACTTTCCTACTTGAGTGACACTCAAACTTGGTGACGTGGACTAAAGACAAAAGCTAGTGACGTTGTATTCCTGATTTCTTTCCTTTCTGGAGCTCAAGAAATCAATATTTTATTTGCTCTGTTTCCTGAAGACGACGAAGCTTTGCTCCGTACATCATATTGACCTACTGCCATCAGGAAAATCATGGACAGAATTTGTTTTCCAAGATTCACCAGAGAAACCCAAGTTCTCTAGCTTCCTATATATTTGTTGCAAGCTTTTCCTTCTCAATTAACTTCTCTTCCTACTAGCCAATATTGTGTGTTGTCCGCCAACCTCTCTGTGTGTGTGTTTTTTTCTTCTTCTGGTTCTTGAATGGCGGATTCAATGGCCAGAAAAGGTGAGGACCGCAAACGCAAACGGTGTGAAAGTAGTCCGTCGTCAGAAGAGACTTCAGCAATGCCGAGCGCGAAGAGGCATGCGACGCTGCACAGGAAAGCAGAGAGGCTTGAAGAACTCCATGCTAAGGTTTGCATTGTTTGTTACAATCCGAATGGTGGCAATTTTTCATTGTGGCCAAAGGATCCGGCCAAGGCCAGAGAAATCATCACGGAGTTCCGAGAACGTAAGAAAACCAGATCGTCGTCAGGTCGAAGAAAGAAAGAGGTCAGTATTTCGGATTTGTTGGGAAGTAACTTGAAAAAGAAGCGCAAAGGAAAAAATAAGGGTTTTGATGAGAAGGAGAACCTGAAGCTTGGTAAGATTATAGAGGCTTTGAAGACCAATATACAAACTTTGGAAGAGAATATTAATTCTTCTTTCGAGGGAAGAAAAACAAAAACTATTCAGCCATATATATGTGGTGAAGAGAGCACGGCAGAATTGTTGGAACCAAAGAGTTCTAAATTCAACAACGACGGCCCAACTTTGCCGATATCCGGAGGTAATTTTTACGACGATAATATCGAATTTCCTTATGGATTTGACACTAATGGTATTTGTGGTAATGCTAATTTGGAGCCTGGTTACAATAATGGAGACTTTGGATTAGTTAAGCCGGAGAATTTTGGTGGGGTTGATACTTATAATTATAACTCTGCTCCATTGGGGTCTTATTCTTCTGCAAGCTCAAGCTGCTGGGTCGACATGCTGCAAGGAAGAAACACATCAATGATATCTCCACTTAATGAGGCATGGTTGTGGCCTCCTCAGCCTTTGCAATCTCAGATGATCAATGATCACAACAACTATACAAATATGCCTAACTTGTTTTGATCCCCCCCTGACACCGTCGAGTGCTTAGTTTCTAGCTTAATTCCAGTTTATTAATTAATTGTAACATGAGAAGCTTTTTCCTATTATTAACTCCATGTTTAGAAAGATTATCCACAATTAAGACCATAATTTCAGTTTTTTTTTCCTACACCTTGTCAATGTTTTAGCTTGGGGATCAATGATCATGAGTATTTACTTTCGTTTATTGTTGGTCGTTTAATTCCCTTTTTAATGCAAAAAACCCACTAGTGTAGTGGTTTGGAAACAATTTCTCTACCAGGAAAGCTCATGGGGTTTCAAGTTTTAGCATTAATTTAGTATAATAACTTCCCTCTCAATAGGAAGTCTTTTTTAAAAAAAAAAAAAAAAAAAAAAAAAAAAAATTTGGATAATTTAGATTATAGTTTAAACATTAAAGAAACGCATCACATTATTTTTTTGGATATTGTCATTATGTCTTCACAAAAATGCCTTTTAATTTATAACAAAAATTCAAAAAAATTATTAAGCACACCAAATTTCTGATAAAACTCATAAACCAAATTTGAAATTATAGAAGGTTGCGGCCAACATCCTATTGGCCACTTATTAACACTGAATTATGCAATATATGAAGTGTATATAATAAGATCATCATTTAATTAAGTTGATAATTAATTGGTGGAGGTGAAGTTGAAGTTGGAGCATGTGGTTTGTCTAAACAGAAGCGAGGAGCTGAAGCCCAGCCTCGACGTGGCCAAATCGAATTGCAGCAGATTGTTCTCCAACTGGTACCCTCCGATCACAACCGAAGTCCTTGGGCTCTCACCGCCATTCACAACGGCAAGGCACAGAACGTCGTCGTTCACCTGCACCATCGAGTTGGCCCCGAACACCCTCCAGAACGTGCTCTCGTTCTGCAGCACAAGGTCAATGCTCGGCACGGCCGGCCCCACACGTGTGCTCAGCACGTTGTCCCGGCTGAAGCACACCTCGAAGGGGCCTACAGAGGACACTCTGGTAATGTTCATGGATTTAGACTCGCTGATAAAAGCCTCGGTTACGGCTTTGAAAATGGAGGCCTCGAGGACCGTGTAGGGGTTGACGGTGCTGATCTTAGTCCCACCCACGCCGTCGCGGTCGATGGACAGCAGTGTCGTGTTGACAACGACGGGTTTCTCGTTGACCTTAATTGAGTTGACTTTGATGAAGTATTCGGACGAGGCTTCCCCTTGGGAGAAGGCGGAAGCCGTGCTGACTGGATTTATGAAGAGCGGGGTGTAGATTAATGACTCTGAAACGTCGACGTTTGGGAGCATGACGTACGGGCCGTCGCCGAAGAACACGACGCCGTTTGATGACACGGAGGAAGACAAGCAGATGGCGAATTTCCTGTCGAAGCTGAAGGCGGATGCGAATTGGGAAGGGAGAGATATTCTGGTGCGGCCGAGACCAGCCATCCCCGATACACCCGCGGCGAGGCCTTCTAATAGGAACGTTGGCGCGCAAGTGAAGAGGAACTGCGAAACGCTGACGTTTCGGCCGGGGTTGAACCCGTTGGTTGACGGGACCGAGACGACGTCGTACGCGAGTTCACCGCCTGTGGCCGTGCGCGTGACCGTGTTGTCGGGGGAGAGGCCGCAAGTGTTGTTGTTGCAGCCAGGTTTCGGGGACGAGAAGCAATCGCCGCAGCCGCTGGCTCGTGCGAGTGAGCATTGAGCTGAGCGGCAACGAGCTGGGCGGTACGTGGAGGACACATAGTTTTGTTCGCAGTCGACCCATAAAAACTGGCCACCTAGATCAAGGACGAGGTTTACGGGCACGAGAGGGGTCCTTTGGGTAATATGTGTGGTGTATTGGAGGGTAGAAGCGTCTTTTGAGACTGGGATGACGAGGGCTTTGGGCCTGAAAGATTGCTGAGCCAAAACGGGAGAGGCATTGAAGAAGAGGAGGAGAAGGGTAGAGATAGAGAAGAAGAGGCAATATTGAGTAGAGGAAGCCATGGTTATGGTTGGATGGTTGAGTTGAGGGAAAGGTCTATTTATAGTTGTTGAGGTGGGCATAAATAAATGTGGCTGGCTGTGTATGCATATATGTCATGGGGGTGTTGAATTAATAACAAAGAAACAGTTTTATATATGCATGATGCTGAAAATGAGACTGGTCCCTAAATGTAGATATACATATACGCGAGGAGGATAAGGCACCGACAGCCTTAATGTCAGTGTTTGCTGCGTGGTTTCTATGCATCTAGTAGTTCAATCAAGGAGGCAAGCTGACCTTGTGAGTTTCGTTTCGTTTCGTCGACATTAATTGACTTCTAATACATCACATCATCACTCATCTATGTGATTGATTTTTGAATCCAAATGGGAGATTATCACTTTTAACATTGAGAAAAGAAGTACTCGGGGAAGATTGCATATTTTTGAGAAGTGATTTGTTCGAAGTAGTCTCAAAAGACATAAGTGAATGAATTAATTATCATGTATCTTGATGGTTGAACGAAGTAATCTCAATCGTTTAAATCATATATATCTTATAATTTTTGACTGGTATGGATCTTCAAACAAGTTAAGAGTATAGAGGGATGCTTGCTTGCATTGCCAAGAATTGTTCTTCCATATCCAACTTAATTTTTAATTATTAAGGAATTCTCTATTGTTGTAGCTGACTTTGAAATGATAATCAAATTCGACGGTCGATAATTAATTTATTGACTGGTTTTTTAAGTTAGAGAATCAGATACGTATATACTTTATTTTCGATCTTTAAATATATATATTTATTTCGAGAGTATAGCCGTTCGGCTATTCTATTTAAATACATTTTTTTATTTCACGAGTAGCTCGGCGGTTATAGCGTCTAGCCGTGCGGCCATACTAGTTAAATAAAAAAATTATTTAAATCGTCAAGCCGTTCGGCTATACTATTTATTTCCAGAGTATAGCCGACCGGCTAGACTCTATAAATATAATTTTTTATTTCAGGCGTATAGCCGTGCGGCCATACTATGTAAATATAATTTTTTATTTCAGGCGTATAGCCGAACGGCTAGACTATATAAATATAATTTTTTATTTCAGGCGTATAGCCGTCCGGCTATACTATGTAAATATATTTTTTATTTCAGGAGTATAGCCAGTCGGCTATAAGCTGTAAATATGTTTTTTTATTGCAGGAATACAGCCTCGCGACTGTAATCCATATTTTTTAATTTCAGGATTATAGCCGAACGGCTATACGAGTTAAATATATATATATATTTATTTAAGAAGTATAGCCGCGCGGGAATACTCTTTAAATATAGATTTTTTTTATTTAGGGCATATAGCCGGGCGGCTATACTATTTAAAATATTTTTTTATTAAGGGAGTACGGCCGGTTGGGTATACTCTTCAAATATATATTTTTATTTAGGGTTCAGGGTTTAGGGTTGGGTATACTCTTCAAATAGTATAGCCGATCGGCCGTACTCTTCAAATTCCAATGTTAATTTGAAAAAAGAGTCAAGTCTGGAAGCAGTTGATTTCTTCTTGTAAGCTCTTTTTGTGCTCTGTTTCTTTTGTGGATGGTGGGGCCAACCCAAGGTCTTCCGTTGTGATCGGAGGGCATCAAATGGTGGATAGTATCTCTATGATCTAAAAAAAAGATATTATTTATTTATTTAAAAAAAAAAAAAAAAAAAAAAAAAAAAAAAAAAGAATGAAATTTTGACAGAAATCTCCTCAGCTTCTCTTGACACTTGTGGCATTCTACGTTTATTTTCATAATGTCTGGCTGCAATGATATATAGATAGTTGAAGGAGACTAAGGGTAATAATGGAAACAAATTACAAGAGCTAAATGAATGAGAAAAGTACCTGAGAACAGTGAGCATGGGCAGCCCTGGAATTAGGAATGGTAGATATCTCAGATGTGTTGCAGTTTGATTTGAAGGTATGAGAGAAAGAAAGGTATTTAAACATGCAAACGTATCCTGTGTCTTAAATTGGGTGTAATTTCTTGATTGAGTGTATTAATTAATGATTTTCAAACATGCAGACAGCTTTTAAGTTGAAGTCAAATATTTGAACACATGTTTTGCAGAATCTCAAAAATTCACTTGGACAAGATATTTGGACAAGATATTTGCATAAAGAGGGAAGGATTTGAATCCCCTCAAATGGCTAAAATCCAGTCAGAAGATTTGTTTGCTTTGAATGATCATATCTGACCTTTCAAGATGCCAAGATGGAGAATTCAGAAGCATAGTTCACAATAATCAAAACAAATAGCTCGAATATTAATATTTATTCAAATGTAATGGGGGGTTTTCTTTTGTCTTCCACCAATTGAGTCATTTATTTCAAATTTTTGTACTTGGCAAACTTCAAACTAAGACAGTTCCTTCCATGACAGTAACAGCTTTCCCTCGCAGCAGCACCCTTTGATTCTGCTCATCTAGATGCACGCTTACTGCTCCGCCTCGACGGGATGCCTGAAAGTAAACTATAATGTATCAAACATACGAGGAGAACAAGTAAAGCTATGATAAGATCAGAGAGAGAGAGAGAGAGAGAGAGAGAGAGTACCGCATATGCAAAAACATCAGACTTTCCCAGTTTCTTGCACCAGTATGATGCTAAGGCACAATGTGCGCTCCCACAAACAGGATCCTGAAAGATATAAACAAGTAACACTAAGTAACGCTATTCAGCCTTGTATCAATTTTAGTTCATAAGTCGGAAATATTCCAGTTATTCCTTGAGTTCAGCATAACTGAAAACTGACGTAAACCAAACAGCAAAAGACACACGAAAAGTTTCCAAGCAGGTTATTCAAATGGTTTAAATCCACCTTAGCAGAAAAAGAAAAAGGAGGTGGGATTATAAATCCAGATACATAATCTTCACATTTAGCATAGCAAAGCTATAAAAAATATGCAACAAACTTGGGTTCCCAATATCAGGCACTTGAAAGAAACTTGATCAGAAAATAAATTAAAGCTGCTTACATCATCAATCCCATGTTTAGGGCAGAAGTATCTACTGTAAAAATCATATTCAGACTCTGGAGGAGCAATCCCTGTTACAATCACTCCCCCAGACCCTGGACATTTTTGGATTGCATCAAACTTTGGCTGCAAATCTACAACAGCTTTTGCTGATGGAAGCACAACCTGAAAATTGAAACAAGTCCTCATTTAAGAGTACATCTAGACTCCATAGATAAGCCAAAAAATAAAGGCCTAATCCATCAAAAACAAAAAGTAAGCTTATATCGATGGTAAGCATAATATATAGAGATTTTCTGGAAGGGTTGCAGGATTTACAAGCAGATCGTCGGTGACATGTGTCTTCCTTATATCAATCATAGAAGCACCATCCAAGGCCTCGGAGATCAATGAAACCTCACTAGAGTTGAATTCATAAGATGGGGCGGCAGGAAAATTCAGTTCAATGAAATAGGAGTTTTGTGCTTCACCATTTTGAATATTATTTGCACCATTGGCTGTCTTAACATCTGGAACCCTTTTAGCTGTTAGGATTCCAGATAATGTAGCAAACTCAATAAAGTTGGAATTTATCAAACCAGACTCAAAGAGAGTGTATGCGGCCGCTAATGTTGCGTGACCACAAAGCTCAACCTGCAAAAGGGTATCAATTTTCCAAGCTTGATTTACTTTTCTAAGATATCAAATTTGCCAAAAGTAGTGCCTAGTATGCATACTCTACTTTATGCATCAGTGACAAAATCAAGACATCAAATTATCAAATACCAGTTAAGCACATCAAATCCAGGGAAACTGGAGTTAAACAAGTTTACTTTTTAAAATAAACCCATACACTAAAAGGCTAAAAGGAACCATCTTTTTTACTGAATTCATGATCGTTAAAGATTTTGATACACTCAAATCTTTTCCCTGAATTTCACACTTCAATTCAACCTTGTTATTAAGAACTAAAAACAAACAAAACTATAAAAATCGATCCTTTTTTTTTTATTTTAAGGAACAGGGGGTATAAAGATCTATCCTTTTGATTTTGTGAAATCAAACACTAATTGAACAGAAGGTGAGCTAAGACCTCATTGGAAGGCGTGAACCATCTGAGACCAAACCTAGGATCTGAAGTAGGCGTGGAATCGGTGACCCGAGTCAGATAACAAGTCTCGGATAGTTTGAACTCGGAGGCCACGGCCTGCAACCACTGGTCGTCTTTATCTTCTTCTAACAAGCAAACCGCTGCTGGGTTTCCCTTGAAAGCTGATTCAGTGAAGGCATCCACCTACACACACACAACAAAACCATTTCAGCACTCAAATTCTTAACAATCTGCTTGAGCGCAACGCATTACATACAGAAGAGAGAGATTTGAGTACCACGGAGTATTTCACTGGTTTCTTCGCCATGGAAGATTGAAATTTGATTATGCAGCAGAATACACCAGAAGCAAAGAGAGTCACTCAACTCAACAACATCGCGGTCAGCCGGCGGCTGGTCTAAATGTCCCCACCAGCTAACCATCACCTACTATGACTGTGGGGCCAGAACATATCCTGTTCTTTGCCCCTTGCCCAAGCCTAAAGCGTTTGTGGGACCAGAAGCACTTCTGAACTTTTTGTAAGTGTGTCATAAAGTGTTTTTGTCCTACAAAACCACTCGTTCTAATAAAAGTGTTGCTATTTTCATTTTCAATCTTTCCTGTTTTAGTCAACATCATAAGAATTACAGCATTCATAAGGCTAAGGTGGACTGGGACAAGGCATTGCAATTTGTACCAGACCTTTTGCCAGCAGCAATCTATCTGAAAACAATTGAAAGCTTTCGTACGCACCAAATTCACCCTCTTATAGATGCTATTTCAAGTTTTAACATATGTTATTAACCAAGTTTGATGCAATGTTGGGCGGATGATAAGGTAACTGTTTTCATAGCTGAAATTGCACCTGAAAATCTTCGAGGAAGACTAACTGCTATAAACCAGGTAAGCAAGTAATCAGAAATGCAATCCTTGAAGCTAACTGGCAACAATCTTTATACCTATATGGCTTTTGATTTGATCATAACTAACTTTGCCTTTTGCTTATTTTATAGTTAATGATCGTTACCGGAGTGTCTGTCTCCTTCATCATTGGGGTAGTAGTAAGTTGGGGGGCTTTAGCAACAATCGGTGAATTTCTTAGACAACCTGTGTTTTTAATTAGAATATCCACGTGAGGAAAGTACCTAACTCTGCTGGGCTGAGCACTTGGTGAGAAGTCCAGAAATCCTTCACAGTCAAAACATCAGACACTTGGTCGACAACACAATCAAAAATTCAAAACCATACCAAAACAAGGCAAAAAAAGAGAGAAAATTTATTGCAATTAGTAGTTACGAAAGGAATTGGGGCTGTTGAGCAGCGACAGAGGAGAGCTTGATTTTTCGGAGCTGTTGAGCCCTGGAGGTGGCCGTATGTATCGCCGAGCGGCTATACTCTTTAAATATATATATTTTTTAATTTCAGGCGTATAGCCGTTCGGCTATACTATTTAAATACTTTTTTTAATTTATTTCAAGAGTATAGCCGCCAATTTAAAAATTATATTTATATAGTATAGCCGATCTGCCATACTATTATTTAAATAGTATAGCCGCACGGCTATACGCTATAAATATAATTTTTTATTTCAGGCATATAGCCGATCGGCTAGACTATATATATACACACACACACGTAATCAGCAATGCAATCCCTGAAGCTAACTGGCAACAATCTCTATACCTATATTTGATCATAACTAACTTTGCCTTTTGCTTATTATATAGTTAATGATCGTTACGTCTCCTTCATAATTGGGGTAGCAGTCGGTAGGAGGGCTTTAGCAATAATCTGTGAATTTCTTAGACTACCTGTGCTTTTAATTAGAATACCATATGATCTCTAATACAGTGGCGGAGGCTCATCTGTGTGCTGATTGCAGGAATTGTTCCCTGCGCTGTGATCATTTTCAGTCTCTTTTTCATTCCTGAGTCTCCAAGATGGTTGGTAAGAAAGTACTTCTCCTTTTCTTTTTCTGTTTATCTGATGGTAACATTCAAGAAAATGAAGACATAGATTATGACTCATCATCGGTGCAGGCAAAGACAGGACGCCAGAGAAGTTGCACTGCAGAAACTTTGTGGCAAAGATGCTGACGTTCTCACAAAGCAGCAGAAATCCAGGTTCTTATCTTCAACTCCTTAACTCATTTCCTAACCCACATTGATAATCTGATAGAGCATTTCAAAGATCATATACATAAAGGCATGTCATTTACTACCTTGACAGGAATATATAGACCTGCTCCCTCAAGCCAAATTGCTGTATTTGTTTCAAAGGAGATACTTCCGCTCAGTCATTGTGACAACTTCTCTCTATACTATTTATTCGTACAGTCATTTTTATCTCTCTTTCACTTTGAGTTAAACTTTCCTTATCAGATTGCAGTTGGGTTGATGGTCTGTCAACAATTGGGGGGAATCAATGGTGTCTGTTTCTATGTCAGCAATATTTTTGAGCTAGCAGGTATAAAACCCTACTAACTGAAAGAACAGCTTGACCATTTGACACTAATAGTCTATAATCTATGTTTCTACTATCTACAACTTCAGTGTATCTGTCTCTATCTCTTTCATCCTGTCAGCAAACTGAATCACTCACTTAAAGCAGACTTGCTATACAATTGAAAGCTAACTACTCTATTATTTGAACTATCTCAGGCTTTTCTCCCAGACTTGGAACTATAACCTATGCTATTCTTCAGGTTCTAAATTCCTACTGTGACAGCTCTTCGAATCTGGTAAACATTCCGCATAATACTATTGCTGGATTTTCTTTTAAATGCTAAAGAACAACTAACGTTTTTTTTCTTTTCCCCCTCTCTCTTGTGTACATCTGTGTGCAGTATTCAATGTTTGGCTCCATTTTGACATTTGGTGCAATGATAGGTGCTATCACAATTGGCCCCATCACAGATTTTCTTGGTAAAAAAGGGGTATGATTTGAGAAACGTAGGACACACCTTAATTGTGTTAATTGATATATTCACTATCTAACAGTATCTAAACTGTAAACTTGTATGCAGGCCTTGAGAATGTCCTGTGTTTTTTGTGTTGCAGGTTGGCTTGCTATTTACTTTTCCAAGGTTCCTATTGACTGTGCTTTTGAAATTTATCTGTGCTTTTACCTACTAAGCAAAAACTCTCCTCCTATATGTAACCTTATTCATGTCTCTGGACAATGGGAGACTGGCAACAGGGTACGGTAGCGGAGCCTTTTCATACATTGTGAGTTATTACCCTCCTCTATAATTTGAGTATTTTTTGAGACCAAAATATAGTAGAAGTACCTTATAGATTCTATTTCAAGTTTTAACATATGTTATTAAACAAGTTTGATGCAATATTGGGGGGATGATAAGGTACCTGTTTTCATAGCTGAAATTGCACATGAAAATCTTCGAGGAAGACTAACTGCTATAAACCAGGTAAACATGTAATCAGAAATGCAATCCTTGAAGCTAACTGCCAACAATCTTTATACCTATATGGCTTTTGATTTGATCATAACTAACTTTGCCTTTTGCTTATTTTATAGTTAATGATCATTACCGGAGTGTCTGTCTCCTTCATCATTGGGGTAGTAGTAAGTTGGAAGGCTTTAGCAATAATCGGTGAATTTCTTAGGCAACCTGTGTTTTTAATTAGAATATCCACGTGAGGAAAATTCCTAACTCCGCTGGGCTGAGCTCTTGGTGAGAAGTCCAGAAATCCTTCACAGTCAAAACATCAAACATTTGGTCGACAACACAATCCAAAATTCAAAACCATACCAAAACAACGCAAAAAAAGAGAGAAAATTTATTGCAATTAGTAGTTACCAAAGGAATCGGGGCTGTTGAGCAGTGAAAGAGGAGGTGGCGAAAGAGGAGAGCTTGATTCTTCGGAGCTGCTGAGGGCTGGAGGTGGTGGGGGGGAATGTATAGCCGCGCGGCTATACTCTATTTGAGTACATTTTTTATTTCAAGCGTATCGCCGTGCGGCTATACAATTTAAGAATTATATTTATAGAGTATCGCCGCTCGACCATACTAGGTAAATAAAAAATTATTTAAATAGTATCGCCGAACGGCTAGACTCTATAAATATAATTTTTTTTTATTTCAGGCATATGCCCGGGCGGCTATACTATTTAAATATACATTTTTTATTTAAGGAGTTTAGCCCGGCGGCTATACTTCGTAAATATAGCTTTTTTCAAGAGTATAGCCAATCGGCTATATGAGTTAAATATATATTTTATTTAAGAAGTATAGCTGCGCGGGAATACTTTTTAAATATATATTTTTTATTTAAGGTGTATAGCTGATCGGCTATACTATTTAAAATATTTTTTTAATTAAAGGAGTATGGCCGCTCGTCTATACACTTTAAATATATATTTTTTTATTTCAGGCGTATAGCCGCTCGGCTGTATTATTAAAAATATATTTTTTATTCAAAGTATAGCCGCGCGGCTGTACGCTTTAGCGAAACGCACATCTCAAGTACATCCTAAGAATTCTAGCTAAACTGGGATACTTACTATGATGATTTTATCGTTTTAATTTGAGTTATGTTTTTATATTTTCACAGGTTGTTTGTGATCTTAGAACTCTGAGTTCTATATATTAACTACGATACAGTTGCATAGTAATCTCTTCTCCCCTTTGTAACCCAAAAAACGAGGTACTGGTATATTTTTCTCTCTTCTTCCAAATTGCAATGTTGATTTGAAAAAAGAGTCTAAGTCTGGAAGCAGTTGATTTCTTCTTGTAAGCTCTTTTTGTGCTCTGTTTCTTTTGTGGATGGTGGGGCCAACCCTAGTATTTTATTGTAGAAGTACAATAGCTAATGAGAAGCATATATAGAAAAATCGATCAGTCATGGAAATTGGCAATGGAGATCTTGGGGATGATCACAAGATGGTGCATTTGCTCGCGATCACATCCTCACATCCGACCGCCGCATGTTTGACGGTCACGGCGGGGATGATCACAGATGCCAAGATGGAGAATTCAGAATGCAAAGTTCACAATAATAAAAACAAATAGCTCGAATATTAATTTGTATTCATATGTAATGGGGGGTTTTATTTTGTCTTCCACCAATTGAGTCATATATTTCAAAGTTTCGTACTTGGCAAACTTCAAACTAAGACAGTTCCTTCCATGACAGTGACAGCTTTCCCTCGCAGCAGCACCCTTCGATTCTGCTCATCTAGATGCATGCTTACTGCTCCGCCTCGAGGGGATGCCTGAAAGTAAACTATAATGTATCAAACATACGAGGGCCCGGGAAAAAGTAAAGCTATGATAAGATCACAGAGAGAAAGAGAGAGAGTACCGCATATGCAAAAACATCAGACTTTCCCAGTTTTTTGCACCAGTATGATGCTAAGGCACAATGTGCGCTCCCACAAACAGGATCCTGAAAGATAAAAACAAGCAACACTAACACCACTCAGCCTTGTATCAATTTTAGTTCATAAGTCGGATATATTCCAGTTATTCCTTGAGTTCAGTATAACTGAAAACTGACATAAACCAAACAGCAAAAGACACACGAAAAGGTTCCAAGCAGGTTATTCAAATGGTTTAAATCCACTTTAGCAGAAAAAGAAAAAGGAGGTGGGATTATAAATCCAGATACATAATCTTCACATTTAGCATAGCAAAGCTGAAAGAAATATGCAACAAACTTGGGTTCCCAATATCAGGCACTTGAAAGAAACTTAATCAGAAAATAAATTAAAGCTGCTTACCTCACCAATCCCATATCTGGGGCAGAAGAATCTACTGTAAAAATCATATTCAGACTCTGGAGGAGCAATCCCTGTTACGATCACTCCCCTAGACCCTGGACATTTTTGGATTGCATCAAACTTTGGCTGTAAATCTACAACAGCTTTTGCTGATGGAAGCACAACCTGAAAATTGAAACAAGTCCTCATTTAAGAGTACATCTAGACTCCGTAGATAAGCCAAAAAATAAAGGCCTAATCCATCAAAAACAAAAAGTAAGAAGATTATATCAATGGTAAGCATAATATATAGAGATTTTCTGGAAGGGTTGCAGGATTTACAAGCAGATCGTCGGTGACATGTGTCTTCCTTATATCAATCATAGAAGCACCATCCAAGGCCTCAGAGATCAATGAAACCTCACTAGAGTTGAATTCATAAGATGGGGCGGCAGGAAGATTCAGTTCAATGAAATAGGAGTTTTGTGCTTCACCATTTTGAATATTATTTGCACCATTGGCTGTCTTAACATCTGGAACCTTTTTAGCTGTTAGGATTCCAGATAATGTAGCAAACTCAATAAAGTTGGAATTTATCAAACCAGACTCAAAGAGAGTGTATGCGGCCGCTAATGTTGCATGACCACAAAGCTCAACCTGCAAAAGGGTATCAATTTTCCAAGCTTGATTTACTTTTCTAAGATATCAAATTTGCCAAAAGTAGTGCCTAGTATGCATACTCTACTTTATGCATCAGTGACAAAATCAAGACATCAAATTATCAAATACCAGTTAAGCACATCAAATCCAGGGAAACTGGAGTTAAACAAGTTTACTTTTTTAAATAAACCCATACACTAAAAGGCTAAAAGGAACCATCTTTTTTACTGAATTCATGATCGTTAAAGATTTTGATACGCTCAAATCTTTTCCCTGAATTTGACACTTCAATTCAACCTTGTTATTAAGAACTAAAAACAAACAAAACTATAAAGATCGATCCTTTTTTTTTTAATGAACAGGGGGTATAAAGATCTATCCTTTTGATTTTGTGAAATCAAACACTAATTGAACAGAAGGTGAGCTAAGACCTCATTGGAAGGCGTGAACCATCTGAGACCAAACCTAGGAGCTGAAGTAGGCGTGGAATCGGTGACCCGAGTCAGATAACAAGACTGGGATAGATTGAACTCGGAGGCCACGGCCTGCAACCACTGGTCGTCTTTATCTTCTTCTAACAAGCAAACCGCTGCTGGGTTTCCCTTGAAAGCTGATTCAGTGAAGGCATCCACCTGCACACACACACAACACATCAATTTCAACACTCAAATTCTTAACAATCTGCTTGAGCGCAACGCACTACATACAGAAGAGAGAGATTTGAGTACCACGGAGTATTTCACTGGTTTCTTCGCCATGGAAGATTGAAATTTGATTATGCAGCAGAATACAGCAGAAGCAAAGAGAGTCACTCAACTCAACAACATCGCGATCCGCCGGCGGCTGGTCTAAATGTCAGTGTATTTGTTTTTTTCGTTTCGAGTAGGGTCCACTTGATTTCCCGACCACCTAACCATCACCTACTACGATTGTGGGGCCAGAACGTATCCTGGTCTTTGCCCCTTGCCCAAGCCTAGACGTAATTTATCAAACATATTGCATCATCATATTTAGAAGAGTCGGTGTGGTTTGTGACTGTTTCTCTTCTAGCAAGAAATTTTCATAAGAAATTCAAAAGTATTGAGAGCACTTCTTCAGAAAGCGTTTTTGCGACCCAGAATCACTTCTAAATTTTTTTAAAAAGTGTCACAAAGTGTTTTTTTTCTTCAAAACCACTGATTCTAATAATAGTGCATTTCTTTTTTGATTTTATAATACTTTCATTGGAGTAATGGGTTATGAGAGTACTTTCATTAACCCTTTCTTTGCCAATAATAATTTCTGATGAAATTTTTTTTTGTAAATTATAACCACATGTCCTAAATTTACAATCAACTTCATTCGTTGACTGACGGATATAGTACATTTAGAAAATCTTTTCACGGAAAACAACCTAGATAATTTACAGGAGCTAATAATCAGGGCAAAGTGACTTGATAATTTACATGATGCTGCTAACACACAAGTTGTAGAACTGTTCAAAAACCAGTTTGTGCATATTAGATTACTTCCAAGAAAGTTTTGATAAGAATTGAGTAACTTTCTAGTATCAGGTACTATTTCTTTTAGGTGGCGACTGATGCCATGCAAACCAAGTAATCCTGATGTGCGATAATTTTAAATGCATAGCTCCATAATGCATCATGAATGATAAGTGAGAAAATGTACCTCACAAACACCATGGAGCAACAATCGACGGAAAGGATCTTGAACCTGCAGGATGAGACCATCTCCATCTTCAGTCTCTCTCACAAAAGCCCTTATGCGCTCCTGAGAGGAAAAAGAAATTTTCTACTCAATATACAATAAAAGATTATGTTGGGTTACAATTTGATTTAAAGAAAGATGAACATGGAAACATGCATGCCAAAGATGGTGAAGATGGAAATGTGATGCCAAAACCTGTCTATACCAATAAAGGAAACCAACAAACAACATAAAGAATTGCATTCACCTCATAGCACTCAATAAGCTCTGAAACAACGCTACGACAAAGTGCCTGTCTTGTTCGAGAATCAATCCTTCGCCATGCATTTAACACAGCCATTTTATCAGCATCAGCAGGACCCTTATTCTTTGCACAGGTTTGCACAGGGGCTTATTGAGGAACCAATGATATTAGCCTGTCAAAACGAAATAAAGGCTAGAGTCAGGACATGCAGCCAGGTAACATCTAAAAATGAACCGTACTCACACACACGGATACACATACTGATTGATAAATCAATAATTTCAGAAGGGCACATAATCAGCTACCTTAATGGTATCAAGACAATTTAAATGCAACTCTAAGGGTTGGTCATTCATATGGCTACTCAAATAAATGAATTTAATTCTAGTAATAACTTCATAGCATCTTAAATGTGTCCCACTCTCGTACATTAAAAGATTGAAACAAGTTTTCAGTGAATGAGAGTGGCCGAAGGACCTGTTTGTCCATGTCTATATTCCTAAATGTGTCCCACTCTCGTACATTAGTCATGCAAAACGGTGACAGCGGTACATCATCACCTGTACATTCAAACCAAACCCAATGTTGATATGAGATTTTCTAAACAGCAATAACCATAAATAGACCACTGCAGAGTAAATGCGGGTGAGTTCAATAATCACAGAAACTTTCAACAATATATGGTAAAAATAGAAGTACTAATGGGTGAGCAATGCATCAAACAGTTATATCAAGAGATGTTTCTTTTAGCCAAATGAGTACCCCAAGGTGGTGGAGCAAACAAGCCTCTAATTTCTTCTGCATTTAGACGAGGAACAAGTTCCATCAAAAGACGATCGTTTATCCATCTTCGAGACTGTTGGTTGCTTACCTGCCAAAGCAAAAAAAGTCATAACATGAATCAAATGCAGAAAATTATTTCTCATTTTAGTAGAAGACTAGTCACTCTTCAAGCTCATACTTTTTTGGAAGGATTAATGCAATCTATTGTGACAAAATAAATGATCGTACCAAAATCCTAATGATGAACTGTAACTCTAAATGAAACATAATGTATACTTCATTTTCGATCTAATTGTGTTGCAAAGATAACTTTTTTTTATAGACGAAAGAAAAGAAAAAGATTAACAAAGTCCGAGCATATCTTTGTGTAGACCGCTGAAAGTGAAAGTCAAAAGATGTAACCTTCTGGATATGGTAAGTGAGTTGTAAAAGGATCAAAGAGGTTATAATACAATTGACCTTGAACATCATAAGAATTACAGCATTCATCGGGCTAAGGAGGACTGGGACAAGGCATTGTAATTTGTACCAGACCTTTTGCCAGCAGCAATCTATCTGAAAACACTTGAAAGCTTTCGTACGCACCAAATTCACCCTCTTATAGATGCTATTTCAAGTTTTAACATATGTTATTAACCAAGTTTGATGCAATGTTGGGCGGATGATAAGGTACCTGTTTTCATAGCTGAAATTGCACCTGAAAATCTTCGAGGAAGACTAACTGCTATAAACCAGGTAAACATGTAATCAGAAATGCAATCCTTGAAGCTAACTGGCAACAATCTTTATACCTAACTGGCAACAATCCTTGAAAATAACTTTGCCTTTTGCTTATTTTATAGTTAATGATAGTTACCGGAGTGTCTGTCTCCTTCATCATTGGGGTAGTAGTAAGTTGGAAGGCTTTAGCAATAATCGGTGAATTTCTCAGACAACCTGTGTTTTTAATTAGAATATCCACGTGAGGAAAGTTCCTAACTCTGCTGCGCTGAGCGCTTGGTGAGAAGTCCAGAAATCCTTCACAGTCAAAACATCAAACACTTGGTCAACAACACGATCCAAAATTCAAAACCATACCAAAACAAGGCAAAAAAAGAGAGAACATTTAGTGCAATTAGTACTTACCGAAGGAATTGGAGCTGTTGAGCAGTGACAGAGGAGAGCTTGATTCTTCGGAGTTGTTGAGCTGTTGTGGCAGCGGTGGACATGTATAGCCGAGCGGCTATACTTTTTAAATATATATATTTTATATTTCAGGGGTATAGCCGAACGGCTATTATATTTAAATACATTTTTTTATTTCACGCGTATAGCCGGGCGGCTATTATAGAGTCTAGCCGAGCGGCTATTATAGTTAACTAAAAAAATTATTTAAATCGTAACGCCGTGCGGCTATAGTCTGTAAATATAATTTTTTATTTCAAGAGTATAGCCGGACGGCTAGACTATAAATATAATTTTTAATTTCAGGAGTATAGCCGCAAGGTTAGACTATAAATACAATTTTTTTTTATTTCAGGTGTATAGCCGTGCGTCTATACTAATTATAATTTTTTATTTCAGGCGTATAGCCGTGCGGCTGTACGCATTATAATTTTTTATTTCAGGGGTATATCCGTGCGGCTATACTATGTAAATATAATTTTTTATTTCAGGAGTATAGCCGAACGGCTAGACTCTATAAATATAATTTTTTATTTCGGGCGTATAGGCGGCCGGCTATACTATGTAAATATAGTGTTTATTTCAGGAGTATAGCCAGTCGGCTATACGCTGTAAATATATATATTTTGATTGCAGGTGTACAGCCGCGCGACTATACTCTATATTTTTTAATTTCAGGAGTATAGCCGAACGGCGATACTATTTAAATATATTTTTTTGTTCATGGTGTATAGCCGCCCGGCTATACGCTTTGAATATATTTTTTAACTAAAGGCATATAGCCGGTCGGCTGTACTGTTTAACTATATTTTCAGTGATACTTACTATGATAATTCAGACCAAAAAAAAAACTATGATGATTTTGTCGTTTTAATTTCAGCTATGTTTTTATATTTTCACAGGTTGTTTGTGATCTTAGAACTCTGAGTTCTATATATTCACTACGATACAGTTGTATAGTAATCTCTTCTCCCCTTTGTAACCAAAAAAACGAGGTATTGGTATATTTTTCTCTCTTCTTCCAAATTCCAATGTTAATTTCTAAAAGGAGTCAAGTCTGGAAGCAGTTGATTTCTTCTTGTAAGCTCTTTTTGTGCTCTGTTTCTTTTGTGGATGGTGGGGCCAACCCTAGGTCTTCCATTGTGATCGGAGGGCATCAGACGGAGGATAGTTTTCTCCAATTTGATCTTGAATCCATGAGGTTGGGGTTTACCTCAACACTTTTGACCCAAGGAACCAAATGTGCCAACTTCAATTTTACTAATTCCAACAAAAATAATGTGTAGTTCATTAGTATACTAATTAATCTTAGCCATACTATTATCTTCAAATTTCAATCGCGATATGCCATATTATTATGTTACTAATTATTAGAATGAATGAAGATTTCAGATAAATGAAATATTGTCACATCATTTGAAATTTGAGATTTTATTTTAATTTCTCGAGCATTACTCATTTTGGATTAAGCAATTAGTGAAACAAAATGCAAATATTATTGTTAATTCAGATAAAGAGAAAGGAAATTACAAAAGTTATCACTCTAGTAGCTAGCTAACTAGTCTTATAGCAAAAACAACTTGATTAGTATTTTATTGTAGAAGTTCAATAGCTAATGAGAAGCATATATAGAAAAATCGATCAGTCATGGAAATTGGCATTGGAGATCTTGGGGATGATCACAAGATGGTGCATTTGCTAGCGATCACATCCTCACATCCGACCGCCGCATGTTTGACGGTCACGGCGGGCTCACGGAAGTTTGGAATCAAATATGTGTGTGAACCAATATTATTGCCCGCAGCTGCCGTCGGTACCCCATCGGAAGTATGAACATATTGAAATTCAAAGTTATGGTTGCTACCACCGTCGGAAGTACTCGTGGAACTGCTTCCTTCACCACCTTGATGATCTCCATGGTTGCTTGTGCAACAAGTTTTGTTTTTGGGCATTGCCGTATTTGCAGAGGGCCCAATATTATTAACATTGCTGCAGCTTCCTCCACCATGAGGCCCATCATCCTTGACTATATCAATCTGTTGATCCTGACCATCCATTTTGTGGTCATTGAAGAAGGTAAGCTTGATTCTTCTGTTGACCCCAGACTGGGTAAGTTCCAGCTTCCTTAGCTTGTGGAAGTTAGGCAATTTTTGGAGCTCTGCCATTTGAGCCCATCTTATAATCTCAAGCCCCTCTTGTGCTCCTTCATAACCATTGCCTGCTGCTGCTACATCGGAAATGTGGCTTCTGCTGGCATTGTGTAGCATGCCATTGTGCAGATTGGGTTGTGGCAGAGTATCCTCACACACAAGCCCAACTGCCTCTTTGAACACTTGCTTGTCTGCTGTAGATTCAACTGTTAGTCTTCCTGATTCCGCATCGAACTTAACAGAATAGGTTCCTAGGGGAAAAATTAAAAAGATAAATGAATTTTAATTCTGATATATGAACTAAAAAAGATAGTTTTAAAAAAAAGAAGTTTGTACCCTGAAATTTTGACAGAAATCTCCTCAGCTTCTCTTGACACTTGTGGCATTCTACGTTTATTTTCGTAATGTCTGGCTGCAATGATATATAGATAGTTGAAGGAGACTAAGGGTAATAATGGAAACAAATTACAAGAGCTAAATGAATGAGAAAAGTACCTGAGAACAGTGAGCATGGGCCATTGAAATTAGCCCTGGAATTAGGAATGGTATGAGAGAAAGAAAGGTATTTAAACATGCAAACGTATCCTGTGTCTTAAATTGGGTGTAATTTCTTGATTCAGTGTATTAATTAATGATTTTCAAACATGCAGACAGCTTTTAAGTTGAAGGCAAATATTTGAACACATGTTTTGCAGAATCTCAAAAATTCACGTGGACGAGATATTTGCATAAAGAGGGAAGGATTTGAATCCCCTCAAATGGCTAAAATCCGGTCAGAAGATTTGTTTGCTTTGAATTACCATATCTGACCTTTCAAGATGCCAAGATGGAGAATTCAGAATGCATAGTTCACAATAATCAAAACAAATATCGAATATTAATATTTATTCAAATGTAATGGGGGGTTTTGTTTTGACTTCCACCAATTGAGTCATTTATTTCAAATTTTTGTACTTGGCAAACTTCAAACTAAGACAGTTCCTTCCATGACAGTAACAGCTTTCCCTCGCAGCAGCACCCTTTGATTCTGCTCATCTAGATGCACGCTTACTGCTCCGCCTCGAGGGGATGCCTGAAAGTAGACTATAATGTATCAAACATACGAGGAGAACAGGTAAAGCTATGATAAGATCACACAGAGAGAGAGAGAGAGAGTACCGCATATGCAAAAACATCAGACTTCCCCAGTTTTTTGCACCAGTATGATGCTAAGGCACAATGTGCGCTCCCACAAACAGGATCCTGAAAGATATAAACAAGTAACACTAAGTAACACTATTCAGCCTTGTATCAATTTTAGTTCATAAGTCGGATATATTCCAGTTATTCCTTGAGTTCAGTATAACTGAAAACTGACATAAACCAAACAGCAAAAGACACACGAAAAGGTTCCAAGCAGGTTATTCAAATGGTTTAAATCCACCTTAGCAGAAAAAGAAAAATGAGTTGGGATTATAAATCCAAATACATAATCTTCACATTTAGCATAGCAAAGCTAAAAGAAATATGCAACAAACTTGGGTTCCCAATATCAGGCACTTGAAAGAAACTTGATCAGAAAATAAATTAAAGCTGCTTACTTCATCAATCCCATATTTAGGGCAGAAGAATCTACTGTAAAAATCATATTCAGACTCTGGAGGAGCAATCCCTGTTACGATCACTCCCCTAGACCCTGGACATCTTTGGATTGCATCAAACTTTGGCTGTAAATCTACAACAGCTTTTGCTGATGGAAGCACAACCTGAAAATTGAAACAAGTCCTCATTTAAGAGTACATCTAGAATCCATAGATAAGCCAAATAAATAAAGGCATAATCCATCAAAAACAAAAAGTAAGAAGCTTATATCGATGGTAAGCATAATATATAGAGATTTTCTGGAAGGGTTGCAGGATTTACAAGTAGATCATCGGTGAAATGTGTCTTCCTTATGTCAACCATAGAAGCACCATCCAAGGCCTCGGAGATCAATGAAACCTCACTAGAGTTGAATTCATAAGATGGGGCGGCAGGAAAATTCAGTTCAATGAAATAGGAGTTTTGTGCTTCACCATTTTGAATATTATTTGAACCATTGGCTTTCTTAACATGTGGAACCCTTTTAGCTGTTAGGATTCCAGATAATGTAGCAAACTCAATAAAGTTGGAATTTATTAAACCAGACTTAAAGAGAGTGTATGCAGCCGCTAATGTTGCATGACCACAAAGCTCAACCTGCAAAAGGGCATCAATTTTTCAAGCTTGATTTACTTTTCTAAGATATCAAATTTGCTAATAGTAGTGCCTGGTATGCATACTCTACTTTATGCATCAGTGACAAAATCAAGGCATCAAATTATCAAATACCAGTTAAACACATCAAATCCAGGGAAACTGGAGTTTAAAAAGTTTACTTTTTTAAATAAACCCATACATTAAAAGCCTAAAAGGAACCATCGTTTTTACTGAATTCATGGCTGTTGAAGATTTTGATACACTCAAAATCTTTTCCCTCAATTTCACACTTCAATTCAACTTTGTTATGAAGAACACCAACAAAACTATAAAGATCGATCCTTTTTTCTTTTCTTTTTTTATAATTTTTTAATGAACTGTGGGCATAAAGATCTATCCTTTTGATTTTGTGAAATCAGCTAAGACCTCATTGGAAGGCGTGAACCATCTGAGACCAAACCTAGGAGCTGAAGTAGACGTAGAATCGGTGACCCGAGTCAGATAACAAGTCACGGATAGATTGAACTCGGAGGCCACGGCCTGTAACCACTGGTCGTCTCTATCTTCTTCTAATAAGCAAACCGCTGCTGGGTTTCCCTTGAAAGCTGATTCAGTGAAGGCATCCACCTGCACACACACACAACACATCCATTTTTCAACACTCAAATTCTTAACAATCTGCTTGAGCGCAACGCATTACATACAGAAGAGAGAGATTTGAGTACCACGGAGTATTTCACTGGTTTCTTCGCCATGGAAGATTGAAATTTGATTATGCAGCAGAATACAGCAGAAGCAAAGAGAGTCACTCAACTCAACAACACCGCGGTCAGCCGGCGGCTGGTCCAAATGTCAGTGTGTCTTTTTTCATTTTGGTTTCGAGTGCGGTCCACTTGATTTCCCGACCACCTAACCATCATCTGCTATGATCGTGGGGCCAGAACATATCCTGTTCTTTGCCCCTTGCCCAAGCCTAAACATAATTTATCAAACATAATGTATCATCATGTTTGAGAGAGTCGGTGTGGTTTGTGACTGTTTCTCTTCTAGCAAGAAATTTTCGTAAGAAATTCAAAAGCATTGAGAGTACTTCTTCTACAGAAAGCATTCATGCGACTCAGAAGAACTTCTAAACCTTTTTTTATCAAACACAGTTAGAAGCATCATAAATTGTTTTTTTTTCATAATCAAAACCTCTCGTTCGTTCTAATAAATTATTAATCTTTCCTGTTGTAGTCGGCCGAAAATAGTGCATTTCTTTTTTTATTTTATAATACTCTCATTGGAGTAATGGGTTATGAGAGTACTTTCATTAACCCTTTCTTTCTTTGCCAATAATAATTTCTGAAGAAAAACAAATTTGTAAATTATAATCACACGTCCTAAATTTACAATCAACTTCATTCGTTGACTGACGGATATAGTACATTTAGAAAATCTTTTCACGGAAAACAAACCTAGATAATTTACAGGAGCTAATAATCGGAGCAAAGTGACTTGATGATTTACATGATGCTGCTACACAAGGTTACTGACACCACAGCACGCCCAGCTTTTATTATACATTTTAAGTTAACCAAATGGAAATGGAATCACCACATTCCTTGCTTGGACATCTTCAAGAAATGGGATAGAGTGATATTTGGAAGTTCAATTGAACGCCCCTTTTTCTTTGTTATCTTTGTCACCTTAATTGCCTCCCCATTCTCTGATTCAGTAACCGTCACCGACACCAAGTTGTAGAACTGTTCAAAAACCAGTTTGTGCATATTAGATTTACTTCCAAGAAAGCTTTGATAAGAATTGAGTAACAATTTTACTACCTTCTAGTATCAGGTACTATTTCTTTTAGGTGGCGACTGATGCCATGCAAACCGAGTAATCCCGATGTGCAATAATTTTAAATGCATAGCTCCATAATGCATCATGAATGATAAGTGAGAAAATGTACCTCACAAACACCATGGAGCAACAATCGACGGAAAGGATCTTGAACCTGCAGGATGAGACCATCTCCATCTTCAGTCTCTCTCACAAAAGCCCTTATGCGCTCCTGAGAGGAAAAAGAAATTTTCTACTCAATGACAACAAAAGATCATGTTGGGTTACAATTTGATTTAAAGAAAGATGAACATGGAAACATGCATGCCAAAGATGGTGAAGATGGAAATGTGATGCCAAAACCTGTCTATACCAATAAAGGAAACCAACAAACAACATAAAGAATTGCATTCACCTCATAGCACTCAATAAGCTCTGAAACAACACTACGACGAAGTGCCTGTCTTGTTCGAGAATCAATCCTTCGCCATGCATTTAACACAGCCATTTTATCAGCATCAACAGGACCCTTATTCTTTGCACAGGGGCTTATTGAGGAACCAATGATATTAGCCTGTCAAAACGAAATAAAGGCTAGAGTCAGGGCATGCAACCAGGGAACATCTAAAAATGAACCATACCCACACACACAGATACACATACTGATTGATAAATCAATAATTTCTGAAGGGAACACAATCAGCTACCTTAATGGTATCAAGACAATTTAAATGCAACTCTGAAGGTTGGTCCTTCATATGGCTACTCAAATAAATGAATTTAATTCTAGTAATAACTTCATAGCATCTTAAATCACCGGATTGCAAGGAATTAAAAGATTGAAACAAGTTTTCAGTGAATGAGAGTGGCCGAAGGACCTGTTTGTCCATGTCTATATTCCTAAATGTGTCCCACTCTCGTACATTAGTCATGCAAAACGGTGACAGCGGTACATCATCACCTGTACATTCAAACCAAACCCAATGTTGATATGAGATTTTCTAAAGAGCAATAACCATAAATAGACCACTGCAGAGTAAATGCGGGTGAGTTCAATAATCACAGAAACTTTCAACAATATATGGTAAAAATAGAAGTACTAATGGGTGAGCAATCCATCAAGCAGTTATATCAAGAGATGTTTCTTTTAGCCAAATGAGTACCCCAAGGTGGTGGAGCAAACAAGCCTCTAATTTCTTCTGCATTTAGACGAGGAACAAGTTCCATCAAAAGACGATCGTTTATCCATCTTCGAGACCGTCGGTTGCTTACCTGCCAAAGCAAAAAAAGTCATAACATGAATCAAATACAGAAAATAATTTCTCATTTTAGTAGAAGAATAGTCACTCTTCAAGCTCATACTTTTTTGGAAGGATTAATGCAATCTATTGTGACAAAATAAATGATCGTACCAAAATCCTAATGATGAACTGTAACTATAAATGAAACATAATATTTCCAACTTGTCCAGTCATACAATCTTTTTTGGCTCACTAGAGCTAATTTATAATTATTGGAATTTCACTAGATCTTTTACATTGGAAACACAAAATTTCCATTGATAGAGAAACACAACAAACTTGACACATATTCACCAAAACGAGCATATCTGTAATTAATATGCCAATTTGCCAACTTGTTCTAGCTCCACCAAATAGTACAAGTCTTTTATGTAACTAAAATAACCATTTTGGTTATTCAATTAGCATAAAGCTTATTAAAGCTGTATGCTACTGTTAGTGGTAATTTGCTATTTGAATAACCATTGCGGAGAGACACCAAATGCTAAAATGTAGTTTCAATTAAGTAAAAAGGGTATGGATACCCCTTTAAATCATAAAATATATCAATTAGGTTCACTAGTTCTATCTTATCCATGAAATTCATATACAAAGAGAAAGCAAGATTCAATATTACCATGTGAGTAAAGTTCATAAAATAGGCAAAAAAACACAACAGATTTGCAATTGACTTAACAATAACACTAACTGTTGATCTAAATTGAGTCGGAACAAGTGACGTCAAAACTGTAAGTCCGTTTTTCAAATCAATTTTTATTATACAACAATCACAATCCTTTCTAAATCAAAGCAAATCACAATGGTACCGTTCCAGCCAAGCTCTCAAGAAACTCAATCTTCTTCTCAATTGACATGCCACGAGATTTGACACTCTCTCCTGCCCAAAAATACCACTTTTAAATGGAGAAATTCTAGCATTAACAGGGGCATCACAAATAGATTTACAAATTAAAAAAAAGACTAACAGTAAACTTGACAGAAGACATCAGTACATGATCTGGGTCATTTATTCAAAATAAACATAAAACGCAGAGAATAGAATCAAAATCCCATCAATACCCAAAATCCACAGACGGTGTTTCACTCCATACAAATCACCAAAAAGTCCAAGTCTGCAACTTTACAGGACTTTATTCTATATCATGAGCTATAAATCCATTGCATAAAAAAGAAGAGAGAGAGAGAGGTACCATTTCGAGGTTCCAGGAGAGGAGAGGAGAGGAAAAGGCCGTCTTCTCTGTTAAGAATGTCAGGAGTCGCCATGATTGATTGGATGCAGAGCGGATCTAAAGCCTGTGGCTTTGAATCTTCTTTTTCTTCTTCTTCTTCTGGGTTTGTGGGTGTTTTCTGCGCTAATGGATTTTGAGGAACAGAGATGAGAGAGAGCAAGGCCGAAACTTTTTTGTGAAAGGCAACGACAAACGAGGAGCAACCCAACCAAACAAGGCCTTAGAAATACGGAAGAGAGGGAGAGACGACAGTAGAATATACTCATGTATCAACGTTTGATGCCAGACGGAAAACCATTTTACTTGGTCTTGTGAGTTTGGGACCGTGGACACGTGGCACAAGACCCAATCAACCACGTGGTTCAAAGAAGGACAGACGGGTAATCCTAGTATGGTGTTTTGGTTCATTTGGGTTCTGGACCTCTGTCCTGCGGTGGCTCGGTTGGTTAGAGTTTTGGCCTGCTGCTGTGCTCTGATGGCTCCCCTTGTTTTGCTGCATAGTTTTCTGCTTAGCCCCCTCACCTCTAGTGTCTGATTTGGTTTGATTTGGTTTGGGCTGGCGTCTTTCTCCATTAGTTGAGTTTGTTAACTTTCCCGATCTATTATTTGGTTTGGGCCTAGCTGCTGTTGGCGTCTTTCTCCATCAAAAGTCATCATTAGCCATTTGACCACAAAAAGAAAAATGTCATTAGCCACTAACTAAAGACTACAAGGGTACTATAGGTTTTTCATGTGCTGACCTGCACTCCTCTGAAAAAGCTCGCATGTACGTACCACTGCAGTGCAGTACACCAACATAATGCGGGCAAAACCGCGCGAATAACTCACCGGCGGCATCTTCTCTTTCTCTCTGGCGAAACCCTAACTACGAGCTCACCCTCTTCATCTGCAAGCCGTTCTCTCGCTTGCTCTTGTCACATAAAGGTAATGTTTGTCTTAGAAAAAAACCCATCTCATTTCTTCTTGTCCTCCTTGTTGATTTTGTCATAAATGTCAAATATTTTTCCTTTTTTGCATTATTTTGATGAACATCAATTGCTTGTAGTTGATACTATAATACTGAATGTTTCTTGGTACTAAGTACTAGCTTGGCTTATTTATTATCTTGGGTTGACAATTTGGAGGGTTGTTAGCTTGAAAATGGGTTTTAAACCCAGAATCTGAGAGCATCCCAATTAGATTAGGCCTTTTGCCACCCTAATATTTGTTTGTCACTTACTTGTGTTACGAGCTTCTAATTGGAATTTCATGTCATTCTTCTAATGTTATTATAGTGAAGCTCATGAGAATATCATTTGGATGGTAATATAATATATAATGGTAGTTATGCCGCCGTCTCTTTGTTTGTGTTTTGTTAAGGCTGAAGGTGTTTTGCCTCTGGTTCATATGGAAGGACAGAGTAGCCTCACCGACCCGATGCAATTGGTGCCGTTGGATTTTTGTGGGGATGCTGCCATTGATGTCTCTCAGGCAACTGGAGATGATCCAAGCCAACAAGTTAGCATGGCAGCTGAAGGGACTGCATACCAAACTGATGATCTTTTTTCACCTTGGTGGACTGAAAAACCAAAGCCATCTCTCAATTCTCTCAATTGTGTTGAGTTTCTAGCAGAAAGTTCAACATTTCTCCCAAAGGATCCTTGTGAAGATATATTAGAAAGCATTCCTTTATCTGTTTCTGGCATAGATGATGTTGGTGGGGTCTCTGAATTTCAAAGAGATATGTTGTACAGCAGTCTTGGAAATGCTTGCGGTTCTAAACTAACTGATTTCTCTATGGACATGGACGATTGGAAGGTAACATTCCTGAAATTATCCCCTGTGCATTAAGATAATAAATTGGAAATGTTTTTGGTTTGAAGCTCTTCCTTTCCTTTCTTGATGTACTTATGGTTAGAACTTTCCTGTCTGATTGTCTCTAGAATGGGTATTTTGCAGCATTAATTGTCCTAGTGGTCACATGCATATATGTTCATCCAATTCCTCTTGTTGTGGTCCTTCATTGAATTTTCTCAGCAGGTGAGATGTCTGAGGCCAGTGAATGACGAACTTGTGAATGCACAACATCAACTTCACGCCAAGGTTAAGTTATTTTTTAACAACTTTCTTTAATTTCACATTCAGCAGCGATTGCGTCAAGCAATCATTTCAACTATAATGTTTTTCACTTTTGAGAACTTTATCATGATAATGCTGTGCCATATACTTCGTACAGTATCATACTTCAAGGACAGATAATTTATATGGGGATAAAAAGGATAGTGTTTCTCAAGTTGATCCAAGAGCAAGAAGTGCTTTACCTGATTTTCATTCCCAACCACATCGCCACATTTCGACACAGAGAACTGCTGTAACTGATCGTGTAAGCCAAATTCTTTGACTAGATAAACTGAACTGGTCAAGATTCATGCCATTTTCTATTCAAATGACAGACAACACCATCACTCGTTCTGTTCACCTCAAGTTATGATGTTTGTAAATTGGTGTAGAAGGATTTTCTTGGATATGTTTAGTTTCTAAAACTAGTCTCTTATTAATTCAGAGTCGCAGGATGCGAATTGCTGAAAGACTTGATGCATTGCGAGAACTGCTTCCAATATCCACAGAGGTAATGTGTGTATATTGAGAAAGAATGCATGCAGTTGCTCCTGTACTAGCTCCGCTGAAGAGGGTTTTCTTAATGACTTGTCAACGAATATTGTTTTCTGTTTGTATTTTCTCACTTGGATGACCCCAACCGTAATAGTTTGTCATCAAACGACAAAGAGAACAGGCAAATTAATAAACAAATGCAGTCGAGTCTGTCTATAAAAATAATTAGAGTTTGATTTTTTTGGTAATACATTCACTGACATATTAAGCTCATCGGTAAAGATCAAGTCTAGGCTATACAGAGTAGACTTACAAATCAAATCGTGTCTTCCTCTTGAAATGCGAGTGCGTATAAGATTCAATAATTGTCACATATATGAAAATGCTGCCTCAGATTCTGATGTCCAGTACCATATGGAGGTTCAATGCTAATATATGGCAAAATTATTTTATCTGGAGAATGTGGTCAGATGTCCATCTATATATGACTGGTTATTTTGAATGTGTAGGGTGGTCAGTCATTTGTAGTGGATGATGTAATTGACCATATCAAGTTTTTGCAGCTTCAAATAAAGGTAAATCTGTCTGTTTATGCTGTGTGACTCTACAGGTTTTTGCATGATTTTGTATATGCACTCGCAGATAAACATGCATAAACCAACACAAAAAAGCACCTTCTCTTAACCACAATTTGAAGTGTTGCATTGTGAATATCCTTTAGCAGATTGTTTGAGAATATCGATATTCTTACATCAATGAGTGAAGATTCTATCTGCACTTTTTATTTTTCATTTGATAAATAGTTATATCTATATGTTGATGAAGTTAAAATAGAAAAGAACTCATCTGTGCAGGATTTATGTAGAAGCAGATTGGGAGGTGAAACAATTACTGAACCTATCATATTCCGTGAGGTATATATAATTCATCTATGCTGAGTTCTGAGTAAGGCAAAATCATCTTGTAATGGTTAACTTGCCCAAAGTTGAGCCCCATGATGAAGGTGCCTTCTTGTCTTTCATATTATGCAAGGGAGATTTATAATTCTTTTATGTTTTGCAGGGATATGGTCACTACTTTTGCCACCAGAATATGCTGAATGAACCTCTTGAAGAGATGATGGGAAAATTGCTGGAGACAAATCCAATGGCAGCAAGTCAGCTGTTGGAGAACAAGGATCTTTTGCTGCTGCCAATGGATTACTCTGAACCATTAGCTTGAGTTAATTAGATAGATATACTTTTTCTCATATCCATAAATATCATGCTTAATTGTTGTTAACTATTAACTTTTGTTCATGGTTTCTCACTAGATAGTTACTTAGGGTGATCAAACTCAGTGGTGTGGTTGGTTCTTCAGAGTGTCACGTCTTCGATGGTCAATACGTTTAATTATTAATTTATTAGTGCAAGAAAGCTATGTATTTCTCAAAACTAAATTGACTTTTTTTGCTTTCCTTTTCTTCTCTTGTAGTAGATATGCTGAATTGAAAAGCACACAATTGAATTTGAAAACAATCATTTCTATGTTCAATTAATTGTTACTAGATGTGAAAAGCTAGATTGGATTGGCAAGCACACTGAGTGTGGGTGATGTACATGAATGCTAGGGAGGCAAACTTTCTTCTCTCTCTTTTGTTCCTTTGCAGTTCATATTCCTAAGCAAAAGAAAAGAAAAATCACATCTATACCACAAATTAATTAGTAAATGAGACAAATAAATTTACATTGAGTTTGTAATTATTTTTCGTGATCCTCAATTAAGGGGTCCGAGTCTACCCGGATTATGAGAGGCTTCTGAATATCCAAGGATGAATCTGCTACAATGGGGGGTAGCATGGAAGAAGGTGACAATATGCTTCTTCCACCTCAGCGTTTTCAGCCAGTACTTTGTCCAGAGAAGCCTTCGCACCTTTAGTAATGCAAACCACTAGAATTACTGTGCAATGCAAGCAGTGGCAAACCTAAGAATTTTCATTACGGAGGTCAACGTGTAAAAGAGAAAAAAAAATTTCTATACAAAATTGACCCATCAAAATGAAACGATAATATTCTAATTCATAGTTAATAGATAAAACTATACACACACTGCAATAAACCAAAAATATCTCTAACAAAGTGATAATAAACCAAAAAATTAGCGCAATCATCTTCGCCTCCCAAGGTGTCTTGTCCTATTTGACGTAAGAGCTGGCATATATTAGTGCAATCCTGCTCATTTTAGGGCATTTACGTTATTTTTGAGGTCCATCATCGTTTTGATTTTGGACTCTAGCTCTCAAACTTTGGACCATTATGAGTATTGTCTTAGGAGGAGCTTATTTAAGCAAATATTTCTTCAATACATGAGTTACGTTATTCTTGTAAAACTCTTTATGGATTGAACATCTAAGGCTTTTTACCTAGATTGACCTTAGGTTACTTCATGCATTCATATCATACATGAAAAATTATTTTATGTAAAAGTATTGGCTAAGTATGAAAAATGGTTTTTCTAAATAATCATTTTCTCAATATAATTTTTAGCAGCTTTTATTCCTTACACATCAAATAAGAAAACTTGATTTTATGGGATGTTAGTATGGAGTATATATTGACTTAATGAGCCATCATTTTTAGCCTAAATCGTATCATCGTCATTTTGACGTCATGAATGTCTTCTGGAGTATTTCATCAAGCTATTTATGGACAATTTGCAGGGGTCAACATCTTTGCCTCCAATGATGAATTCCATTGTATGTGGATCCGCCACTTTGCAAGTAACAACAAGGAGGTGGAAAGTTTGGAACATATTTTTGACAATTATAGGTAATTCCAAATTCAAAAATGCCAAAAAAACAGGTACAAAGTAAAACTCACCGGATATTCCGAAACCTAGCTAGCACTATAAAGTATAAACACCTGCAACCACAAGCCGATACTAAACTTTGAACACTTGATCACTAGCTAGCTAGAATATAAAAGTAGTTCATTGAACAAATACAAGGCGATATTGTGACTTGTTTGATAGCAGAAGAAGCTGACATTTTCCCACTAGAATCAATGAAAAGGTAATGATTTCATGGAGACTTTTTTTGTTGAATTAATTTATGTACTTATGTTTCTGTGCATGTCGTGTTTTCAAATTTAATAACAGCCTTTAAAACTTTCTAATAATGCATGCAGCCAAAATGTAAGCCAGATGAAGAGCAAGAATATTATTTTATTACTTATACAATATATATGTCCATGACCATGTGAATGGCGTCAATATGACTGCAATGTAAGCCTTACTAGGACTAGACACACCTGAGCAATTAGGTTGAAACTATAACACATTGTATTTGAGATTAAATGGGATAAGGAATCTTATTGAGCTAATAAGGAGTCCTATTCGGTTTGCTTGGTGATGAAGTAGAATTCTGATTGAATTTGTTAATGGGAAAAAGTAGAGTCCTGATTGAATTTGTTGATGGGAAAAATTCACTTAGCGTAAGTAGTTACACACATTCAGTTCTTATACCTCATTTAGAGAGAGTGTGATATGGAATCTACATAAGGTAAAAGACTTTTGTGTTGTTCATATGGCTTTCGCAGGTTAGTGTGTGTGTTTTTAGTTGATAATGCTTAAAGTACTAACGTGCAATAGCAACAACCCAAAACTTTGGATAAATTCCTTAGTTTGGAAGTGACATAAAATCTTTCAATCTGCACCACAATCAAAGATAAGAAAATTATGAGATAAGTTTAAGCATACAAAGCTGTTCATGACAGTATGCTAGCTATTAAAACCATTGGTCAATTCTTTCTGCTAGGCTAGCTGCTTTGGCGTCGAAAGCAAACCCATAAAAATGAACTGCTTAAAAGAATTATTGTTCTTCCAGGAAAGAACCAGCAGCAAAGCCCACGGCAATCCAAAACGATAACCTCCTCCTGCATGATCCATCCACTAAGTCAGCAAAAAAAGGAGCCGTCCTCCTCCATCATTCAAGAACTATGAAACAGACAAAACTAGGTCTTATCATTACACAAAGAAGCTTGATCAATAATTACACTTTAACTTTTGAAACTTAGCTTAGCTTTATAACAAAATCTTAACATTACAATTTACATGTGAAAGAGAAACAACAAGACTACAGTCAAAGCAACACAACCTACGACGCCAAGGTCGTCATTCAAAACTGTGGTGGGTCCCATATTAGCAAGCTTCAGCTACAGCGATCAGCGGCGGCCTCATGCAATGCAGCCACTTTTTTTTCGGCGTATACAACAAACCACGCATACACAAAAGAAACGTTATATTAACTTGTTTCTTTATCCTTGGGGTGTGGTGGGGTGGGGTCCTATGCTTTTGTTGGTTTTCTTCTTGGGACCCACGACTAAACTCTTGACAATTAGTAAGTCCAATACAATCAAATCCTAGTCCTGATTGGTTTATTAATGTTTATCCAAACCCAACCTGGGAAGAACAGTGGGCTGTACTGTACCTTTTGGACTCTTTCTTCACTTGATAAGGTTTTGTGCACTTCCATCAATTCACAGCTTCTAGTCTAGTCTATCTAGTCTTAACCCACTGGCCCGAAACCAGAGTCAGCATTACTCCCAAGTTACTATATTGCAATTTGCAAATGCAAAACCCATCAAACCTCAATCTAATCGATTGAAAGAGTAATTTTTACATGTTCCGGGTACACCAGTTACGATTTTTGAGTTTTCAATTTTCAGGCATATATATAAAGGGTATCTGGTCCTAAATTGGAGGAATGGCTAAAAGGGGGGGGGGGCGCATATAGTCAGAGACAAACCCATAGTTGCCAGCAAAAAGTGGTCCTTCAAAATAAAGGTTCATGACATAAATACCTGACAAACTTGCATGTCTTTCTTGATGCCTCCCCTTTTTTTACCTTGAGGTCTACTATCATGTGGTCCAAACCCAGTGGCATATAGAATTTCAATCTTTCACCGCCCAAAGAAAATAACTAATACTGCAAAGGGTAGGGTACAGCTTTATCCGTTCTGTTTTTAGTATTTTGACCAAGGTGGTCCATGTTTGGTGGTGGTAGGAGCCAGCCACTGCCCGTGGCAAATAGTTTGCAGATACGTAGGCCATTTTCATTTCCATCTCGACTCGATCGACCGCCATTTAATCATCTACTTTTTTTGTTTCTTTCTTGGCACTGGTTGGTAGCACAAATTATTGAAAGAAAGTCATAAGCAACTTGTTTTTATGTTAAAACAATCGATCGACCCTCTCCGATGGGATGTAAATGGAGCTAAAGCGGAAGATTTCTCATCCATGATGATTAACAAGCTTGCTTTTTCCAAGTTCATCCCATACCCGCGTGATTTTTGATGTGAAATCTAATTAGTACAGCTGTTCACTACCCTTAGGTGTTGATTGACCTTAGGTGCGATAATGTGGAGAAACACTTGTATCTTCTAGCATAGTAATAGTTAGGACAACCGAGTCCGTCTTTCTTTTTCTGTGAATTTGCTTACAAATTAAGATAAACACAATTCGTACAACGAGTACAATTAAATTTTTCTCGTTAAGGTGGCGCATGATTTATATACTTATTAATTTCGAGTGATCTTAACTGTTATACATCATGTAGTAATCAAGCATGACATAACCCAAAAATTCCACACTAAATCATTTTCAGTTTCTCTTAGTGGAAACCAAGCTAGCAAACCCTATCTTATATACTCTTATGATTAGACAAATCATTTATATCTTTGGCATGCATGCATTTGAATGATTTTTCTTTTCTTTCTGGTTAAAAGAAAGAACGAAAGGAAGAAAGAAAAATCGTTCAAATGCATGTCATTGCCAAAGATCTGGTGTTCATACACAGCACCAATGCTATTCACTTTCATTTAGACCTTACATTTTTACCTATAAAAAGAAAACAGTTATGTTCCACCATCATAAGCATAACTAGAAGGTTCTATGAATCAAAATCCCCAAAGAGAATCAAAGGAAGCCATCAATTTATTAGATCTTTGTAATACTATATATTAAACTTGTACAACTTTTACTGGATGATCATAGACCGTGGTAGATTCAGTGGACTCCCAACCCAAGAAATTTTTTTACAGAATAAAGGTGGTTATTCTATTACATCCGAATGATGAGAAAAGTGATCACTAGTGATTTGACCATCACTAAAACGACATATTGGAAAACTTTATTTTTTTTCTTTAAAGTAATTTGTTTCCTTTTCCACTGTCAAATCAAATCCTTCCTTTCCTGCAATACATTTGATTAACCTAGCCAGGGTTTACATTGAAATTTAAACAAGTATTTTTTTTCTTTTTTTTTCTTCTTCGTTTTATTCGGATTAAAGGCCAGACATTTTTGTCAAATCCACTTGCGTTTGGAGGAATCAGATTACAGTTGAGTCCAATTAGCGTAACAATCAGATGTCATTTTGAAGAATCCACCACTTGTTTTAATTCCCTTCATTTATTTTGTAAATTTTTCTATTTTACGTACTTGTGATCTGCGTACGTAAACCCAATATATATAGCAAACCCCCCCTTTGCTCCACGATCGAGGTCGTAAGTTGCTTCAACTTTTTTGAGCAAATAAACAATTTTGTTTTCTTCATACTTCGGTTACTTACTTGTGGCATTTGAGCAATACGTACCCTACTGCCGTCTGCCAACACTTCTCTCTTAGCTTCTTCAGCTTGCCGCGTCTCCTTAACCACCAATCTAACAGGTACTTTTTTAAAGGCCATAATCTCTTACTTTGGATCAAATAATTTGATTCTGTTTCTTAACTTTCTTTTTTGTTCTGCAGATTATATATAGTACTTCATCATCATCAAACATGAATTTGATGTGCAAGGAAATGCAAACATTACTTCCATCCGGTGCTTACAGTCATAAAATGGACGTGTTCAATCCTCGCCGGCAGAAGGAGAAGGTGGTGATCGTAATGGGAGCAACCGGGACGGGGAAATCGAGGCTCTCGATCGACCTGGCCACCCATCTCGCCGCAGAAATCATAAACTCTGACAAAATGCAAGTCTACAAGGGGCTTGACATAGCCACCAACAAAATAACCGAAGAAGAACAACGTGGGGTACCGCACCATTTGCTAGGGATACATGATCCTAATGCAGATTTTACAGCAGCAGATTTTTGTGACGAAACCTCACTTACCATTGAATCCATTTTAGGCCGCGATCGCCTTCCAATCATCGTTGGAGGCTCCAATTCGTACATTGAGGCCTTAATTGATGACTATGACTATAAATTTCGGTCCAAATACGAATGCTGTTTTTTATGGGTAAACGTGTCCACGCCGGTTCTGCACTCATTTGTGTCAAAACGGGTGGACAAGATGGTCGAAAATGGGATGGTGGATGAGGTGAAGGAGTTCTTCCATCCCAATGCGGATTACTCGAAAGGGATTCGAAGGGCAATTGGGGTGCCCGAATTCGATAAGTACTTTCGGTATGGGCCATTTTTGGATGAAGAAACTAAAGCTAGGCTACTAGAACAAGCAGTGGAGGAAATTAAGAAGAATAATTGCAAATTGGCCTCCCGCCAACTGGAGAAGATTCAAAGACTTAGAAATGTTAAAGGGTGGAATTTGCATCCTTTGGATGCCACGGAGGTGTTTCGAAAGCGCGGCAAGGAATCCGATGAAGCCTGGGAAAAGTTTGTTTATGAGCCAAGTGCTCAGATTGTTCGTCAGTTTCTGTACAATTATGCCAAAGTTGAGGTCCCTGTCAATCTTGGTGCCATGAGGGTCCCTATGGAAAGTGCAGCACTCGCTGCTGCAACTCACTAGGAAGACTTAGACATTATTTCTTTCTTAATTATGCGATACATTTTGATGCACTACCTTAATCTAATCATGAGTGTAAAATAAAGGATTAATTGTCATTGTCATGGAAATTTCGTAAGCAATAATTAATTTATATGCTCCATGTCATGCATGATATGATTAATTATAGATAGCTTTTTGGCTTTAGCTTTTTAGAGGCATTGGATCCGTGAAAAAAATAGGGTGTATTATTATTATTATTATTATTATTATGAAGAGAATGTATGTAAGTTGTAACCTTCAAAATGACTGCTATAATAAAGTTCTTCTTTCTTTCTTTCTTTTTATTTATTTATAGTAATTTTGTCGTCCAGGACATTTATATAATTGAAAGGAATTGGCCGTACAAATTGCGACTCCGTACGCATGTATATCATCAGTCACATCACACGCTCTTTTTTTCTTTTCTTTTTTTTGTGTCTATGAATTTAAAGAATCAGAATCTTGTGATGATGATGAGAGAGAGACAGAGAGACAGAGAGAGCATGGTTTTAAGATAATTCAGTTAATTATAAGGATACGGATCTTCTCCTCTTATTTTCTCTATCATGATCTACTTGACTTTTATTCTCTACATGTCATCTCATTAAAATTTAATCTAAGAGATTTAAACTAGACACATCATCATTAAAATAAAAATCAAATTTACTCCTAATTAAAAATAAAAGGAAAAAAAAGCTCGAACTTGACTTACTCCAACCTAACATTGTATTTTTTTTTTTCTCCTTCTTCTTCCTTCCCCACCCCATATGCACTGGCAGATCCATAGAGGCGCAAGGAAGTGTAGCTGCACCTCCCCTCACTGGAAACTTCCTTGGAGATGCCGAAATTTGCCTCTTTGCTAGTGCCCACCAATTGTTCGACTAAATGTCTCAAAGACGTTGTTTTGTTTGTTGGTGTGTGAGACCCTGAATATTTAAATTAGATTGTTGGGCTTGATCTCATGAGCATGTAGGAGAAAACAATTTATCAATCAGAGCTCCACAACCAAAGTTATGAATTTTTGAAGTTTTTTTTAAAAGAATTGATGAAGTTAAACTTGCAGAGGCAGTTCAAGGAAGAAGAAAGACTCGACGTCCATCTAGCGCTTCTTATTTTGATTCTTTTTTTTAAATGGTCCAATAATAAGCTAACACATGTCATTTTCTAATTGGCCTAACTTAAGAATTCATTAAAAACTCATGTGTGCCGAAAAATTCACCAAAAATTACCCCGACCTTTTAATCACATGTGCTTTTAGTTAGATTAATTGGTATTGACTTTTGTTAGATTAATTATATAATTGACATGGATTTTGTTCCTATTTGATATGAATTTTGATAAACTATTGTGTCGCTAATTTGAATTTTTATTTTTTGAATTTTTAGCCTTTTTCTAACACAGTACACAGATGTTAAAACTTGAACCTAGGACCTTGCCTGAATCCTTTACAATTTTTTAACCTTTTAAATATACAAAATTCCTGGATCCGGCTGCACCCACACCCCCACCCCCCACCCCAATTCATAACATCTTTGCGGTACATTCATCAAGCAACTGTTGTTGTATTTGATGCATTGAATGGAACCTTCAACTTTTCATAGTCGACAGAAATCTCATATTTCTAAGGGTCACTAAGAATCATTGGTTTGGGAAATTGGGGAAAGAAAATAAAAAAATTGGAATGCCTTTTCTTTTCTGGTAAAGCTAAACTAGAATGAGTTTAGCAAAGCTACAAAAGACCCCATCCAGAATTCCAACGAATGTGTCTTGTGATGGTGGGTCAAAGCAGCAAAAGTCAAAAAAATTCGAGAGGATATGGGTTGAGCCTCATTGACTCCTGCAATCCTAGCACGAAGTGTATGACAGCCCATTGGGTGGCAAAGATTACTCCAACGTCAGATTGATCCAATAGCTGCTGTTGTATTTGATGAATTGAATGGAACCTTCTACTTTCCATGACAGAAACCTCAAATTTTTTAAGGCACACTAAGATTATTGTTTTTTTTTTTTTTTTTTTTTTTTTTTTTTTTGAAATAAGAATCATTGGTTTGGGAAAGAAAAGATGAATGACTCAGATTTTTTTTTGGGAAGATGTGCGGAGAAGGAAGAAGAAAGAACAAATAATGTTATACACGTTTTTTTTTATACGAATAGTCAATTTAGAGATTTTTTTTTCATTTTTAATTAAGAGTAATTTGGATTTTTATTTGAATGATGATGTGTTCAGTTTAATTAGATTAAATTTTAATGAGGTGACATATAAAGAACGAAAGCGAAACTGATCACGACAGAAAAAATTATAACAAAGCATCCGAATCTTAATTATAATGTCTTTTGAACTAAAGTTAAGCTGATTATGACAGAGAAAGTCAACAAGCAACTTGGCTATTGGATGCAATTGACTAATTACACAAAAGATATTTTCATCTGATAAAAAAGCAACTTAAAAAATTGAAATACTTTGCGAAATGCAATCCCTTTGTGTATTATTAATATATGCTTTGCTTTCTTGTCAAGCATCACACACGCACACAATGACAAACCCCTTTGTTTTGATTAATTTCCAGATATGCAGTTGATGAGACAGATGGAGCACCCCACCCCCCCACTAATACATTCCCTAAATTAATGGGATTAGGAGATAATCCATCTCTAAATACTTGTGAGTTGTCATTCTTTACTGTTTATGGTGAATCTCATCACACGTACATATTTGCTTTAACGAAAGTACCCAAAATTGACCTAGATAAAGAGAGAACCCAAGATATTTCTGCTGTGGCTTCATGACGCTGCTTGCTAGCAAGCACGTATCTAGACCAAGCAAGTGGTGCAGCAGATGGGCCTCTTCTGCTGCTAGGGTTTCAGATCCCACAAGTGGCTTTGGGCTTTTATGTATAGCTTTATTTTTCTAGGGTTTCAGATACAAAATATTTCTTTGCTTCTTCTCTTTCCTTTGCATTTCATAGGTTCTTCTGACCCAAAAAGGAAAACACGCAAAAACGAAAATGGAAACAAATTCTGTTATGTTCGGAAACCACTAACCAAAAGTTACTGTTGTCATTTTCATAATGCATCATGCATGGATACATTATTCTGGTTCCTTCCTGTCGATGTTCTCTCTTCTTGCTCATTTTCCCTGTGTAACCCTAATAATATATGAAAATGAAATCCAACAAGCATATATCCGGCCTGGAAAACACACAATAAAGAAAAGGAGGCATCTGTTTTGGCTATACGTCCGCCTATTCTTTTGTTGTCCATAAAGAAAGAAAAAGAAAAGGTTTGTCCTTTCACATACGAAAAATAGGGCATTGCTATTTATTCATATTTCATTTACGGACTATATTGCTGATCACTTCTAATAAAGAGGTGGTCAATAAATGTGGTACACATATTATAAATAGCAATGCCCCGACAACTACTTTTAACTTTTTAATTAATATAACAAGCGCATCTTTATGCTCACAAGGGACCTCCTCGTACGGAGTTTTCAAGTTCGTAAAATGTGATATGGTCAATATAGATTTCACTATTTAGAGGCAGAGAATATTTTTGCATAAATTGAAAGAGAGAATAAATTTTAGGGTGAAATGGGAATGAATGGGGAAGAACGACTTGATACCGACTGGTACAAGACAAGCCAATTTGTTATAGTTAATTATTCTTTTCGAAAAAAGAAAGGTAAATTTCGAATAAACACTCCTCAATCAGTCGCCATCTTTAGGATATCAGAACATTATTATTGTGGGTGTTATCAGCATATATACATCGTTGTTTCCATTTGGGGTCTTATTGTCCCATTTGAAGACACTTGGAAATATTTCATTTATGGATCCAAAAGAGATACGATATCTACGTTCTACAATTGTATGAGCAAGATAACCCAATGGCTGAACCTCAAACCTTGTTTAATATATATAAAAGTTATCCAACGTTTTGGTTATCTGATGATATTCCGATTCTCCCATTATCTGAGCAAGAATTAATCTAACTACTCTTTTCGTGGTGTAGTGTGGGTTCTACCCGATAAATGCTCTACCACTGAAGCTAAAATCTCGGCCTAATTCCAATATGATTGATCACTGTTGCGTCATTCTACACAAAAAACTAAAGCTGTAAAAACCATTTTCGTCTTTATATAAATGTATAAGGCTTTATAACCAAATATTATTACAAATTATATTGATAGGTAATTGAGTTTGAGTTCGTCTTCTCCATGCAACAACTTCAAATCTATGTTGAAAGCTCAAAATTATTAGAAATATAAGCTGCTAAACGAACACCACACTATGACAAGATTCAGCATTACACTCATACGTACCATTTAAATGTCATAACACTAAACATAGCATGCAGCATATATAAATAAAATTCTCCGTACTCTGATGAGTACCGCCGGGCTTCACAAGGTAGTAAGATGTTTATTCAGACCTTTATCCTGATCGGAGTTCCGCATGTGTAGGTAACACGACAGGATTCCCCAACAGTTACAGTGTAGGCATGGGTAGGCTTAAGGAGGAATGTAGGCAGGTGCACCAGCAATTCACACACACACTCATTATCCAGCTGGGTCAACCATCTACAACAGTTATCTTCTGCAGGTGAGGGTTCGGGTTCATGGTGCCCCCCATGCCTGTGCCTATTATGACCATGTCTATGCCCGTGCCCGTGCCCGTGCCCATGTCCATGCCCATGCTCATGTTCGTGTTCCTGTTCCTGACCTCCGTCATCATCGGGGGGAGAAGAGGGGGGAGGGGAGGGCGGTGTCAGAGGGGGCGTTGGAGTGAAGGGCAGCAATGCACATGCATAGTTAGCAAGCGCAAATTGTGAAGCACAAAGAGGCCGGGGAGGTGGGAATATACGCTGTGCCTCCATCTTGGGCACAAATAGTAGGGAAGCTACAAACAAGGTTAAAGTAAGAATGTTGACTCTCTCCATGCCAGTTATCTTCTGCCTTCTGCTATTACATGTGAGATGTGAAGAGAAAAGATGGATGGTTTTTAGGTGTTTTAGGCTAAGCCTGGTATTTATACAGTTTTGTGCTTTCATAAGCTTCTTGTTTTCTTGAGTTTAGTTAGGCTCTCTTTGTGGGTGATAATAATTAATAAGTAATGGGGATTGCCAAGGGGATGAGTTCAGGTTTTGAATGGTTTATTCATTCTCATTCATTTTGTGTGAAGACTCTGTTAGAGTTTGGTGACGTGCAAACTCTTCTAAATTGCTCCTACCAACTGCAAGAGCAGAGAACAGAAAATACTTTCACAAATTGGTAAATTGTTAAAGATTTTTCCTTTGCCTTGTCCATTTAGAAGACATGGATAATATATTTGGTGTAAACTATCTTCCTGTTTGGCCATCAACATGGAGATAAAGAAAATGAGGAAGAACCCATTGCATGCCCTGTTTGCAGAATCATTCAACTAAATGAAATGTTTAGAGCTAAAACTCAAATGAAATAGTCAACATTTGTAGATTATTAAGGGAAGCAGAATTTCTGGTTTGCCAAAATATGGTAATAGTTGGATGACTAAGCCTCATGAAGTTCTGAACCAACCCATTCATACAGAGAGAACTAAGGCAGAGATGAAGAGGAAAGCTAAAATGTAGATCAGTTCAATTATATTTGGAACAAGATTCACTTCCTACATGGTATACATCATCTGATGTTCTTAACAGAAGTAAATTCATGATAAAAATTTTCAGATCTATTGTCCTGTTTAAGGCAAGACACTCAACTTCAGTGAACATTCACTTCGGAAGCTACTTGTCAGAATTCATTGTATGAGAAATCAAACTCCAGCCTTAATAAATAGACACTATAGTCTCACTTCCAGAATAATGCCTAACGAGATCAACATTTTCTGAAATCGTGTCATCTTGCAAACTGTGCATGACACAGGCGAAGTTGAGATAACGGGGATGTGAAAAAGATGAAAATGTTCACCGTTATTTTTATGTTTGATCAGTTATGAAATTTACAAGCATGTATCACAAATGGTCATAGTGGTTTCATCAATAATTCCCATTTTTACAAATTGTTGTACAGTTCAACAAAACGAAGTACAGATATATAATAATGGGTCTTATATATGACACCAAAAGAAAGCAGTTTCACCCTCCATTCAAGAGATACAGTTACACCAAGAATCACTACAAATTTTTTGATAAATGTGAGGACAAAAAGGAACCTTCTCCTAGACAGAATACCATAATCCCACACAACCAAGATCATCCAATATTTTCAACAGTATTTGCAGCTCAATATCAATAGAAATTTCAAATAAGAAGTAATTCCTTCTTACCTGTCGCATTCACCTAGTTGCAAAATCACCTTTCTTGATCATCAACTATTCTTTGCACCTGTCCTTGCCCTATTCTTTATTCCCCATGGCCATCCTTTCCTTGTCCTTCTTAACCTCTTCCATTTGCAACTGCATCTGTTCTTTTCTCTCCCTCCATCCCTCCTCCAATAGCTCAACAAACTTGTCCTTTATCTCTAGTAGCGGATCATAGTCAATCAATTCATCATCCTTGTACGCTTCCCTGAGCACTGCTGTCTTAATCCCTCCCTTCAACGACAGATAGAATATCCCCGAATGCCTTGTGAATACATTCGAGAATGCATTTGAAAACCTATACTCATCACTAAATTTCCCCAATATGGGCACAGGAATCCTCTTAAATATGGACAATGATAACAGCTCATGGAAAACCCCAACCGTCCTCTTCTCCATTTCCTGAGATGCTTGATCCACTTGCGACACATCCTCATATGGCGATATGTAATCCAGCTCCATCCAATCCCTAACCCACTCCCTCATTTCCCTCTTCAAGAAAAACCCTGATGGAAGCTTATAATAAAAATTAGGACGAACTCGGATGCCTGTCAAATTTGACTCCTCTTCTGCTCTCCTCTCAATCACAGATTTCGCAAACTCGGGGTTCCAAGAAACCAATTTCAGAAATGATTTCTCCTCCCCAGGGAACCTAAGTATCCTAAAATATTGCGGATACTTGGGCACCAAATTGACCATAAAATCATTAGGGAACCCAAATTCCCTCTTGACATGAACCAATTTATCAGCACTAAGCACTTTATCCTTGGACATCATCAACAATTTACACAACTTAGACACAATCAGAGGCTCATTTTCCATAACAATCCCATTCCCTTCTTCAAGAATTTGCTGGAGCCTATCGCTAATTCGAAGAAACTTAACGGGTTCCGTTTTGGTTTGATTCTATCATAATAAATATCAAATAAACCCGGGTTTCTGCTAAGAAAGGTTTTGACTTTGATGTTAAGGCGCAATCTTTCGCGCCGTTTTTCAAGGTACCGAAGTGGGATTACCTGGCCCGGTTCGTTAAGGACCTCCTTGACGACCCGGGCACAGAGCTTGTATTGTTTGTCGTTCTCAATGGCCTGGTCTAGCTTCCGGTCTTTGCGCCAAACCACCTTGAGGCTCGAAATGGATCGAACCTGAAGGTGCGTTTCTGGGTTCGTGTGCGACGTGAAAATGGCTGTGTGGTTGTGCAAATAGGAAGAAATAGTTCGGGTCTTGGGGAGCATACCTGGAATCAGAGACCGAGCCAAACCCCACTCAACACAGTGTGAGCTTTAGAGAGAGAGAGACGGCGAACCCAATTTCAGGGTGTGTTTTTTGCAGCGGCAAAGTTGAATGGGCTGACTTATACATGCTTTTATTGGTTTGGGCCTGGCCTTGGCCCAATCCAATCAAACAGTATCACAGAGCTCGACCACAGCGGATAAAAACCCCATTCTCGGGGATTTTTGTTTATTTGTTGACAAAATGATATTCTAAGTAGTCTAATGTACAAGAAGGGAGATCGAATTTATGTGACACACATTATTTTAATTAGCTGACCGAACACAACACTATCTTTGTCAATTGGTTGTGTCGAAGTTAGACACAATCTAGATCCTTTGATATCATTGAGTTTGTTTTCTTTCCCTCTTGGACATAAAATACTTGCCCCTCTTTTTGTAAGTAGAAACTTATAAATTTATGTGAATGACTGTATGATATGTGTGCATAAACTTTTCTTTTTATATTTTTAATAAATTATTTTTTTACATGTTAAGCTGTGATTTACAGGGAGTATCCTCTCGGATTTAGACTATGTTAAACTTAAATATAGTTAAAACAGATCTCCTGCGAGCCCCTCGACACTTCACACAATCCTGGCCGTCCATTTCGCTAACTCGATTTTGTTTGCTTTACGATACCCGCGTTTTCAACGGACCCGATCGTCCAAACCGTTAACTGCATCACCTCCCGCACGACGACAAACCTGTCATCTGCTCACAAGTTAACAACAGCAAGTCAAAAACAAACGCTTATTTTTTTCTGTCTCTCACTCGATTCGGAGTCTCGCTGTCGACGGTGCTATGCTATCACCGAACACCGAAACCCTAGTTGCCTAGCTCGGACGACGACGACGACGACGACGATGATGCTGATGTGGAACGGTGCGAGGGACCTAGTGTTAGATTCGGACGACATTCCGTTTGGGACGGGCTCGTGGTTTCTCTACGCCGGAGTGTCGTGCCTGCTGGTCCTCTTCGCCGGGATCATGTCCGGGCTCACCTTGGGCTTGATGTCTCTCAATCTCGTCGACCTCGAGATCCTGCAGCGGAGCGGGAGCCCCACCGAGAAGAAGCAAGCTGGTCTGTTTTTCAGAAGCGAAATTAAATTAACAAATTGGTGTTTAATCAACTAATTAAGCTTGGTTGTGAAATTAATGGCTTGATGTTGATCTGTACGCAGCTAAGATATTACCTGTTGTGCAAAAGCAGCACCAGCTTTTGGTCACTTTGCTTCTCTGCAATGCTTGTGCCATGGAGGTACTTAATACTTTTTAACTTAATTAAATTTTATTGATTTGCGGTTTGTTAACGGATTAATTAGTATTTGTATTGATCTTTGCTTTCCCAGGCGCTTCCTTTGTACCTTGATAAAATCTTTCACCCCTTTGTTGCTGTTGTGCTGTCTGTAACATTTGTTCTATTATTTGGAGAGGTACGGCTTTTCTCATTTTATTATTAATTCTTGCAATGCAACTGGGTATAGCCTTTAATCTTGAATGGGATTGTGCCTGACTTATGCCTTGTCATATTGGACTAGATTATCCCACAATCAATATGCTCAAGATATGGACTTTCTGTTGGTGCCAATTTTGTTTGGCTTGTTCGCATTTTGATGTGCATCTGTTATCCAATTGCGTACCCAATTGCCAAGGTAATGCTTATATCCTTGTACTGTATCGTCCAATTTCAATTTTCTCTTCAAATTTTTTAATTAATTGTTTTTGGGGTTATGAGACATTTAAGATATTGCATCAACAACACTGAGATGACTAAAATGGTGTTTCAATTCTATATTCATGATCATTTCCATATTTGGATGAAAAAGTATGTTTCCTGATTCAGAAAAACAGTATAAGGAGTGAAGTTCGATATGTTTCAGATTCATATATTGCTATTGTAGCTTTTAATTTAACCCATGGTCTCAGGTTCTGGATGCTGTACTTGGTCATAGTGATGATTTGTTTAGGCGAGCACAGTTGAAAGCCCTAGTCTCTATTCACGGCAAAGAGGTAAGCTGCTTAGGTTGGAAGTATTTATGACATGCCACCTCTTGCATTTTCCAAGATTTTGTTCATGACTACTAATTTTGTTGAAAGCTCTTTCTTTTGTTGCACAACAGCAGTAGTGATAAATGATACAACTACTTCTTGGGTTTATATCGGGCTTTGTGATTTGTGAATGGCTGCTGAAAATTCCACAACAGTTTTACCTATTCTAATGGTTTTCTCTTTTCTTTGACTTGCTTTTTCTGTCCATTTTAGGCTGGTAAGGGAGGTGAACTCACGCATGATGAGACAACAATCATCAGTGGAGCGCTAGATTTAACTGAAAAGGTGCCTAATGTCTTAAGAAGTATTCTAAAATTTTCATTTTGTCCATATCTGCATTTGACCTGGAAATTTATGAGACATTAAAGAGAGATTTGAGGAAAGATTTTGATTCTATTAGGTCATCTTTCATCTTCTCTATTGGGTTATGTTCATGTGGATGGTCCTTTTATATTATCAACCACTTTTGTCCAATGTGCATTTTTGTAGTACTTGCTCTGTGGCTGATACTGTATCCAAACTATTTTAGTGTTACTTCTCTTCCAGGGTATTTCTTACATTTTTCAGGCTTCTGCATGCCATTTTAAGTATTGAGATAAAGCCAAAATCCATGTCTGCATGTTGCATTGTCTTCAATATTTGAAGTATTCATGATACTAAAGTTTCTTTTGATGTCCAGACTGCAGAGGAGGCTATGACACCTATTGAATCAACTTTTTCCTTGGATGTAAATTCAAATTTAGACTGGTGTGTTTTCCTTTGGACTTTTTTTTCTTCTTCTTTCGTGTTCATTCTTTTGTGATACTAAAATAGCAATGACAGATACTGACATCTCTAGATCCTTACTTTGTTTCTGTATCTGCTGATCTTTTAAGGCGAATATAGTAAGAACTAGGTAGTGAGAAGGAATTCTAAGGATCACGGTTGATGTTGAGATGCGTCTTGTTCTTCTCTCGTTTTTCATGATATAAGGACATATGTATTCTTAAATGGTTGTGTATCTTCTTATTAATCAGGAGTAAACACATGAACAGATTTTTTTTAATCCCACTTTCCTAATGCAGGGAAGCAATTGGGAAAATTCTTGCACGAGGTCATAGTCGAGTTCCTGTCTATTATGGAAATCCAAGAAACATTATTGGCCTCCTACTGGTGGGTGTGAAAACTTTAGCCTGTCTGAAGTTTGTGTATGTGCGTGTGTCTTATATGATATTAGCTTATGGTAGAATTTGCAAGTCATTTTTATAATTTTGTTGTGGACTTAGGTGAAAAATCTTCTCACAGTACGAGCAGAAACGGAGACTCCAGTCAGTGCCGTTTCCATTCGAAGAATTCCCAGGTGTGTCATTTTCTCCATATTCTCTTTTATGTATCTGTTCTCTGTGGGAAATTGTTAAATTCTTATGCATGGATATCCCAGGGTTCCTGCAGATATGCCTCTGTATGATATACTTAATGAGTTTCAAAAAGGAAGCAGTCACCTGGCTGCTGTAGTGAAAACCAAAGGAAAGAACAAGAACCTTTTGCCAACTGCTGACAAAGAGAAATTCGAAGAGAATAAACTGTCCCATGAAAAATCTCAATTAGTTGCCTCCTTGCTAAGCAAGCATGATGACAAATCAGGGAGTGTTGTTGTCAACATCGATAAATCTCCAAAGTCTCTGACAAACAAGCCAACTGAGGATATTGAAGATGGGGATGTCATTGGAATCATCACCCTGGAGGATGTTTTTGAAGAACTTCTTCAAGTAAGCTCTGCCTCTAATTTATAGATTCGGAATGGTCAGTAAATTGTCATGGACTTTGGCTTAGTAGCACTCAACCCATTTACACTATCTTTTCGCGGTTCAGTCAGTGGGATAGCATTTGTTCCACTACAAAATATGCGCATACTATTTGTTTTCATATTTCCATTTTTTAGATAGATTTTCCTGATTCCCCTTTCTAATGCAGGAGGAGATTGTAGATGAAACAGATGTATATATCGATGTACATAGGAGGTACTATTGGATCTGAACTCTCTCTCTCTCTCTCTCTCTCTCTCTCTCTCTCTCTCTCTATATATATATATATAATCTATCTTGCTCAGTCGCTCATGGTCAAGTTGCTTGATTAATTTGGAATGCATGATTTGTATAGGATACGTGTGGCTGCTGTGGCAGCTGCTTCATCCATGGCACGAGGTCCATCAAGTCGGAAGTTGCTTGCAGTAAGTTACATCATTCACTTGTCAATCTTCATTGCTAAGTCATTTAAACATGAATTCATAAACCACTATATGGATTTACGTCATCATCAGTTCCCATCTTCTTTGTTAAGTGAGATAAAAGCCCATTTCCTGGAAAAGCACAAGTTTTCCAGTAACTGAACATTTCACCAAATTTGCAATTTGTGAAGCACATGGGGCTGTATTTGAACAGAATTTTCATCTGCAAAACTCCAATGTTTTTGTGCTTCTTACATGCATTGCTCACGCTTAAAGTACATTTGTAGTGCATAAATGTGTAGTAGCTCTATGCAGAAGAATAATTGAAGGGGCGGGAATCATCATATAGTAACTTCATAAAAAGTAGCCAAAAGCAGCCGAAAATTTTAAGAAAAGTTTGAAAAGTATCAAATTTATTAGCTTCCTCTCCAAGTACATATTTTGGAGAATTACAAGTTGTATTTCATTTCTGTGAGCTGTTCTGGAAGTTCAAAGTTATTTGTCTAATTATACATCTGGTTATCCTTCAGGGACTAACTGAGCATGGACAAACCCCAAAGAAGTCCGCAGAAGATGATGCACATTCAGTGAGGTATTCAGGGAATCCTCGGGAGCCTCTTCTAGGCAACAAGAGATGACAACGGTAGTTCCAGACTTCCGGTCGGGAAACAAAGTTGCGGCAGGCAGCTACCTTCAGTCCTTTGTTAACTATCATGCCATGCCAGTCTGCTTCCTTTGTTAAAATATCAAGATTACAGTTACATATCTATAAGCTAGGCTTTTCTTGTAGATTATAGTGTGCATACGTATGTAACTGGATTTAAATTTTGTCAAGTTTTTTGTTCTTTTGGTCAAAAATTTTGTCAGTCTACAAACTGGATCTGTCCAACTACAGTAAAACCCATTTGGGTTTTTTATAAAAGCCTACCAAAGAGAAACAGATAGATATTTAACGCAAGGGGAGGGGCCTATAAATGAATAATTTCACCATAAATCTTACAGACTTAGTTCGACGGTATAGACAAAAGGAAAATGTTGGAGATAATATATTGTGTATTACCTTTTCTAATATAATGTGGTCCCTCTAGACAAAAAGAATACGTTAATCAAACAATGAAAATGTCAATGGTGTTTATCCCAATGAAAAAAGGTCAGTGATTTCATGTTCGAATGAACACCCCCCTCTCATTCCCTTCCTAATTTTAGCGAAAAATAAAATAAAATCAAACAATGAAAATAACAGACAAACGAAAAGTAGGAGCACTTGCACCACAATCTCATTTAATTTTCATAAAAAATCTCAAGAAATTGTCTTTGACCTAATGCGACAATTAGGAGACTCTTCCATATATTTGAGAAAAAGAAAAAGAAAATAAAGCATTCATTTTCAGAATCTGATTTTTCATTATTTGTGGGCAGGGAAAGACACAGCAAGTGTGAAAGAAAGGACCAGAAAGCAGCAGGAAAGTTCCCAAGTTCCACGTCAGCTTAACCGTTATCCAGTGGCCCTTCCAAGTTCCGACGAATAAAGACTTGTTTACCCTGACTAGCGGCCCAAGAGCCTCTACCATGTCAGCCGAACAGTCAAATTATAAACCGACGGAATTACCCTCGCATAGTAGCTAGATTAACGATTGTACCCGTTTCCTTAGCCGCGTGGGTCAACTCGTCCCCAGCCCAAGCCCAGCCGAGTTTTCTAGTTGTTTATTTTCCCGAGAATCGAACACTACAAATACAAATATCGTACAGACCTGAAAACCCTTCTCCTTCCTCCTTTCCTGGTTCCCACTGAGTCTCTCTCCCCCTATCTGAACGGTCAGTCTTTATCTTGTTGTTATTTCCGTCCGTTTAGTTGCCGAGAAAGGATAAGAATCGCAGAGAAAGGATTGTGAAATTTTGCATCTTTCTTTCGTTTTAATCCCAGGTTTAAAAAAGTTAGAAATTTTTTATTCTGAATTATTTTCTTTTCGTTTTTAGGGTATTTTTTTGTGTGTTATTTTCTCGGCAGCCAAACAGAGAGATTGTAATTTCGATTTCATCTCATGCGTATTTCCCCGTTGTGATGAATTTTGTATTGTCGGCTCTCAATTTCGAATCAAATTCTGATTTTTTTTCTTAAGTTTAAACCAAACGGAGTATTAGAGAGTGAAGGGGGAAAAAAAAGTCATCTTGGATCTTGACATCATTTTCGTTTTCTTGTGTCAAATTATTGCTCTTTGTTGTTTCTTTATTATGTTTCTTTGACAAAAAAAATTATGTTTACTAATATGTGGAGTTTGGAACTCTCAAATGGATGAATGTTTTTTGGGTATGTGCAGGTTTGTAGCTCTTGGATATGGGTTTCAATGCGGTTTATGGTTGCTTAAAGGAAGTTTTTCCACAGGTATCGGTCTTTACCTCAAAAGACATTTTTCGATTAAATTATAATGTTATCTTTGCTATTAGATTTCCTTGTTTGCCTCAATTTCCTTTTTGTCTTTTATTTCTTGTTTTTTAGTTTTTATTCCGGCAGATGCTAATGATTACTACTAGTTGGATTTTATGGAATATACACATTGTCGTCCCTAAGATCTTAAGCCAAAGATTTGTGCAGTTTTCTTCAATATTCCTTAATGTAAAAGCTGTAAGATTAGGGAATCTATGTGTCCTAGGATGCTTGAGTTGTCTTTTTGGTGTTGACTATGCTGACCCTCCATGTTATTTCTTCTAATGCTGCACAGGTGGATTTTCGCCTTCTGAGGGCTGTTGCTATTGAACATCCCACCGATGCTGATGCAGCAGTGCTTGATGTTCTTACTGAGCTCCCTTCCTTGAACAGACGATCATTGTCTCTGGTTAGTCCTGCACAGGTTCTGCATCGCACAGGTTCACCAGTTACAGGTAATCTATAGCTTTTCATGAGAACTTTTTTCCGATTCCTGATATCATTCTGTTATTGACGCCATTATATTTTTCCTATTCCCCGTTGTTATATATTGATAAACACTAGAATGTTGCCATTTTTTCTTTTAACCTTTAGATGGTTAATATTGTATATGCTTTATTTTATGCATATATTCAAACCCTCTATCTAGTGGTAGACATTTGATATTTTAACAATGGTATTTATTTATATGTTGCATGATGAACTTGCAGTTGACCACAAGGAGAAGGGTAAAGCATTGATGTACCAGCAGGTAATTAAGGAAGTAGAAGTTGGATCTCTACCAGAACCAGAAACCGCAGCTGGTGAGGATGGCAACAAAAATGATCATCCAAGTGGTGCCTCTCATGATGAACCCACACCAATGGAGGAAGTGCATACATTGCATAATGCCCCTGTCACGGCAGATCCTTTGAGGATACATACTCAAAATGAAGAACTGATTTCTGATGAAACGGGTTTGAATTTTGATGGCAAAGTTGGGCTTCAGCAGTCTCCATCTTGCAAGTCAACCCTTTCAATGCCTAACGAAGATTGGGTGAATCGCATCTTGGAAGTGCATACATTGCATAATGCCCCTGTCACGGCAGATCCTTTGAGGATACATACTCAAAATGAAGAACTGATTTCTGATGAAACGGGTTTGAATTTTGATGGCAAAGTTGGGCTTCAGCAGTCTCCATCTTGCAAGTCAACCCTTTCAATGCCTGACGAAGATTGGGTGAATCGCATCTTGGATGAGCCACTTCCTGCATGGAAGAATTTTGATTTTCCTGTACATGATGATTCTGATTTGGTTATCAGTGAAACATGTCATAAAGTAGAATCATCTGCTGTTGACTCTTTGGTGGAGGTTAAAAGTTCTGTGGCTCAGCTGGATTCTTCTTTTATAGAACATGCACCGGATGCTACACAGTGTGACTTTCATTCAGAATTCTGTTCAGGCCCTCTTCTTGCTGATGACAACTTACAAGCAACTGGTACTTCATGTCTTACTTCCAAGCAAGATTGCTCTCCCAGGGAAATGGTTGATATTGAGGAGACCACACCGAACAACATATGCAATATTTATGTTCTTGAAGAGATAATTGAAGATGCTAAAAATAACAAGGTACTAATGGATTTACAACTTGTTAGCTTTAGACTTGCAATTCAGAAGTAAATGCATCTACTATAAAAATTACAACTGCATAATTTCTTGTTCAATTACTATCAGATTCTAAACCTAATGATGGTAGTTTATCATCTTGATCCCTTCTTTGTGATGATGCTCTGTGTTTTCATTGGGTCTCTTGAAGTGGCTTTTAATTCTTCCGTGTGAAACAAGTACTATACGATTTTGTCTTTTGAATGCAATGATATTATGTTCTATAGATTTGGTTTCGGTGCTTCATTTCATCTTTGTATCAATAATTTGTATCATCATGGGATGTACTGGTGATAATTATTGGCTGACATTTGGGAGCTTATTATTAATTTGAGTAGTTTATTACGTGTTTACATTGCTGATGCAGCATCTTGATGGAGTCAGTTTTCAGCATCATTAATTTTTTTTTCTCCTCTCCCTTATGATTGAGTTCCTAATTATTAAACAATGGTGCAGAAAACCTTGTTTTCAGCGATGGAGTCAGTTATAAGCATGATGAGAGAAGTGGAAGTCCAAGAGAAAGCTGTTGATATTGTCAAAGAGGAAGCTTCTAGGGGAGGTTTGGATATCATGGTCAAGGTGGAGGAACTGAAACAGATGTTGGCACATGCGAAGGATGCAAATGACATGGTTGTAGATTGCTAAATGAGATTAATATTATAAGTTAATGGATTCTGAATTCTGCTGTTCTTTGTCAAGGGTGCATCATAACTGAGGATGTATTCTTCTTTTTTCTGCAGCATGCTGGAGAAGTGTATGGGGAGAAAGCAATTTTAGCAACTGAAGTGAGGGAGCTCGAGTCTAGATTGCTCAGCTTATCAGATGAAAGGGATAAATCACTTGCAATTCTGAATGAGGTTTTTACTTCAGTTCATCAAGTTGTTCATCACACTGCATTAATTTGTTGTCATGCTATGTTTAACTAAATTATTCATTCATCTTTTAAATTTCCTCATTTATTATGCTATCCTTATCATGTTGTATTCTTCAAAGGCAATGATTATATTCTCTGTTTCACTACTCTAATTATTTATCAAGAAATATCATGACAGAGTTCATACAGTAAAAAAAAAAAGGGCAAATGTTATCCGTCACTTGTTTGGCTACAATCGATGCACAGCAGCTGATACAAAGATAGTCCATTTTCTTAGTTCATTATTTGTTTTGTAACTGCAGATGCGTGAAACTCTTGAGGAACGACTGGATGCAGCAACTGAGGCAAGGAAAGTGGCTGAGCAGGACAAGCTAGAAAAGGAAGAATCTGCACGGACAGCTCTTGCTGAACAAGAAGCGGAGATGGAGAAAGTGGTCCAGGAGTCAAAAGTATTGCAACAGGAGGCGGAGGAGAATTCTAAGGTTGCAACTATTTCCAATGACAATGGGCCTACTCAAGTAGAGTAACTGATGATATAATTTCATTCTTACTTTTCTTTTTGCAGTTGCGGGAGTTTCTGATGGACCGTGGTCGCATTGTCGATATGCTGCAGTAAGTAATTTTGTCATCATTGTTTTAATATATATTAGTTTTGTTTCCTTTTGAGGCTTTCTAAATTTCTTTTGATAGTTTCGTGTCTATGTTTTTTCTGCAATATTTAGTTTTATGGTTTTGAGGAGATAACATGGTACTTTGGTACTTGTGCAGAGGAGAAATTTCTGTTATTTGTCTGGATGTCAGGCTGCTGAAAGAAAAATTTGATGAACGGGTTCCACTAAGCCAGTCTGTTTCCTCAAGCCAGACTACTTGCATCTTAGCTTCTTCAGGCTCATCATCCCTGAAAAGCTTGGGGGCATTTGATTTGCTTCTGGAACGAGTCGAGTCACCAAAGTTTGCAGAGAAGGCAAGTCCTGCTCCTTCAGTTGATGGCCTATCACCAACAAGCAGACTTGAAGATGAAAGAAGAGAACTTGCGCAAGCACTTGTGGATGAGGGGTGGGAAGTTGTCGTCGACAATTAACTGGATTTCTAAGCCTACTATTGCATACATTATGGTATTGTGAATACGACCAACAAGATCAACTTCGCAGGATTTTCGCCAAATGCATTTTTGTTTAAGTTGAGAGTAGGGTTTATACATATATATAATATAATATATTTGGAGTGTTATTAGTAGTTCCATAGGGTTGAGGAGTACTAGTCGAGCCTCTCTCTTTCCGCATACTACTTTGATAGTTGCGAGTACTTTCTATATTCTATCATGATTTGTACAGTACATATATTCGAAACAATAATGAAAACTTGCAGAGTTTTGAAGATATTATTCTACTCTAGCCCAGAAAACCTAAAGTATAAGTCTCAACAGGCCCTTTTCAACACTTACAAGGCTTTCTTTAACTGTAGCCCAGAAAACCTGTGTGAACTCGATTCGGCCAAGTGTATGTATACTATATGTATATATGTCTATGTCCAGATGCTTATCGACTAATGGATCCACTGAACACGAAGAAAATATGAAATACGGCTGCAAGGTCAAAAAGGCTTTTTATTTATCGGATAAGCTAATCATATTCTTCCCCTCTTAATTGCTCAGCTCAGTTTTTGACCCAAGTAGTAATAGTAGCAAGTTAACCTCTGTAAATTGGCTTAGGGTCTGTTTGGAAATGCTTCTGGAATGGCTAAAAGCGTTTTCTGATAACTAAAAGCGCTTCTAACATCATTTGGCACAAAAGTTTAGAAGCGCTTCTAGGTCATAGAAGTGGTTCTTCAGAAAGCAATCTCAAGTGCTTTTTCATGACGCACTTTAATTTTTTATGAAAATTCAAGATTTTTATAATAAAGACGTTTTGTTAGAAGTGCTTATTAGCAAAAGTACTTCGTAGAGAAGCAATCCCCAAACGAGCCATTAATCGGGAAATGAGTTTAACAGACAGATTGGATTGGACGTGCAATAGTGTCATTATTTATAAGCAAAATAGGAAACACAAGAGTTCATTAATTATCAGAGAGATCCATACATCATATCATATGGTACATGTATGTATTTACATAGTCAAATCAAATACACATTTCGAAATTGGAGCTATATATATATAGCTTCTTCAATTCACTTTAACCTACCTACCATCTAAGCCAAAACTGCGTCACTCCTGTTTGCTTGATCATTATACAACATGCAGATGCAGAGAGAAACACCACAACATCCACCCGTACGGTATGGTTAATTACTCACCCTAATCCTCCTACTGAATCCCAAGCTTGGAGTGGAGATTGAACAACAACAACACAGTAGTGCATGTGCATGCTTCAACTCAACTCAACTCAACTGAGCTAATTAACATAATTAATTAGCCTTTTAAATATATAGTTAATCATGCCAGCACAGAAGCATCACGCTGCATCTCCATACGATGTAAAGCCGTGCCCTCTGCTCTCTTATGTGCTTTGAACACCGTGTCCACGGCCGAAGCTTCAAACTGCTCCTTGTTGTTGGGATTGCCTTGGCTGCCATGCCCATGCCTATATATATATGAACAAAACCAACACACAAATCGAACTTTGGCTGAGATTTTATGACAATTAACTAAAGAAGTTGGAACTTGAAACTAAACTTGTTGTGTTGTGGGTTTGAAGGGGTGTTAACCAGGGGCTTTAAATAGAGAGACTACAGAACAGCAGAAGAAGAAGTAGAAGAAGAAGATATGCGAGGAACAAATATGTGGTGCTTGACAAATGTTGGCCACTGGTTGAGCCAAAGGGACAGGGAAGGGCCCCACTGTTTTTGGGCAACATGACAAAGCACACCCTCTCTAGATAAGGACCTCTCATCGACTCTTCCCCATGGAGGGGCCATCCCCTTATCTCACTAACTGATATCTGCATGCATTTGCAACAGGGTAATGTCATGCTTACCACATTTTTATACTACATCATGTATTACCTCTCTAATAAAGGTGGAGTAGAGGTGAAATAGAGGTGGAACCCACCAATACAATGGGACTCACTTCTATTAAAGAGGTGGTATACAATGTGCTATGAAAAATGTGGCAAGTCTAGCATTTTTCTTTGCGGTATGCATAATGCATGCTCACATCAATCACCTAAACAATTAAGAATCATTAATAAGTTTGACTAATGTTCCAGTTAATGCTCTCATTATAGATTTCTAAAATTAATTATATCATAAAAGTCGATGAATAGACTAATAGTTATAAACATTTAAAGCAACAAACAATCCAAGGGGGACTAAAGGAGCTATCTACAATAGACAACGTATATCATCAAAATGATTTTCAGCCATTTTACCCCCGAATTATGACCCTAATCGAACTTAACTTCCAGAACTAGAAAGTCAACCAATTTAGTACTTGAATTTATTAAAACAGCCAATTTAAACTCACAGTTAAAATTTTCAAATTTCATCTAAAATCTAACAGTAGGTGTGAAATTGACAATTTCAATAATTCGGGTGCTAAATTGGTTGAGTATTTAGTGCACAGGGTTAAGTTTGATTAGGGTCCTAATTTGGGGAGTATTTCAGCAATTAACTCTTATCAAAATGGTGGTACACGTGTCCCTTAATTTGGTAACTAGTATAAGAGCTAATCTTGTTCACAATCATTTATTTTTCTGAAAGAAATCGAACTTGAAAAAGCATATGGGTATTTCCTGGAGTTGAACTTTAGACCGAGACTGACCGTTAACAATAGCATTCACATTTGGTAACTACTACTACCAGAGAGCCCACGTGTAACATAAAGAAAACAAGTACAAAGGGGCCCACCCACATTTTCATCATCCTCACAGCACAGGGCTCGAATATCACGTGCAGTATGTCGTACTGGTCAAACCGACATGCCGTCGACTATTTTTTTTTAAGAATACATGAAATGTATCTTTATCTTCAATGACTTGAGGTTGGAGGAAGCCCTACCACTACCACTACACTAAGGGACTTTAAGGCGACACTCAGGATGATCCTTCGCCTTCAACTACAACCACCTTACAAAACCCTACACTGTGACCTCTACAATGGACAACTTGTCCCAACTTTGGCCATCTCCGTTCTGAATTAGTGGATTTGGAGCCCTACACGTGGTTCTGAGAAATCCCATTTGTCTTTGTCCCTGTGCTGCAGCCAGAGCTAGCATAGCCACTGTCATAAACACTCGTAACCTTATCTCAATGGAGGGGGGAAAATCACATGGACAAGTATCAGTATACATCATACATGACAATATTACACATTAGATTACAAGGGTGCAAGACCCCACACATTGCAAAGGACTTGAAACTCAAGTGGTTATCATTCTTGCACACTAAGTCTTGTGTTCGAGTCCCCACAACATGACACGTGTTGCGTGATAATTTGGAAATGCACATGGAGAAGGAAGCAAGGGGGTTGCTTGGAACCAACCAATGTACTTAGACCAATGAGAATGTGTGCGCTTCCACGATCTTGAATAAAAATCAAAGCAAAGGGTTAAAAATTGAAAAGCATGTGGCACTTTTGATATTTTCCGACCAAAAAGAAATGATTCGCACTTGTATTTTGGAAGTTGATGGACAACTCACATTTTCATCTGCAAAGTACTGATTCTGTTATAGGAAAAGATTTTGAGGACAAACGTAAAATGAATAATAAGTACTAACAGAGAAGGGTTACATAGACAGGAAGAAAGATAATTCACAGAGGAGTTCGTATTCACTATTTCATCTGCAAAGTACTGATTCTGTTATAGGAAAAGACTTTGAGGACAAACGTGAAATGAATAATACGTACTAACAGAGAAGGGTTACATAGACAGGAAGAAAGATAATTCACAGAGAAGAGTTCGTATTCACTAGTGTTTGAACTGAACTGCCTGATAACCTCACACCTCCCCCAGAGCTTTCTTGATATCAGCCTGTGTCGAAGATTGGGAAGAATATTAGTTTAAGAGATGACCAGAGCTGTGCTTCTGTGTGTATGTATGTGTCTAAGAGAGACTGAGAGAACGAACCTCAATGCTCAAAGGAGACGTGGTTGGGCTGTACCGTTCGATGACATGGCCATCCTTGTCAACCAAGAACTTGGTGAAGTTCCACTTTATCCTATTCCCCAGAAATCCAGTTTTACTTGCTTTGAGGAATTTGTAAACAGGTTCTGCTTCTGGCCCATTGACACGTACCTAGATATAGAAGAGTACAGAATCCATGTTATTAAACTGTTAAGTTTCATCTGCAGATTGCGCAAAAGAACTAAGATCTTAACATAAGATGCATCACTCGGAAAGAAATCATGGTTTTGCTTACAAATCCAATCAATTAGCTTGTTTGATACCATGGATTTGTTTCCTGTCAAAGGTTTTCTTTAGTCTTGGTTGATAGTGAAGCATCTCCTAGAAAGCGGTTTTCTCTCGCTCTCCTCTCTCTATCACACATTCAAACATATTTGGCAACCATAATGGCCTCTCATATTCCACCCCTGTGTAAACCATTTCTCATAAAGGGGTAATGGATAAAAAGGCTACAGCTAGTACAGAATCAGTAATATTCTTCCCCTGTTGCAATCCATTGCAATTGACCAACCAGATGAAGATAACAAGTAAGTGCATTACTGAGAATACACGTAAGCACAACCAACATCAATGAAATAACATGCCCATCGCACTCAGCTTCAAGCACATCAACTTAACACTCAAGAAAGGAACCAAATAAACAGAAATGAAAGGTTTCCTACGTTCTACAGAAACTATATATATATATATATATATATATATAAATACAGAAGTCGTAATATTGAAAGGTGGCAAGGTTTATTCTTTCTTTTTAATATGCTCTAGAAGGAACCTCATAATATTATTAGCACAGGGTATAGGCCACATTTTATACTGAAGTATGGGGGCATTAGTCTTAGCGTTTCCCTTTTTCACAAATCAAAACAAACCAGGAAGCCATCCAATATGAGTCTGAGAATTCTAAATCTTGATAATGCCTTCCTCAAAAAGCTCTTTGAAAGAACATGTGCTCTTCCAATGGTCTCTGCCATTAGAACTGACCCGCTGACTGGAAAACATCTAACTTATAGTGATTAACTTCTATTACCTAATCTCTTCATTCCTTTTTTCCAGATAATATCTACATTTCTTAACTCTAGTATTTAGGCGGGGATATATAGGCAATAGCAGTGAGCAGTATTTAGCTGTCTGGTAACCTTTTTCCATTTCCTCAACTCTACATGGGTGAATTCAAACAAAAACCAAGCTGAGGGTCAAAGAAAAATTATTGGCAAAACCCATGAGCCACTACTAATATCACATACATAGTCATTTTCTTCAAAGCTCAGGATATCACAAGCACCATGTAGGACTAAGATAACCGGATTGATGATCTGATAAATGTGGCAAAAGATATTGAATTACCTTCTTGAATATCGGATATTCAGCCTTGTATCTTGTACATGCAAATTCTTCCGCGTCCTTGCTTGTCCCAGGCTCTTGCTTCAGAAACTGATTGCACGGAAATGCCAGGATCTCAAGACCTGAAAATACTCATGTCTAGACCAGATCAAACACAAAACAAACAGAAATATTTACTCTCAGTCTTAATGGGCAAATGGCATCAACTAAACTGATAAGAACTTGGAAATTAGCAATATAAACAAAACTATAAAATTTGGATTATAGAAAAAGAACCCAGAAGAGTTTTTCATGGGATTTAATAATCCTTCGCTCAAAATTAGAACTTCTTCACGAAACTTGATTGTAAATATAGATAATATGTTCATACATATAGAGCTGTAGTGAAAAAGGTTTAGAGGGAAAAGAAGAAACCTTTGTCCTTGTATTTGTTGTAAAGCTCGGTCAACTGAGTGTAATTCGTATCAGTAAATCCACTGTAAACACATAAGAAGAAGAAGAAGAAGAAGAAGAAGAACACAAGGATTAATCAAATGATTAAACCCAAGAACGAAAAAATAAAAATAAAAGGGGAAAAAGAGAGAACCATTTGGAAGCAACGTTAACAACGAGGAGGACCTTCCCTTTGTAAAGGCTGAGGTCCACGTCCTTACCTCTGCTATCCTGCCACCCAAAAACAAAAATTTCAAGATTTCTGAACGAAACCATTGACTTGAAAAAGAAAAGCAATGAACTTGGAATTACCTTTACTGCGAATTCATGGATGGATTTTTCAGAGACCGACTGTGAATGTGAAGCACCCATTTCTCTGTCTCTTTCTGTTTCTCTCTCTGTCTCTTTACACAAGCAAAACTGTTTGTTTGGTAATAATTTATACAGAGCAAGAAGAAACTGTGAAGGGAAGGATGAAGAAGGAAAGACTTTTTACAGTTGCCTTGTTTGTCATCAATTTGCTGCAGTTCACACGGCAGATAGGCAAGGGGCTCAAAACTTTTTTAATTTAGGGACAAGGGCTTCACTTCATTTCATAATTTACTCTAAATCACTTCTTCTTTTTTCGGCCTTTTCATTTTGTTGGGTCTCGTGAGTATGAGAGGGGTCAGTGGTCTGTTTGCTCCAACCAATATGTGCTGTCTTTGTAATTCTAACCAGTTTTTCTTTTCTTCGGGTCAACAATTTCTCATGAATTTCAGCCATCAGTCACTCAGTCAAGAAGATATTTGGATGTCAAACAAACCCTAATTAAGCCCAAAAACAAGAATCTGATTCAAAAACATCTCATGTAACATAAAAAGTCGGTCGACTGAGAAATAGCCAACTACCCTCATTAATATTGCGCAATCACAATAAATACATAACAACCGCTCCCGCTGTCAATGGCCCGTACCACGTTCTGTTATGATATTAGAAAAATTAGAGGGGAACTAGAAACTCAACTCAATATGTTTTAGAATCACAAATAAATTAGTTTCTATATTGAAAATAGATTACCTTTAATTTTAACAAGAAACGAAATCTTACAAGAATTAAGAGATTTTTTTTAAGGATATTTCTTAGGCGATAACATACTAAACTCGCACACACACACACACTACAAGAATGCTAAAACAGGACCTTTCATGAGAGAGTACTGCTCCAAACCACCAGATTCTCAGGGTCCATTGCGCAGAATTAAGAGATTTTTGGTTTACAAGAACAAGGCATTTTAATAACAAACGATTCTTCTAATAGTAGAGCATGGAAAGCTGCCCAATTTGATGGTTTGATAGAGTTGGCAGCATAAAAATTTCCACGAATGGACAAGACAGCTAAGAAGAGAAATATACAGATAAAGATTGCACCAAAGCAATGAGTATATGTTCCATCAAATGCCCCATGCATGTCATAAAATTCCTATGTAAGGGCTTCCAAGAAATAAATCATTCTAAGATTTTGACATAAAAATTGGCAAAATAAAAAAAAAGAGATAAATAAATTATACATGCCATTGCCAACCTAGAGTTAGTCACCAGCTCTCAATCATCTCTACAATCACCGTCTCCCTGCGCTTCTGCTTTTGCAGGAGGAGGAAGGATACAATTACATATGTACAAATCCGAAGCATACTCCAATGGCCTGTCTTTGTGCCTTGGCCTCTCTCTCTCCTCTAAAAGGCCTGCGCCTCACAACATGAAGAACAATGGCTTTGGCGAAATAACCGGCCCTCTTGAATAAGCAGCAGAAAGCAAGATCAAAAATGGATCATACCTACCAATTATCAACTGCTACAGAATTAGCACGAGTTACAAATATTAACAAAATAGTGAATTTAGGGATATTGTCGCTGTAACACACCAGTCCCTGACTATTTGCTATGTTTGCTCATCGTGGCCGCCAGAAGCTTGGACCTGAACCACCATAATCTACAACAAATTACCAGGAAAAAATTAGGGAACAAAATCATCCCCTGCATAAAGAGACCAAACACTGCAGGAAATGCACACACCTCTGCCGTTGACGGGTATTGGACCTTCAAAAGGTGGTCTAAAGGGCATAGAGTCTCTGTGGTTCATTGATCGGGGAGGATATCTCCACCCTTGGCCCGGTAACCTTGTTGGTTCACATGGGGGGGCCATGAAAGGGGGCAGTTCCATAAGACGTCTTGCCTTTGTCAGGATATCGACCTAGTGCAGAAAGAAAAGCAAATAATTTTAAGACACCATAAAATACCAGAGGAAACAGGGAAGTGTTCCAAAGCCTTGTTATTTTAAAAAATTACCAGAAAAAGAATGTGAAGGAAACCCCCAGCTCTCACGGGGCTCATAAGGGGGTTTCATTCTTTCATGATTATTGTAATAGTTTTCTCTGTCCCCATTCGGCCCAAAGTCAAATCTGTTGTGATAAGGAGGCGGCGCCTCCCGTCGAGGCTTTACCTGCTGATCTCCTTGAACATAAGAGAACTGATTTGATGGTGGAGCATGAGGTGGTCGTAAAGGGTAACCTTTATTATGAAAGGTAGCACCATCCGTTTGTGGAACATTTCTCCCTGAATATGTAGGAAAACTACTATAAGAGCAAGAAGTAGAATCAGGCATCTGTCTTTGAAGATCTCTACATTCAGGGGCACGATAGTGCACGGCATCAGAAATTGTTTGGTTGATTCTTGGTGCATTCAACTGCTGAGGTGGAGGTTGAACTCTATTTTCATGCACGTTCTGCAAATGCACATCCAAGTTAGAACATGGAGGGTGGATGACAACAGGTGGAGGCAGAGGTGGTGGTGGTGGCGGAGGCGGAGGAGAAGATGGTAGTGGAGGAGATGATGGTGGCACATCTTGAGGTAATGGAGGGGCAAGGGGCAATGGACAGTTCTGTTCAAACTGATTATGTGAAGCCTGCATAGTATTAGCTATAGCAACACCACAAGATGAACTTGTGTCAACATCACAAGAAGGAGCGACATCCTCCATTTCAAGCTCTCCATCGACATCTTCCAAGATATGCCTATGCCTTTCAGTAGCAGGTGTGGTTTCATATTCTTCATGCCCACGAGGATTATGCTCAGGAGTGACAGCTTCAAAACTTTCCTCATCAGAATCACTTCCATCATGTTCATCCTTGAGCATGCGAGGCATACAAAATCCCGGAAGTTGAAAACTTGAATTGCTGCAGCAATACAGGAAGAACTCAATAAACGATATAATACGAGAATACAAGACAATCAAGGAGTAAGATGCAACCAATTCAAACCTTCCATATTCGTCAACAAGCATACCCTCCATTTCTCTAAGAGGATCATCCAAAGACCTTTCTGTTCTCGAGGAGCGCCTACCATAGGCACCAGCAGAAGAAGGCCCAGTAAGGGAATTCAGTTCTCGCATATGGCGATGAATTATGGACTCTGGAAAAATCCTTCTTTCCGACCAAAGTCTCAAAACCTTATACAAAAGAAGAGGAGCACGTAAGGCACTTAGAACAAGCCAGACAACAATACTGTCAGATGTTTGCCCAACACTAAGCAATAACGAATTGTAAAAGGCTACTATTACGATGTGCTATTAAAGGGAAATTAAAAAGACCCAACAAAGAAAAAAGAGCTTTGCTTGCCTTTAGACACTGCCTGCGATTTTCATGTGCAGCACTTCCAGGAGGAGCAGCAGCTGACAACAACCGTGGCAGGACTGCTTGGATTGCAGAAAGGTACATACCACCACCATCACCTATTATTCAAAATCAATATCAAGATCACGAAATCCAACATATAGATGATTCATACTTTACTTATCTCTATATGTGTCAGATTATTAGCTCTGATACACTGAAAAGATGCATTACCCTTCAAACCTCGAGAGTACTGAGTGATTGAATCCACCAGGAAGAATAAGTCCACCCGTCTGTGTAACCTTGACTCAGTTTCCAAATGACGGGCAAGAATTTCCAATGCCTGAGTTTTAAAGAAGAAATATTACAAAAGGAGAAAAAGATCTAGGTGCATGCTTGTTCTCCATAACAATTTCAACATTATTTAAAGTTCTAAGGGAAATAACAAAAGAAGTCCGTGGTGTATCATCTACAACTACAAACAGAAATATTTGTGTTATATCCATTCAGTCATCAAGAAGGAATTCATATATCTAAAGATTTTACATAAGTTCGACACAATTTTGAAATTTAAAGAAAATAACCAAGGGGGAATCAGGTACCAGCCATATCTCCTCCAACTAAATTAGAAATTAGATTTCACCTACCTTCGCGGCTACACCAATCTTTCCACAGTCAATGGCTACACGAGTTGCTCGACCAATGCTCTCCTTGGTCCTTGTCAATGTTCCAAGCGTTGTCTCAAATGAAGTGAGAGCAGCAAGTGCTTCTTCATACCTGCCCACAGATTTTGGTCTTTGACTAACCACTGATTCAGACTTTCCATCCTCATCAACTGGAGTAGATGAAGTTCTCTTGTCTTGTAAATCAACATCAGGACTACAACTGCCATTGTTCTGAAGAATATTACTACTATCTGAAGTAGACATGCGACAACCTGAGGTATTGGGAGGCGATGCTTGTGCAAGAGAATCTCCTCCATCTGTTACGGATGGACTTGACCGGATACCAGATACGGTTTTCTCACCTAAATACTCATTTGGATAAGAAACTGAACCTGGATCCTTTTCTGTTTGTCTATTTTCAACCTCTTTCACAACATCAAACCTAAAACAAAGAAATACAATGCAACAGAGATTTAGAACATTACTAACCTAAAAGTTCCTCTATAAAAGATAACAACGTAAAGCAGGTTTCGGTACCAAAAACTCCTCTATAACAATGGCAGGAAAAAAAGTAAACAAATTAAGGAAGTATAGGCATTAACTTACTAAATGGAAAAGGATGGAGAGGGGGACAATCTTGTGAAATATGAACAAGAAAACAATGAACTATCAAATTCTACTGCATAACTACACTATGGTACAGAAGCTTACATGTCATTGACCTCTCTGTTATCTTCAGAACGAGGATCCAAAGACTCGATATTCACACTGGCACCTTCTCCACCAAAGTGACGCGGACTTGCATCATTTCGAGGTGAAACTTCAACCATCCCATGGATGGTGCCTGATACAGGATCTGTGCTCTTCAGAGCAGGCTCTGACATATCACATTCAATATCAGGATTTTCTGCATCACAATTGCTCAATTCATTTTTAGCATCACCTCCGCCCTTCAGAGGCAACTCACCCATTGAAGCTTGATTAGCTCCAGTACCAGCCTCTCTTATATCCATATTAGGCAATAAATGCACTGGACTTTCAGTCTGGACTGCAGTTCCAATAGTGTGACAACCAGAAGAACCACCACTAAGATTTTTATCATCAGCAAGGTCCCCAGATTCTGGAAAATCATTAATTGAACATTCATGAATTTGAATGTTAGGACTCTCAGTTCTTTGATCAACATCCACTTCCACAACTGATTTAGTACTTTCCTCCAAGGTTACAGGGTTTGAACTGATAGAGAATCTAGAAGCATCAACACCTGAAGCTTTATTGCCCAAAGAGTCGTCACTCTGAAGTCCCAAACCATTCCCTGTATCACTTTCCACAGTGATAGGGAGGCATCTGCTCGTGGATGAAATATGGCAACCAATAGTAGACATCTTCAAGATTGAAGATTCATAATGGCATCTATCATCATCTTCAGCAGCATTAGCTGACATGGCTTCTAGAGCGCGATGAAGACGCTTAGATGGAGGTAAAACAGCTTCACCATCAGCAGAGGAACCAAATGATTGGTCTTTCTTGGTGTTCCAAAGCTGAGGCCTATTTCCCAAAATTCGAGTGCAACCTCTTGAAGGTGTTATATTATCCAGAGCTCCATTTACCACAAATGAGTCCCTAGCAGCAGGGAAATTTTCATCACAATTAGAGGATGTGCTGATCGGCTCTGATGAATTGACCATAACTTCCTTCAAACTTTCTTCATTGTGCGCAAAGCTATCAGCTTCCTCATTAGCAGAAGATGGTTTGCCCATTCGCACCCTGGCTCGTTTCACCAATGGCAAGTGCTCATCTCCATCTTCCTTAGAAGAAGTTCCATTTTCCTTGGAACAAGTCCCATTCATCTTTCCACAATCAGTCTGCAGAGTCTGACTACTGCTTTGCAAACCAACCTCCAAAACTGGCTCCTTGTCCAACATACTAATAGGCTCAGATACATCATTAGTAACTCGCTTTCTGTTTGGCTTCCTTTTCTTCTTAATAACAACCTTACCTCCTAGATCAAGTCCTTTGATCAACTGAGCATCACCATCCATGCATTCGACAACAGTCTCTGAATGTTCACCTTTACAACCAGAATCAATAGCACCACCTTCATCAAGACTAAATGTGTCAGAATCAACTGTGACTACTTCAGAACCATTGTCTTCAATAAAACCATTTGAAACAAAAGCAGCTGAATTCACATCATCACACTCAGAGTTATCAGGTGATTTCCGTATTCGTTTATTCCTTCTTAAACACCTATCTCGAACTAGATTACCAGATACGTCCCTAGCATCCTTGGCATCATCATCACATGGCATTGTGAAGTTCCGTAATCTACGCGATTCCATCCTAGATGAGCTTCTTGATCTACGAGCTGGTGCTTCCTCTTTCTGTGGTCGCGAATGTCTTAATCTTTTTCTTGAAGAGCAGGTCACTGGCAGAGGTGTTTCAGTAACCATTTCTGTGGCAGCAGGTTCCTCAATTAGGGCCTCCTTATCAACCATTGCATCTATTTGTGCAGTCGCTGAAGCATCCTCAACAGATAAACTTGGCTCATTTCTATCAATCGTTGAATGTGAAGATTTCGAGCGTGAATCAAGAATAGCTTCAGGAGCTTCGGACTGATCCTTCGAACCAAAGTTGGACGAAGAGTCCACTGAGTTCCCTCCATTTGCAGTGGAGTTGAAATCATCAACTTGGTCCTCTTTCTTCAGCTTGTCATAGCTATCAATGATCTCCTGGACTGCACGAACAAAATCTGAACCCTTTCCATGACGCTTGCCCAGAAGAGACTGTTTCTTCTCCTCAGTAAATGCCTCAACATCCGCAGGGTTGCAGAACGCTCTGCATTAAAAAAGAAATACACTCAATGGAATAAGGCAAACTAGCTAGCAAATATCAAATTCAGACTTCTGGTGCAGTTAAGGGTAACGCATCACTTGGGTAAGTTAGGTCACTGTCACCACAAACATAATGGGCATGTGATGTAAAAAATGAAATAAAGATTTGTACACAATAGTATTGAAGTTTCCAGCTTATATATACATCCACAATGCACCCTCATTGGTATATATTTACTAAAGCCTAACTCACAATTTCAACGTTATTCAGAAAATTTCTGTCATTTGTATAATCTTTACTAATATTCCCACCAATATTCTGTGGACTACCTATATTTCATCATCCCTGATTGTATGTAACCAGCTAATTGATGAGGGAGTGCTTGGAGTCCTGCAACTTCAATAACTTTAAAGGATAGAAGTTAAGCGTACAACCCTTCTCTCACAAATCAAAGCCCTCTACGCTGTAAAAATGTATGCACACACATGGATGCAAGGACACTCGTGCACACATTCACATTCACAATCCAACTAAACAGAAGGATAAAAAGAAAATATCCTTCAATAAACATTTGAGTCCTAGCGTATCAAATATACTTCTATGCAACAGGCATATATCAAAAATCTTTATCTCCTCCTAAAAAAACTCGTCCTTCATCAACAAAATCTTTATTTCCTACACCAAAGCCCTATGAAAGCAAATTTATGCCAGTCTTGCATGTGAAGCCAAAATTAAGATAGGAGAAAATAGATCATTTTAAAATGTGTTATTACAATTATTCTCCTTATAAAAGCATGAAACCTGGATGAAGTAAATGACTCAAAAGACCAGACTTTAGAAACAAAAAAGAAAAGCATTCACATCCCTAACTTCTCCTATAGCTCGACCCAAACAAGATAAATATAGGAATACGTTCACTCTTCAGAAATCTGGTGTGTTGTTGCTAGGCCATAAGTATGAATAATTGATCAAGTCAGTTCTTACTATAAATATAAAAAACATTCGTTCGGGTTCACAATCTGGTAACATAAAATATTTGTCAAGAAAATATTCAAACAGGCTTCACCTCCAAGCAAGGCTAAAAAAGCAACAACAAAAAGCCCAAATCAATCCCACTTTTTCTAATCAATGGCACTCCCCGCTTAGTATTCTAACAAGAAGAAGAAACTAACCACCATCTACTACGGAAGTCATCTGATGTAGGATCATCATCTTGCCCTATTACCTTCATAATGTAATAATTATTTGCCAAATCAGGTTTTTCCAGTGCATAATTCAAAGGGGTAAACGTCGACTTAAGTGTGCTCATTGTATCTGCTATCCAACCAACTCTAAATTTCCCTAAAAGTAAAACAAATCCTTCAGGAGCTTCTTCCCCTTCATCTCTCTAATACTAATTATATGACCCGAAATAACTAGTAGAGATAGAAAAGTGTCATGCAAAGAACGAGAATGTAATAACAGAACGAGATCTTGTCAGTGGAGGGAATAAAACCAGGAAAGTAGATCCGCTGCCTTTTTTTTACATCAAATCACTTGTGATGCAAGAGAGATTGGAGTCCATCCAATAAAGCATCACACACAAATCTACAATTACACCCACGGCCTCAAATCTATGTCAAACTATAATTATTTCTCATACGAAGTAGGTTACTCTAAACTGATGAAATATGTTCAAACCTCACAATATCCTGAAAGAAAACATTCAAATAGTCTATACAAGTGCTTATTCCGGAAGACCTCCAAAAGATTTGTTTTCCCTGGTGTTGAAATACTGAGTAAAGTTTGCTACTCTTGAAGGGTGAAGCATAACTTTCTCACTTCAATTCAATGTATACAAGTTTACCACCATTTGATTACATCACAATTCTCTCCTTTTTTTCTCAACGTTGTTGGTAAATTTAAAAGAGGGAAGAGTTGAGAGTTGTTCATCTTCATCAATTTACTTATTGACATTGTAAGAGTGTATAATGCCCCTACCCAAATTACCTTGTTTTATCCTCACTTAATGGAATAGAATAAAGGCCCTAAATAATAACAATAAATCATCAGTAACATACAAGTTTTTCTATTATTAGTCACCACTCAACTTTGCTAGTACCATCCGTAATTTTTTTCAGAGGCAAATAACACTCACAGGGTAAAAAAAATATATACAACTAAAATTTGTACAATTCATGATGGAAAAAAAAAAAAAAAAAAAAAAAAAAAAAAAGAAAGAAAGAGAGGATGAAGACAGACACAATAACATAGTAGAGATTTTCGATTGACCAAAAACATATGAACATATCTAGCAACACAAGTTAAGAAGCCAACTACCAAATTTTGGAAGAGAAGAACAACATAATCAAGCTTTATTCTTCATAACTCAGTACAATCAACATAGTAATCATACCTTACTCAAACAACATGACATCATATTATCATAAAGTACAAAGTTAACTTCCGTCAATAAGTCTGATCTGAAAGGAAAGTCATAACTAATCAATTATTTGACTTACACCACTATAGAAACCACCGCTGTTAGACTAGAAGTTGATCAAGAATGCATTGAGTACTTACATCTGTTGGGTTCCAAAGAAGTAGACAAGTACTTTCTTCCAATCAGCCGAGTAACCCCACTTCTCAGGCTCGCTTACCTGCAAGCACAAACCAACTCGATAAGCCAAGTTAAGCAGTCCTAATAATCACTGAAAGTAAGTCTAGTAATCACTGCAGTAGTGCACTTCCATAGTGACTGTCCATGAGAATCGATGAATATAAAGATCAAAGAAAATTAAAATTTTCAAATTTAAATGTAGAAACTTAAAGCTAGTCATCAAACCCCCATTTCCAAATACATCGATAAAGAAATATCATAATAAAAATGACAAAAGTTAGATAAATAAAATTGAAGAACTCATGAATCACCTCTATCACATAACACTTCCAACTACCAAGACTAGAAAATTACAAAATTACAAAAACCCAACAATAAAATTACAAAACCAAAAAAGTTAACTCAAGGCAATTAAAGAATAAATAAATTGAAACTCAGATCCAGAAAACTATCATTCCAAGCAAAAGCCCACACTGTATCAAATTCACTAAGCTTGCACAAAAGCACCAAAACCCTAAATAAAGCATATTCCTCAACTGCGCAGTCGTCTTGACCGGCATGGCATAAATAAATAGATAAGATATTTTTTTTCACAGAAGACTTACCGTAGCAGGCCAAGCAGGGAAGCCTTTGACCTTAGCAAGTACAAGATCGCCGACCTTCCATTGGCGGCGAGCAGCGGCGGCCTGAGCGGCTTTGCTAGCTCCTTTCCTTCGGCTGGGCGCCATCAAAGAACCACCACCGGAGGCGCTCCAATTGAATTAGGTAACGCTATTTGAACTGGAATAAATACACGAACTCAGGGATGTGCCGCAACCGCCCAAGGAATTGAACAATCTGGCACTCTACGGAAAATCTCTGGGGGAGATTCGCAGGCATTGAAGCACAGAGATCGCATTCAAAGCGAGAGAGTGAGTGACTGAGTCTGTGCACGAAACCCTAATTTCAAAGAGAGAGAGAGACAGAGAAAGAGAAGGGGAGAGAGACGAAAGAGTTGGATGAGTATGATAGAAGAGTTTTATGTGGAAGAAGCGCAAACAGAGAGATGAGTTGGTTAGGTGAAGGGGAGACTAATGTGCGCTAGGGGTGTGCAGTATAAGTCCCGTGTAGGTTTTTTTGTTTGGCCTGGTTGCAGTATGCTAACGTGGGCTGGATGTGTGATGTTACCAGGGTCTTCGATATTGGCCATACCGCAAAGGACTAGTATTGTGCTATGCGAATAACACGTGACCCACCAGGCATGCTTCCACACTTCCTCAAGTACAACTCAAATTTACTTTTTTCCGCTTTGTGGTTAAACCCGGCCCGCTTCTGTTTGGTTCTGGATAAACAGGGCCGGGTTATCTACGAACTGCATCGTAAACAAATATCAGTATATCATGAGCTAGTTAGTTTTGAAGTGTTTAGTTAGTGAGAAAAAAATTGTCATTTCGCTAGGGTTTTTTATTGAAAGGGTTTCTGAACTTGTACCCAAATTTTATTTCGTTCGTTCAACTAATTTTTTTTATTTCGTGTCTGACTGGTCCTTCCGTGACCTTTTGTGACCCATTGTGTACATAAGGGTTGGAAACTCCCACTAGTTGGGCCACTTTAAGCAGGCATGGACCATCATTATTGACCATTGGATCATGTTTTGGTTTTCGGGCCTTAATCTTGGGTCGGATTTCTTTACTGAGAGGAACCAAAGGGGCTGGGCCATCTTGCCCTTTTTTTAATTTTACATTGTAAAATGCAAAAAAAAATCATTTTATTTGCCGTCAAAAAACTTGGATTCCAAGTCCATGTAGGCATATGTGCCTGTAAAAACGCGTACGCGGTAAGTCAAAACCCTTGAAGCCAAACTCTATATATATAGTTTTCGAACCCCTTGTTGGACCACGCTCAAACTCAAAAGTCAAAACTCACATATCGCATAACCCTACTTCACCAAACTAGAGCAACAAAAAACATCACCTTCAAGAAGTTGTCAACAAATTTGCAGTGAAACCTGCAAGAACCAAAACCTAATTTTCTCAAAATGATCGTCTTGCCTCTGCCATGCGCCGCCGGACCACGTGAAGATCTTCATCACAGCCTTGTTTGCAAGGCCAGTTCAATCAGTACAAGGAGGAGAAATAATCTTTGTAAGGTTAGTGTAACTTCAACATACCAACCCAAAAGCCTCTTCCAAGTACTGATCAATAATAACCCATTTCAAAACGACAACGTTTTGATCGTCTCCAATCCCGGGCTAGACAGCAATAAGAAAGAACATTGTACAAGAACATTGGAGAAAGAAGCGGCTTCTTCTATAATCCAGAGGCTAGAGGCCTTCGGGGAAAGGGTGATAGGGTTGGAGAAGAAAAAGTTTATGAACAAAACCAAAGGATCGGAACTATCACATGAGGAGAGCATATTGGTGGAAGATTTGAGTAGAGAGATTGTTAACGAGTTCTTGGCCAAACCGATTGAATACTTAAGAAGTGGTGATGGCGACTTGCAGGAAAAGTTAAAGGAGCTCGAGTTTCTTGTGAATATTCTTGAAGAATCATGTTTGATTGGGGAGAGAGTACCAAACATTCTTTCATGCAAAGCCACCCACTAGCTAGCTATGCCGCCTTCATTTCTTGGGGGTTTAGGGGTTAGGAGGATTAATTCTTGCCGTGCCATATATTTTTTAGCTCTCCATGTATTGCCACACCATGGGTTAATTCTTGTAACTCTTAAAATTATAGGTCTTTAACTCATTCACTTTTGTTTCGTAAGTTAGGCTTGTATTTAAAATATTCAGCCTTCAATATGTAATTACACTCTTATGTTGGTATATAAATTATATGTACAGTAATTTACACAGCTTGTATACATAAATATTTACCTATAGTCTGGTTCTTTTTTGGTTCAGATAATGGGTCTTATTTTTATGGAACACAGTTATCTATTATTATTTTTTAATTTTAAAATAAAATAAAATAAAATAAAACCAATTGGCACACTCTCTAGTGGTAAAACATTCAAAATACCAGAAAATGTTATTTGTTAATGTAAACAATAAGAATTGAAATTATTAATTAAATTATGATAATATGGTAAATTCACTTTTTTTTATTAAAAAATTTAAAATAAAATCAGATAATGATCCTATTTTTATGGAACACAACACAACTACCATTATATTTTTAAATTCTAAAATAAAAAATAAAAAATCGGAGTGTATGCCAAGTAGCTAGTATGCACCACAAAGAAGGTAAATTATTTATGAACAAAAACACAATAAAGGAGCAAGAAACCATGATGGATACGTAAACGAATATAGTCACACTCAAATTTATTGGGGTGTTTGTTTGATTTGTACCTTGTTGGTTTCTTGTGTCTTTCGCACCGCGGGACTCATTTGGTTTTGATGTTTGTGGATTTTCCCTTTTGGGCCCTAGTTCTACTTTCAATTGGGTTAGGTGTTGACTTTTCTAAATAAAATTTTGATATTAGGCTTTGCCTATCTTCTGTTTCGGATTCACATGCTCCATCATATTTATGTATTCCAAATTGATGTGTATATATATATACTTTGAAACTTGATAGTGAGGTTCATAAAATAAAATAGAAAAATAGAAAAATAGAAAAATAGAAAAATAGAAAAATAGAAAAATAGAAAAATAGAAAATAGAAAAATAGAAAAATAGAAAAATAGAAAAAGAAGAAAAAAGGCTTGAAAGTGAAGGTGAGACCAACTTATGATTAGCTTTTTTAGGTTGTGCTCCTCCCGACTGACAAAGTAAAACGTTAATTTGGAATACCATGGGCCAACCACTTTCCTCCGCAAAAAAGAATAATACTTCTACTTTTGTACATAACTTGACCACTTGACGACAAAATAGTGGGACCCAACACTAAACAAACTACTTATCAAAATCATGAATTACACGTGGGAGCCTGCAACGCCAACACGTGTCAAAGAACGGATATATCTTCTGGGATATTTTTTGGGCCAACAGAAGAAGATATTTCGATTCGCAAGACAATTGGACACGTGGCGCCCAACGAGTTTATACCCGATTCCATTCCGCTGATCTACAATTCCTCGATTCACGATCTAAGTATCCAAGCAATGACATGCTAACACGCGTCGATCCGCAAATAGAAATTCGACACGTACCCCTGTACTGTACTCTCGTCCCCCATATATATAAGCTCGCGCGACAGCATCGGCTTCATCTTTATTGTTGATAAATTTTTTTTTTCAAAAATACATTCTAGCATCGTCCGGATGAGTTTGAACCGGCGACTCAGACCGAACCCGCCGACTCAGAGGTCCGATTCAGATGACCTCGGAATTCTCAACGAGCGGATACTCTTCCTCGTCTTCCGGTCCATGAAATGGGATATTCAGGCGCTCTGCTCAACCGCGTCGGTGAACCACAAGCTCCGAGCAATCGTGAAGAGGCTGCTGTGGCGGGAGCTCTGCGCGCATAGCGCCCCTCGCATGATAGCGTCGCTGGAGAACGCTTCGCCGAGCGGTCGAATCGGCGGCGGATGGCACACGCTCGCGAAGCTCATGTTCTTTTGCTGCGGCTGCGAGCCCACTCGGAATTTCAAGGTGAGTCGACCCACCCCGGGCCACTTCGTCGAATCGTCGAGGTTCTCTAAGACTTCGGGTCAGAGCTTCTTGACGAAGCGGTGCCGGGGCGATTTGCTGTACGTCAGCGACCCGTGCGAGCATCAGATGGGGGAGAAGGAAGACGATTTGGGGATTTACAGAGGGGTATTTAAGGGATTTGACAAGTCAAAGACGAGGGCGTATTTGATCGGACGGCGAGTAAAGCTTGAAGAAAGGGTGAGATGTCCTTACTGTGGGGCCCCCGAGTGGAGCATGACCACGGCTGGGCTGGTGCCCAAGAGCGCGGCTCGGAGGCTTGGCTCGCATCATGGGGCGTTGGAGTATTTTGTGTGTGTGAACGGGCACATGCATGGTTCGTGTTGGCTGGTGCCTTTGTCGTCCGATGATAATGAGGATGAGGAGATGGACGGTAATGATGACTCCGATTTCGATGATAATGATGGTGGAGTCCGCAGAATTGGCTACGACGATCGGACGGCCACAAATGGAAGTATGTGCTCTATGGGGGAGGAAGTTGTGGTGGACGGGCCCGCAAAGTAAATGCCCTTTGGGGCCCGTTTTGATGGGTCGATGTTGGACCGTTGCTTTTGGTTTCTCTCCGGTGATTCGCATCCTTTCGGCGTCGGTTGCTGATGTGGAGATTTTTTGGGTGTGGGATGATATGGAGATTGGATAACATAAATTTAGGCTGACGTGTAACATTTTTGTGGAAATTATTTGTGTGAGTTCCGTTCCGCTGCTTTTTTATTTCTTTTTTTCCTACTCTTTTCTTTTTAATTTATTTTGCTCCACAGCTGGATGGAGCATAGTAGTGTGTGATAGGATATTGGATTTTATATAGACATTCTGGTTTGTCGATTACAATTTTTATTTTTAATGAAATAAAAATTTTATTGGATAAATTTCAACGATACAATCAAATATATTAACAAGACATTTAAAATATCAATTTCAAAAAGGCAATAAAATAACATGCTAAAAGCAAAATTAATTCAAACAAAAGCTGCACTAAAATTACTAGTTTATATTATCACAATTAATTATAAGTCCAAAAAAAATTAATAAACTCAATATAACCAAAACTCTAAAATTATCCATAAGCCTAGACAAGCCCTATCACCGTCACCTGAAGAAGCGCCGTCGCAACCACATCCACTACCGCATTCTTAATAGATCTAAGAAAAATATGATTTCTAGATATCTACATGCACATAAAAGCAAACAAATAAACGAAACCAACAATCTTGCCAAATAACAATTGGGTGATTTGCAGCAATCTTCGTCAAAGACGATATAGAATTAAATTTAGAGAACATGAGCGGAATTAATGAGCGAATTTTGGAAGCAAAATTTGATTGATAACATAGACTAAAAGGGGTGACGGGGAACTTCAATCTAACCATGGCTCATAAGAAACCAGCACAAGGGGCTTTTATTCAAAATGCCCTAATAAACTCATTCACTAACCTAAAAGGAAAAGATGATAAGAGAAAAAGGAGAGGAGGAGTAATGATGCTTCTTCCTCCTCCACTCTCTTTGGAATTTGTACCATGGGTAGTTAAGGCTATGGTTTGTCAATTACATTGACCACATAATATCACATACGCCTCTTTTTCTTCACATTATATGGTTGAATCTATTATGTTTAATTTGAGGGTTGAAATTTAATTAATAAATTAATTAATTTATGCATACAATTATAATTGATCAAAATCTAAATATAAAACTTATTGAGCTGCAAATCTCTTGCAACTATCTCCTTTATACTTTAAAAAGGAGGTTGCAAATTTTTTTAAGTTATAGATAAATAATTGTTGTTTTTCATCCTTAGGAAAACAACCAATATGAATTCATAAAGGGCCTACATTCAACTAAAATGTGCAAAACACTTTTAGCCTATTTTATGAACAAGTTGTAAAACTAAAAATTGGAGTTGCATGTAATTTACAAGTGATTAGAAAATATGATTTATATACACTTATGCTTAGATTTTTTTTTAGTACAAGCAACAATTTAAATTATATGAAATGAGGATTTCTCTTACACACACAACTATGATGCCATGAGAATTCAGACTTGAGACCTTTGATATGCAAGTTAATGTCCTTTTTAATTGGGCTAGACCCCCGTTGGCCTTAGATTGTTAATCATATGTATAAATATATATATATATATATATGCGCTAAGAAGCCCTCATTATCTTTTAACTAGCACGCATGTGCCAATTGGTTTTATTTTATTTTAATTTTTTTAGAATTAAGAAAAGATAATATGGGTAGTTATGTTTCATAAAAGTATGACATATTATCTGATTATTTTTAATTTTAATTTTTTTAATATGAAAAAATGTGAATTTACTATATTATCCTCATTGAATTAATAATTTCAATTCTTAATATTTGAATTAACCAATGACATTTTTTGGTATTTTGAATGTTTCATCATTCTCTACCGTTTGCTTTATATATATAGATTCATATTTATCAAATCAAATCCTTGGTTAAATTTTAAAATAGATAAGTATTTTTTTTTTATGAACCAAAAGAAAACATAGAAAATAAATAAAAGGGGCAGTTGGGTCAAAGAACAGATTCAAATATATGCTGTTACGTACACAAGCGTGAGTGCAGCGAGGCCAAACATGCCTCCGACCTTGTTGGCGCCATCGAACCGCTCTCTATTCTGCTTCCCATTCCCAAACATTTGATCGACAAAAGAAAAAGAAAAACAAAAAAAAACCCAATCTCATCCCTCTCTGTCCAAATTTTCAATTTCCATTTCACAGAATCCCAAGAAGCCACGCCCAAGGCACACACAGGTTCGTCATGCGTATGCATATGTGCATTTCCTCTGTTTCATCTTCTTCTTCTTCCTCTGTTTGATCGCCGTTTCGAATGTGAATTTGCAGGAGCTAGCAATTGAAAATGGCGACCCTTCAAGATATAGCAGTCTCGGCGGCCATCAATATATTGTCTGCATTGGGCTTTCTCGTGGCCTTTGCTCTGATACGGCTTCAACCGTTCAACGACAGAGTCTACTTTCCCAAATGGTACCTCAAGGGGATCAGAGGAAGCCCCACGAGTTCTGGGGCTTTGGTCAAAAAATTCGTCAACTTGGACGCCAAAACCTACATCAAGTTTCTCAATTGGATGCCGGCGGCATTGCGGATGCCTGAGCCAGAGCTCATTGAACACGCAGGCCTCGATTCCGCTGCCTACATTCGGATTTATATACTCGGGTAACTTTTTCATGTACATGTTACGAAACAGATGTCACATGTGACCGTCTTAATGGGACTGTTATTAGTACTCCAAAATATTAGTCTTAAGGTACAGTAACCTTAGTGCAGAATAAATAACAATTTTGGTATGCTAATAACAGTTCCCTAATTTTTCATGCTAAACTACTGATGATATTTTAATGATACTAATTAATTACACGTAGGTTGAAGATATTTGTCCCCATTACTGCGCTTGCGCTTATTGTTTTGGTGCCTGTCAATTATACCGGAAATACGCTGGGAAAGACCCGTGAAGTAACATTCAGCAATATTGATAAGCTCTCAATATCCAATATTCCTTCCGGATCTCCCAAGTGAGTTTTTTCTCTCTTATTTTGCTTTGTTTTCTTCTAGGCTGTAAATGTCATGGTTTTTGGGACTCAGAAATACTTTTTGTTGTTGGTTTTAATTCACCAAGTATGAATTTATCTTATGTCTTGTAGGTTTTGGGCACATATGGTGATGTCTTATGTCTTCTCCTTTTGGACGTGCTTTGTTTTATACCATGAATACAAGACAGTGGCTGCTAAAAGGCTTGCATTTTTAGCATCTGAAAAACGCCGTCCAGATCAATTTACGGTGAGGGCATCTACATGGTGCTCTGTTTTGTTTCCTCAATGATATGTCTTTATTGAATTTGATTTATTATGTCTGCTCCCATTAGATTCTGCTTAGCTTGCTGCTGTTGACAATATTAACTCTATGTCCCCCACAGGTTCTTGTAAGGAATGTACCCCCAGATCCTGATGAATCAGTCAGTGAGCATATTGAACATTTCTTCTGCGTAAACCATCCCGATCACTACCTTACACATCAAGTATGCGGCTTTTTAAACTTGTTTGATTTTTTTTGTTAGTTTGACTGCTGAAAGAATCAGCATATACTGCTGAAAAAAAATTCAAGAACAAGATAGTAAACTGTATTGTATCTGCAATAGGTTTCCAGTGTTACAACAACTTAACCATTGTTTGTAACCTTTAAATGTCTGTAGGTTGTATACAATGCAAATAAACTTGCAGCGGTGGTCGAGAAGAAGAAGAGTTGGAATAACTGGCTTGTTTATTACCAAACCAGATATGAAAGAAACCCTAAGTCAAGGCCTACTACAAAGGTTTCTTTCTTTACTTGATATTTGATAACCGCTCAATTATGTTTTTGTTTGAGAGTTTCATTTGTTAATAATTTGTCACTATTGAGTTCATCATCTCATGTCCCATTAGACAGGTTTCTTGGGCCTGTGGGGACATAAAGTGGACGCGATTAATTACTACATTGAGGAGATTGAGAAGATGAGCCAAGAAGTGAGTATGCCTCCTTATACCTATATTTTGTATTGACTTATGCAAGTGTTGTTGCCGTTTATTTTTACATCTGCTAGCTAATTTAGCTATATCCAATGAAGATGCTGCTGCATGTAGCCAAATATTCTCTTCTCTTCCCAAAAATGAATGGGAACTAATCTGCTAGAGTACACATGTTGTTTTTGTTCGTCCGTTCTAGATGCATAATGATGTAGATTTCATGCAGGAAAAACAAGAAAGGGAAAAGGTTGTAAGTGATCCTGATGCCATAATGCCTGCAGCATTTGTTTCATTCAGAACTCGATGGGGAGCAGCTGTATGTGCTCAAACTCAGCAATCAAGTAATCCTATCGTCTGGTTGACAGAGTGGGCTTCTGAGCCACGCGACATCTATTGGAGAAATCTTGCAATTCCATATGTTGAACTCAATGTTCGGAAACTACTCATGGCTGTAGCCTTTTTTTTCCTTACTTTCTTCTTTATGATTCCAATAGCATTCGTCCAATCTCTAGCCAACATTGAGGGGATTATGAAGGTCCTTCCTTTCTTGAAGCCACTACTGGAGATGTGAGTCCCTATTTCATTCTGTTAGTTATTGATTTCTCATGTGTGGTTATATGGACTAAGAATAAAGGTTTCAAATCGTCACCCCTCTTTTCTTTCTTTTTTCCGTTGTTTCCCAGGAAGCCCGTTAAGTCTGTCATCCAAGGTTTTCTTCCAGGAATTGCATTAAAGATATTCCTTGCTATGCTTCCAATGATTCTTATGCTAATGTCAAAGATAGAAGGTTTCACATCACTCTCATCTCTGGATAGGAGGTCTGCTGCGAAGTATCATTTGTTCATACTTATAAATGTGTTTCTGGGAAGCATTGTTACAGGAACAGCACTTCAGCAGCTTGAGAAACTTATGAACGAGCCCTCAACAGAGTAATTTTGTGTAACTCTTTCCATGTGTCT